CAATGTTCTTCTGTTTTGGCTGTCAAAGGCACAGCAAAGTGGAGTTGGTAGCAGACGAGGATGCTGCCAAAGCAAGATGGTATATAGGACAATTAGTGCACCGGTGCCAGGGACCAACTGATTGCCTGACTGATTTTTACACTTCTATGTCGCCAACTTTTCTGGCAGAGGTTTCTAGGTGGCTTACAATAGCAATCAAAACACAATTCTTAAAAGTATGGAAGCAGTAAAAACATATAAAAGTATATCATAATAAAACAGCAATTTCCAAGTTGCCAGTCAAAGGATACTGGTAAAGGGAGCTGAAGCTGCAAAAGGAGGTGAACCAAAAGGGTAGGCATCCTGGGATTCAAGCACCTGCTAAGCCATGCGGGGGGGGGGGCGGGGTTGGCATTGTCTGGAAATGGGTTTTATAAGCCTTTCCAGAGCATCTCATAAACCACTCTGACTAGTCATGCCTCGTAGTGGGGTTTAGGGTTCCCTCTCCCCATGGTGTCCCTTGTTATCTGATCCTTGATAACATGGTAAGCCATGATTTTATTTATTTATTTATTTATTTTCCGATTTATATCCTGCCTTTTTCCTACAAAGGGCTCAAGGCAGCTTACATCTCCTCCATCTTATCCCCACAACAACAACCCTGTGAGGTAGGTTGGGCTGAGAGCCTGTGACTGGCCCAAAGTCACCCAGTTGGCTCCATGGCTGAGCGGGGACTAGAACCCAGATCGTCTGAGTCCCAGTCCCATGCTCTTAACCACTACACCACGCTGGCTCTCAAAGGCTGATCAAGCCGAAAGGCTAGGGAGCCCCTTGGCTGCAGTGGCAAAAGAAGACCCTTGCTGGCGGCAGCTGGCGGTGTCCAAGCACTGCTCTGTGTGGCTGTCGTGACTGCCCTTGTCCTCTTGCCAATGGCAGGACGGCTCGTCAGCAGTCCTCCTCTCCCCTGCATTGGGAGAAAGGCAGGAGAAGGCTCAAGGGCCGCCTGCTTCCCATCCCTGTCTCTGGGATGGAACCAGCCACTTGGGTTGACTTCCTCCAGATGAGCTGCCTCTGTGGCAAAAGGGGAATGGCTGGGAAGTGCCTCCTGGGGTTTTGCCACCTGGGGAGCCAGTGCTCAGTCGAGTGCAACTCTGCCAGGTTGGGGGGGGGGCACATTTGGGACAAGAAGGCCCAGCAGAACATTCTTCCCTTGCCTGTCATGGCACCCATGGGCACCACAGCAAGCAAGGGTGGGGGTGAGACAGAGTGGGGTTCTGGCCAAGTAGAGGAGGTTATTTTCCCACTGCTCTGTGGTGGTGCCCACTTTCAGCATTTATTCCCACTCCCCTTAGTGCTCCCATATGTCAAGCACAGCTGGGTTTCCCAGGCAACTTTAAGCTCAGGATGGCCATATATTCCTCATCAAGGTGTAACCCTTTCCGTTTTCAGGGTCACAAGTACAGTTCTCAGTTGCCTGCACCTTTTCAGCAGTTCCCTGTTTCCAGCTATTCCAGAAAAGAGAGGGCCCCATTTTGAAGTACTCTGTGCTCTCATTACTGTGTTTACCTGTCAGAAATCACAAAACTATATTCAAATATAATGGCTGGGACACTTGCGCTCCTGCAGCAACTGTTCCAACACACCATGCTTTCTTTGCAGAGCAGCTTAGCATGGTGTGTAATCCTGTCCAATACCTTACTGTTCCTTATAAGGGTTTATTTTTATACTGCTCTTGTGAGTGATTGTTGTCCTTTTTTGCATATAATTAGCTTTAATTAAATTCTCACAGTAATCATTATTATTTGACCCTCATGTATAAAACAGTTTATTCACATAAGCACACAGCACAATTAATGTGTGTCTTCAAAGTGCCATAAGACACTTTGTGGTTAGTATTTATTCCTGCATCTGCATATGAAAAAGGTCTTTATTACAGATGCTTTTGCCTCTGTCAAGGTTATACTTGAATATGTTAAAGCAGCAAGGAGGAAAAGTATGTTTTCTACTTCGCCTGTTTAAAATGAGAACCAGCAGGTCCCAAGCCTTTACTATAGTTTGTCTGGGCTTGCCCCCACCCTCTGACCCTTATACAAGCTTAGGATGTTGCAGATACTTAGTGAATATGCAGTCTCTCTTGCAGCTTTTCCTATGCAAATATGCCTCAAATGGATGGGATTCACCTGTCTAACATACAAGTACAGTATTTGGGGGGGGGGGTTGGTTTCTGACTTTTTGAGTTCACATTTGGTGCCAAACTTGGTTTGCTGCTATGAAATGTGTGAAACAAGTGTTTTATTTGGTGTCTCATAAAGAGTTTATCAGAACATTGTCAGTAATGACAACACAGAGATTTCTCTTCCATGCAATATTTTTCTAAATGTGACTTTTTCATTGGTGGTTTTTCTGTAATGATTCTAACAAGAGACATTGCCTGGGATCAGTGATGGTCATCTTTATTGGGAATCACTGTTTTCTTTGTGTAGTTCCAGGCAAAACTAAGCTGCAGAATAACCTACTTGACATAATACAAGTCTTGCTTTATCTTACTGCATGGCAGCCTTTGTATGCAGGCAAAATAGCTTCAATTTTCCTGAGACACCTGGACCTTTGTTAGATGAGCTAGCTTTTTATAACAGAAGTTAAGAGTGAGCTTTCAAAAATGGCTCTGCAGTCTCTGACTCCTAAAGGAGCTTACTGATAACTGGCAGTGAGGTTGCTTAAACAAAGGCCAGGTCATTGGAAGGCTAATTGCATCTGCAAAAGACCTTGTGTTAATTAGTTTTCAATGGATGTAAACAGAATAACCTGGATTCTATCAGGCTACTAACCCTAACCACTGCCAAAGATAAGCTTAAAGTAATTTCATCTTTAATAAAGGTACTAGTTGTGGAATGTTGGTAAAGGATGAGGAAACCCCCCACTAGAGTGTGTTGGTAAATACTGTGTGTTTAAGTTCTTTTATTTTTAAGGACACAATCCTATGCATGTTTAGATGGCAGTCCTGCAACTCCTAGCAAGCCCCAGCCAGATTTACATGTTTTGGACTTCTTTCTGTGTAAACATGCATTTAAAATTTTACCTTGATTTAAAATTTTGACCAAAATAATATAAAATTTAGTACACATAAATTGTGAGATAATCTGAGATATTTCTCTCTTGAGGAATAACTACATGTGCTTGGGTCTTTGTGCATTGCAACCTTGGGCATACTTGCGCAGAAATAAATTTCAGCATCAAGACTCCTCTTCCAGACAAATGTTCTGTTAAGGAAAAACCAACAGTGGCAAACAGTACTGAGAAATTTGTAGCACTGTATGCCTGATCTTTTGAATTAAATGTGGATGCTGAAGTCATGTATTTAAAAATAGCATTTTCTATTTAAAGTGTTTTTTCTCCTATTACATCTTGCTTGATAGTCATCATTTGGGGGTGGGGGGGGAGACTTGCTACCTGTCCATCAAACCTTCACTGATGCACAACATAAATACATGCTTGTATAGTTGACTTGGTTTTAAGAAACATACTGAGAAAGATGCCACTGGGCAACATAAAGATCTGGTATTATGATGGTTTGTCACCTGACAAATTTCTAGTCTAAACTGGATGTAGATACGCCAGTGATTGAGCAAAGTATGCTTTAGTGAAGCAGCCAGCTAGTGACATTTCTGAAACAGTTAATACCTTCTAGATGGGCAATGGCATCTCCTTCCCTCACGCTTTTCAGGCAACTCCAGGGAGCACTTTCAGCTATGTGCTGGCAAGCTTACATATGAAGCTACCTTTTGCGTTAGACCATTGGTCAGTATTGTTGCCTACTGGTTTTTGAAGGTATCAAGTAGAGTTCATACCCAGATAGCAGGGGTCCTGCTATCTGAAGAAAACAAAGTGAAGGATTGGAGGAGGTGATGAACTGCGCAATCCTATGTCTGCTCAGATGTAGAGTTGCATTCAGTGGGACTTACTTCCTGGCAAGCAGGGATAGGATTGCAGTCTAACGATGCTTCCAGAAGAAGCTTCTGCAATCACACTGTTTTGTTTATGGAATTTTATTATGGTCCTGATATCTTGGCATCCACTCATATCCTGTTATATTCTTACACCACTTCCATCTGCTTAGACACTATAAACAAAATGCTGGACTGGATGGGTGTTTTCTTTTTTTTCTGCCACTGAAAATCTGTTAAGGTAGAAAAGATGGAAAAGCACCTGCACAATGCCTTCCATTTGTTAGCAGAAGGCAATGTTCTTTCTTTTGTGTTTGCTATATATGCATCAGTTAGCTATACAGTAAGAGTTGTTGCAGATCCCATAGGTATTTATCTCTTGCTGCGACCTGGTGACAGCTCCAGAACTTGGCTGCAGCATGCAAATCCGCCACGCAAGCGTGCTCCAAGAATCCCTTGCAGTGTTGCAGAAGATGCAGACACACAGCACAAAAGCTATGCAAGTACTGTTCATGCAAAAAATTGCCCCGATTTCTTTACCGTCTGACAGGTCCCGAACAGGGTGGCTGCGCGTCTGGGTGGCAGGGGGACGAAGGTGTCCCCTTCAACAGTGGAGCAAAGTACAGTAGTTGACTTTTTGATTAGAAAATAACCTTCCTGAACCCGTAACAGAAAAGGGCATTTCTTCTCCTCCCCCACCGTCCCCCACGTCCCCCCGTGCTTAATCACAGTGGGGAAGGAAATGCGGTGCCTCCCCGCGCCTTCCCTCGAAAAGGCACACTTTGCCTAGCCCTCCTTGTCCGCCGCCACCAGCTAGGGCCACAACAGCGACCCACCCGCGTTTGACCTCCCCCTCGCCCTTTCGCCCCCTTTTCCTGCACAACGGCGGCAGTAGCCGCCGCCCAGAGGCCGCAGCAGCGTCTAGCAGCCGGACGCCCTCTGCCCCTCCGCTCTGCGGCCACCCAGCGAAGGCGGCGGAGTGCAGTGGGCGGAGCTGCGGGGGGCGGCGAGGGGGCGCCTCGCTGCGTTCCCCCCATCCGCCGCGGCGCGCGCACGGCGGGGCAGAGGCTCCGGCGCGGTGCGGGACAGCGGGAGGCGCGCAGTTCGTTGGGCGCAGCGGCTGCTCCGCTCTGCTCTGCTCTGCTCTCCTCTCCAGGGAGCGGCGTGAAGGCTGGCGGCGCGTGAGCCAGTGGCCACGCCTGGGTGAGGGTTCCCGGGCTGCGGCGGGATGGCGAAGACCTTGCTTGGGCGATGAAGCTTCCCCAGGGACCGAGTCGGCAGGATGATCCTGCTCCCGCGTGAGTCCCGGCTCTTCCCTTCTCTCCGGCCGCTGAACGCCTTAGGCAAGCCGAGGGCCGGCGATGCGTGTCTGCGCGGGGCGCGAGCGGATTCCGCCGCGCGGGTAGTCAGTCACTCTCCAGCTGCCTGCGAGCGTTTCCCGCTGGAGATTCGCTTTCCAGTGTCGAGGATGAAGGCAAGTGATCGGGAGCTTTCTCTTTGCCGGCGGTGGCTTATTCGGAGGGAAGCAAGCAGGGGGACGAGCGTGTTCGCCTGCGTTGACGGTCAATATCGTGGACTCCCGTGCTGCTCCTGCTTCTTAAACTCCATAGCTGTGAATCGGTTGTTAAAGCGTCTCCTACTCCAGGCGTGCTTTCTGTGGATTGGTGTTTCTTACAGGGTCTGCTCTTGCTGCTTTTTAAATGAAGAAGGCACAACTAAACTCATACCCTGTCTGCATGCCATTCAATCTGTCATTGCGGGGATGCTTGTGAATTGGATACTTAACTGTGTCGGCCTTTCAGCTAGCTTTTCCTGAAGGTAGCCTTTTGTGGTGTGAGAATGTAGGTGTTCTGTTCTTTAGCCATAAATACAATTGAAATACGGTACAGCCATAACTTAGCTCTGAAGAATGTAGGTCAGTGGTGCAGTGGCTAAGACAGCTTTAACGCTACAGTGAATTATCTTTTTTGCAATTTAGACTATTGGGAAAAGAGCCAATATAAGTAAATAGCTTTGTTCACCTACCGCTGACCCTTCCCCCCCCTCCAAATAGCTGCTCTCCGTATCAAGAGGAATGCTCTTACTCCACTGTGGCAGAGGTTGCTTGGCAGCTCTCCATTTCCCAGTAAGAAGAAGCTGTTCCTATTTGTAAATGTGTAAATGGATGGTCAGATTGGGCTTCCCCTGCTTCAACTACTCTAGTACCTTCTATCTGAACAGTTAAAAAGAGCTTTAAATACAAGGAAATACTGTTGAGAAATACTCTTCACTCCCACTAAAACGTGAGCATTTACTTTTGTGCATACCATGTGAATTAGAGCTGTTACACTGTGAATTTCTCAGTGCCTACAGGCAAACATCATTGGTGAAAATTGTGGGTGGGAAAGCTCAGGTCTGTAATGTGACCTTATGTTGGTCTTATCATTAACTGCCCAGCTGGAGCCATAGCCAACAAAGACCCATACAAGGGAAGGCTGTCCAAAGAATCTGCTAATGGAGTTGCTGATGGGGTCTACACTGGTACTCTGACATGTGTATTCCAGAGTTTGGCATCGGGCTGATGCAGCTGCCAAGTGGGTCCCATGCATGTGGACTCTGGTTTTGGAGCAGATGGGTGGGTGTTACAGAAGAATAGGGTTCTGACTCCAAGAACAGAGACAGTATTCGATTAGCTTTAGGACAGCTTTCTTTCTTTGACGAGCATTTTTATCCTGTTCGGCTGTTGTTCTGCTGCTGCTATCGGACTGGTATATTGTGAGTGGGTTGGTGGTGAAAAATGTACTACACAGAGGTTCCCAGCCTTTGGGGATCCATGAGCACGTTCAGGAATGTGAGAAGCTGTTGTGGACACTGCCACAAAATAGCCTTCGTGGAGGATGTGGTTAGCCACATAACTGCTGTGGGGAACCAGACTGATCAAAAGACAATTAGTTCACTCAAGAAGCTAAGAACAAGCAGGGAGAATCTGAACTCCAAAGCTAATCTACATATAAGATTACAGAGAGGTGAGGAGGGGGAGAAGCAGCTAGATAAAGAGCTTGTGGAGCAGGGAGAAGTCATGAGGGTTGGAGAGCGGGATACACAGCAAGGCAGGCTGAGGAAGTGAACAAAGCTGGAAGTTCGGAGGGAAAAATAGCGAGATAATTAGTGAGAGAAAAAGTATGGCTAGGAAGGCAGAGAAAGGAGGATATGGATGAGGAAAAGAGAAAAATAATGAGGAAGAGAGAGAGAGAGAGAGAGAGAGAGAGAGAGAGTAAATCTAAAGGATGGAAGTGCAGAGGCACCAATTAAAGAGGAAGGGTCTGTGTGGGTAGAAGAAGGTTGAGCAGGGCCAGGAAAGCAACTCTTTCCTTTACTTCCTGCCCACCAAAAAGAGCAATCTTCCTCAATTTTGTGCCTTCCAGACGTGTTTGGACTGCAGCACCCAGATTTCCTAGTCAATGGCCCTGCTGAATGGGAACTCTGGGAGTTGTCCAAAAGTCTCTTGAGGGCCAGTAGGTTGGGGAAGGCTGCAGTACAGGATCAGCGCCCAGTAGCAGGTTCAGGAAGAGGAAAGAAACCTGATACCCAAACATTTTTCAAATTAGAAATACAGTTTTGAATGAGGCAAGGAGTGGGGAACTTTGCAGGCGCCATTGGAAGTCTCCATGAGCATTCTACTGGGTGTCCACACAACACTAGTAACTATCAATATTGGCACAAATATAATGGTAGCGAAATGGACATTTACTGAACTAATCCAAGTGGGGCCTGACAGACCTGATACTACTGCTCTCTATATACACATTTGATTGGGAATAACCATCAGTGTATGTTAATAATTGAAGAGACAATAGGAAGCATGAAAGGAACTCTTTGCTTTAGGAGAGGAATCCCTGTTATCTCTGATCAGTTATCAGGGACAACAGTGGGATTCCCCTACATGGCAGCCCACCCAGTTGGGAGGGAAGTGCTGCACTCACAGCTTTGCCCAATCTGCATCTTCCTAAATGAGGGAATGTGCTGGTAAGGCTATCTCAGTGGAGGTTGAGGTACAGGAATGCTCAAATGACCAATGGATCGGTCTGAGCAACATTCCCCATCCTTCATCCTTCCCAGTAGGCAGGCTTGAAAGGCTAAGGAAATAAATATTATGATTATAGAACTTAGCAAAGTTGAGAAGTTCTTTTTAACTGGTGTATATGAATTGGTTATTGTGAAATTGCTGCATTTCTGAAGCTTTAAGAATCTTTTTCAAACATAGATGAGGAATGTTACTTGTTCCAGTTTTTATCTAAACTTGAAAACTGCATATAAGATGTATAGATAAAGGAGCTAAAGTGTAGTTAACTTTAATAAATGTTTCCAGCCACTGGAGAAAATTGCAATATTAAATATAATGTAAATGCTTATTTAGATCCTCCAGATATAAGTAACAATTCATCATTATCTGCATATGTTATATTCTGTTCCAAGTATCTTTTAGAAGAGGTGGGAAAGCTGTGGTCTCCAGATACCAGTTTGCATATCACAGAGGCAATTAATCCATGATTTGTAGAGGTGTGCATAACATATGATCCATCAACAAACCATGGGTTATCTATAGGTTTGTTTAACCCATGAAAAATTCATTCTTGGGGAGTTCAAATGCCAACCTAAGGACAGGACTGTTGTTTATGAAAGTGTTTGCACCTTCTCTGTTCCTCAGTTTATTGTGGTAATGTGCGAATCAGGTAATTGTTGGACTACAGCTTGTACCATCCCATGCTTGCTGGGACCAATGGCAGCTAGATCTCAAAACATCTGGAAGGTTACAGGTTAGTGCAAACGTCAGGAATATAGATTCTAGAAAGTCTGTCAATTGCCAGTGGCTAGCTTTTTTTTTTTCTTAACTTTTATATGTCGTCCTATGTGTGAGACATCTCAGGACGGCTTACAGTATTAAAATCAGAATACACTAAAACTAAAAAAAAAACCAGTTGTGCTTTTACAAAACAAAGGGCCTATTGTATGATTTGCTTTTTGCTTGTGTGTTTAATGCATTTCTGCAGTGACCACTTTGATGCTTGCAGTTACGAGTGGCTAGTTGAAATACATGGAATGGAACTGTGCTGGATTATGGCCAATGACTTTAAATTAGTTCACTTCATTCTTTATTTTCTTCACTAGTGTTTATTTGGTTTTGGCTTACGAATGTTACTTAAGGAACACATTTATTTGGTATTGCTACCTTGCCGCACAGAAGACAATTAAGAACATATTCTTGCTTTTTTTCTGAAGCACAGGTTGATCTGACCTGGTAGCATCCCTTTAAAGCTTTTGTCCTCCAGGGCATTCTACTCTGCAATCTTAGAATGAAAAATTAGCCAAGATACATGTTTTTATAGTTTCTCAGAAGGCTGTAGCACTGATTGTTTCATAAAGGAAAGCAATTCGTCTAGAACTTCTGTTAGGTTTAATCTTAGGGTAATGAGGCCAACTGGAAGTGGAAACATTCAATTATTCAAACATTTAGAAAATGAGAAATAATGCATTTACGTGTCAGGTGAAGAGGGTCATATCATTTGAACTACTCTGGAATTTCACACCTTATGCTGATAGTCCCATGAAATTTTCAGTGAGTTCCCTTCCCTTCCCCTTTTGTGGGGGGAGGTGGGTGGGGAGCAAGTCTTGATCAACCCAACTTGGAAATAAGTAAAGAGTTTGATATTGGAATGATCTTGAAAATCCAACCTGAGCATAAGTTGTTCAAGAATAAGAGAAAACTGTTTTTCAGTACACATAGTAGCTTTTAACAAAGGTCTAGGGGCGCGATCTAATGTTCTGCAAGCAGATGTCTGCTTCTGTAACATGAGGTCATCTTCACTTTCTCTTCTGCAGCCCCTTCCATCTCTCTAATATCTGCTCTGGAGGTTGCCCCAACACTCTGGAGGAGATTTTTTTTTTTAGGTTGAAATTTTTTATTTAAATAAAAACATACTACAGAGATTTTTTTTTTTAGGGCATGCAAGAGGAAATTGCCATTCTGCTGGTACATCAGTGGGTAACTTGTAGATGTCCAGATATTTTGGCCTATAAGTCCCATCAGCCATAATCAGTATAGACAATGGTGAGGGAAGATGGGAACTGTACTCCAAAATACCTGGAGGAAGCAAGTCTTTTAACCCTGCACTGGTGGAATCTGTTCCATTGGTGGAGGATGCTAATCAGATACAAGCCAAGGACTAAAGATGGATTCACAGAGTCAGTTTGGTATTTATTTTATCTCTGTTCCTTAATGTCGTCTAAATTCTCTGGGAGTGGACCTTATGCCTGGTTTCACTGTTTCAGTTCCATGTTGGTATTATGAGACTTTGGTTGTTTTCCCCAGGGAAGGAATGAGATTAAAAAGTGTGGGTGCCTGACTGTGTTGGGAAAATCAGGGTATGACTTTTTGGTAGGCTGTTAAATTTCCCACGTCTTGCTATGGGTCTGATTTGACAGGGGCTCTGACTAAAGACACTGCCAGTGTGTTTGGCTTTACTCCTACGGTGGTGACTAGCTACTTCAGGATCAGCCTGGTTTCTTGTCCGAACCATAAGTTGAACTTCCCCAGGTTGTTGATACTTGACTCTATCCTGTTTTCCCTCCCTAAATCTTGTGTCTGCATTCATTTCCTGATGCTGATCGGTTCTTTTGCACACATTCTTAGCTATTCTTCAACTGTGATTCCAAGAAAATGCTGTTGATCATTCCTTTCTAATACCTTCCTTCTCAGCTATTGACATTATTATTAGCTTGCCCTAATAATAATATTTCTGCTCCTAAATTCTGAATGGACTTCAATACTGCCGGCCACAGAATACATCTGGAGTTTCCTGGGCATCCCAGAACATTTAATTTAATTTAATTTAATAAAACATTTTTATCCCGACTTTCACTATACGTCTCAAGACAGCTTACAGAACATGCTAGATTCTTGCTTCAAGGTTTTTGACTTGGCAGTCAAAAATAGGCCCTGGACAAAGGTTGCAAGTGACTTCCTCTGTATGACATTGGGAAAGTTTGTTGCCCTTGATGGCCATCTCATAACTAGTTGCACATCTTATTTCGGCCCTGGGGACAAGCAAATGTAGTTCCTTGCGGAAGTGCCAGGTTTTATGGCTAGGGAGTTATCTTGTAATTCCAGGAACATCACTGTTCAGGCATTGCAGTTCTGCTTATTTGGTCACTAGGCTGGCTTGAAGGATCTTTTTCAGACTTAAGACTTTACAAACACATCCTCCTTCATAGGTACTTACATCTTGAAAAGTGCTTTGATTTTAGAGCTAACAAAGTTTTAGAGTAAAATTTAGTTAATCACTATGTGGCACTAGGACGAACCTAAAGAGACAGGGAGAGAAAATTCAGTAGTTAAGAATAAGAAAAACAGCTCTTAAGAAATCTGAAAATATTTTTCTTTTTCTTCTGTGTTGATAGTTTAATGTCATTTCATGCAAATCTATTTAATTTTAATAGTAATAATAATGATGATGCATCTCATTGGTGGGTTATGCCAATACGTGTGTATAGAGGCAACTGGTTTGTATCATTCAAACTGTCAAATTTTAGCGCTTTTTTGGAAAGGTTTATATTGGAAAGCCTTATAAAGCCTTTCCTGGATCTGGAAGGTTCTGTCCGGATCAGGATTATGTTATAAACTAGGCGATCGGACAAGATCCCAGGGTCTGTCTTCATGCAAGACCAAGTAACTTGCAATTTTTGTTTCCTGCAGAGAGCTCTGCTTTGCTTTTCCAGAAGCATATTAAACATGTTTACATTTTAAGGCATCTGGTGAATGTTTTGTTGTCCTGCAAAGTTATATTTCCCCTTTTTCCTGTGGGAATGTTATAATGTTATATCCACAGGATTTTTATTAATGGACACAAAAGGACTGGTTAGCTCCTGACATCTGTTCTAGTGAGCCAGATGCTGGGTGTTTTAGATGGCAGGCTGTGAAGCTAAAATACTTTAGGGAAGGGTGACCTGTAATGGAGAATCACAGCTTCCTCTTTGCTATAAAATACCTATTAGAGCACAAGACCAGCTAGCTAAGCACTATAGAGCAAATAAATCATAATGATAAGAATACAAATGATAGGGGTCTAATTTGACTTTCAAACAAGCATTGTGTCTCAAATCCAGAAATGTTGACTTACACAGTTTCTCAGTATTTAGATTAAATAATTAGCTGTTGCTTTTGAGATCATGTATTCTGACCTCCTAATAGTGTTTCAGAACAAAAGATTCCTGGGGCTATTGCATTATGGAAGGTAATATAGTGTTAATGCCATTAACATTGATGCATCTGCTGTACGTGTGAGAACTCATAATGAAGTACTGGTGATATTTTATTTAATGTGTGGTGGGGGAGGGAAAGAGAAAGAAAGGAGGATGAAAGATAAACAAATAGGTGGGTTTAAAAATAATAGAGTTTACTGAGTGGCGGATGCTTTTTGTTTCTCCATATTGGAAAACCAGTCTTTAAAGTTCATTCTGTTTGTTTTCTTTCAGAAATTGAGGCCAAAGAAGCCTGTGACTGGCTGAAGGCTGCAGGGTTTCCTCAGTATGCACAGATGTTTGAAGGTAAAACACCAGTTGTGTTCTGAGATCCAGGGATAATTGAAAAGTACTCAAAATAGACTCCTTCCAGTTGTAAAATACTGTACAGACATGCTTGTGATTGTCCAGGATACATGAAATTATACACAAATATCTAATAGTGCAAGTTCATTCAAGCTTCTTTATGTGAAACAGGCATGGGAACAGATGTAAGAGTGTATGCTGTACTCTGGTTGATAGCAACAACATCTGCCCTTTCACGAAGGTACTTTATTTTTTTTTTTTTTTAGGGTATTGGCTGCTTTGACCTAAAGCAGAATTGAGACACAAGTCCACCTCTTAGGATTACAGTGTCTCCAAGTTTCATCACCAAATGAGATGCAGTTTGTGGTTGTAGTAATTTTGGTGGTGTTGCTTTGGTTGTCACATTCCTTTTCCATAAAAGAATGCGCAATTTGTGAATCTCCTCAAGTTTTGTCTACAGCTTGCTTCCTCTCACCGTTGACTGTGCAGGCTAGGACTGAGGGGAGTTGTTTTAATCCAAAATATTTGGAAGGGCTGCCATAGAACCTTGCTTGGCATCTGTTCTGGTGACAACTATTCTTCTCAGCCAAGCACTAAGTAAGGGAGCCCTTTTGAGTACTAAAGAGGGAAAATCATTTCCCTCAAATGAACAGCTAATGTGAGATAAGAGTTCTTTCCTGGAGCACTCAAGGGACAAGGCTGGGGGAAGAAACTCTTTGGTTGGACAGGGAACCCTTGCAGGACTTATCAGCCCCATGATCCAGTGCTTCCCCATCCCTGATCCAAATGCGCAAGCTCATGGTTAAGTGTTGGCTGTATTCTAGGCCCTCGTTTGCTTCATCTATATTAAAGGAAATAAACTTCCTGTATTTCAATTGGCAATTGAGAGATGGGTTGAAGTTTTAATACTTAGCATATATATTCTTTCTAGAAGCCCCTGATTTTTGAGTTTTTCTTGATAACTCTTGTAAGCTTTTTCCCATTGTGTTGAAGATACATAAATATGTGATTTCTTCTTTAGGGTATTTTGATGCAGGTATTTATCAACATAATGCTTTGGGTTGGTATTTTTAAAAATATATTTATTATGAGTTTCAGCAAAACAAAATCTTAAAAAGAAGAATTACATAGTTTTGAATATATCAGTTACTCATAACCTTCAAAAATTATCCATGTATGTATGCATCAGAGAGTAGTGCTCAAGTGTTGAAACCAGTGTTAGGTCTTCAGTCCATGTGTTAATTTTGTTCACCATGTGTTAATTTCCAGGAAGGAGGTAGAGAATTTAAAAGAATGTATCTGTAAATATTAAAGAGAAATCTAATACAAAGTTTATCCATATTATAACCTCCTTCCAGAAAGAGGCAACTCTTGTGTTAGTACATTTCTAAGCTTATGTTGGGAGCTGTAAACTTTAAATTACTTTTCTCAATAATCATAATGTACTTTTGTGAACTTGGTTTTGCAGATATGCAGTTTCCTATTGACATGAAAACTGTGAGAAAAGATCATGAGTTCTTAGATCAAGATGCGATAGAATCGCTATACAGGTAAACCTGGTTCTGAATTTACTCCTTGGTTTCATAGTAGCTATCTTGGATTAACGTATGTGGCTTTAATTAGGGAAAATACCTATTTAGGACAGTGGAGTGATGACCAAACATGTATCCTACTAGTTTCCTGTTTAGATGTCTGAAGAGATAATTATTATATGGGTACATGTTCTTATAACCTCAATGGTAATACAAATATATATGTTTCAAAGAACTTTTTCTTCTAAAAGCCAAGGCTGCTTTATATAAATGTAGGGCACTTCCAGATTTCATGCTAGTGCAAATTACTTTGCTTCAGTGGAAGCACTCTGTTGTGCTAGCAAGTACTATTGGCATTTCACTAGAGCCTGTTTATGCAATCAGAGCTTAATTTACATTCACATTAGTGCTAAATTCAATACCACTCATGATGTTGTTGCTGCAGAATTCCTTTTAAGCAATTAACATACATTTGTGTATGCATCATGCTTGTGGCTACCTAGAAATAGATTTGTGTGAACTGGAAACATGTATATATTAGATTACATTGGACTGAACATTTTCCTGTGGTTTTTGTCAGTGTTTCATGGAGTTGCAGAAATGGCAAGAAATGCTACAATGCCATCTGCATGTGTGTTTCTGGTTCATGCACTCTCACTCTCATTGACATGCATGAGCTTGAGGTGAACTTGATAACAGTGTGAATCACGTGGCCTAGTGTACAACCTGCTCGGGATTCTTTCAGGCTCCAAACCTCTTGAGTTGTTCATGGATTCATTACTATGCCTAAAGCTTGGGGTTGAAGAAGTGGAGCAGCCAGGATATGACTGTCGCAAAGAGACAGCAAGCCTTTTATTTCCTCTGTTTCTGTGTAGGCAATCCTAATTCATGTCTTCAAACCAAACTGCTTTAAATTTACCAGAGTTTGGTTACTGGTTCAGAAAATGACAAATAGAAGGAAACATGCTAATAATGCTGTAGCATCTGCATTGGCTTTCTGCTGATTTCTAGCCTCAATTCAGGCTGTAAGGATTGACTGAGAATCTTGGATTCAACATAAACACTCAAGTTTATCAAGAGCGTCCTTTGGAGTTAAGCTTTCCAAAATGCCATGAGCAAGTTTGCATGCCATAACAACCCACCCTACCACTAACCTATGTAGCATGGGTTGTCTTTCCCCTCCTTTACTCCTTGCCCCTGTCCTTCAGCTGATATCCCAGGGTCCTGCATAGCAGAACCTGTCTTGTCTTCCCCTCCTGGATCTTGGCTGTGAACCTGTCTTTGTTCTCTGGGGTTTTCCCCCCTGAAGGCGTGGACTTCTCCCAGTTGAGCTACTCTACCAATGCTCAAGGGCATTTTGGAATGTCTTCACTGTCTCGTTATCCTTTTGAGGAGGATGCACAAATGTGTGCAATATAGATTGTGTGTGTGTGTGCTGGTCTTGTACAGGTGAGTACTTAGAGATGCCTGGAATGTGGAGTCTTGCCTGGACAATGTCCTGGTAAGTGCCTGCTGTCAAGGTGCAGTAGAGAACATCCATGGACATTGATCAGGCAAGTCTGCATATCAATTACTTTGCGCATTCTTTATAGCTGTCAATTGGAGAACTGTCAATTAAAAAAGAAAGCAGCAAAGGAGAAAGCAGGGTAGAGAATGTGCATATCTGGAAAGCGTGGTAGTGACTATATCTCCCCTTTACCTGTGTGATCCTCCAGTTTTTAAGGATTGCCTTGACCGTTCTCAGTGCCCCCTCCCACCTTTTCTATTCTTCCCTTTGCCCATACGTACTATATTTCCCTGTCCAAAAAGGCTGATTTGCCAGATTTTTAAACTGCAAATCCCTTCTGATAGGTGTTAAAAGAAAGTGCTTGCAAAAAAGGAGGGTGGACTATAGATTTTTCCTTTCTGCAGTACGTAGAAGTGGTAGTCTGCTTGCCACCCCATTTCCTGAGCTGAGATCTTCTATCGGCTTTTGTTTTCACTTGACAGCTTGGCATTTGAAAACTGTAAACAGGGAAACAAATCAGCAACTTAACATTTTCGTTACCTTGATATGGCAAGGACCATGGATGGTGTCACCTGAACTTTGGCAGGGGACACTGCTTAGGGTGCTAAGAAGGAAAAACTCTCCATTCTAGATAGTTAGGAGTGCTGCACTTTTTTGAATAAGTGCACAAATCTTGGGTGCAAACATCGGAGGCAAACTGGTAACATAAAATGTCTCCGTGAGTTGGGTACTTTGAAGCGGCTGTCATTCCAAAAAAAGAAGTGCCAGAAAGGGCAAAACTGTTGCAGATACCGCAGGCAGGATTGCAGCAACAAGAAGCTGAGAAGGAAAAATGGGTTCTGCCAGGGTCCCCTGGGATAACTTCAGGAGAATCGAGGGGAAGGACGGGAATAACCCACAGTGAGGCCAATATTGACTGGGTTCACATGACACAGCAAGCCACCATCGTCTATTGCTATTGGTTGCTCGTCATGTCATGTGAACTCACTTAGGGTTAGCAACAGTTAGAGACGACAGTTCACTGTGAAATGTGTTTAATGTGCCATCTGAACTCCACCAACCCATTCTAAGTCACAACAAATAAACCATCGGAAAGAGTGGCATAGTCCCTGCCTTGCCCTTGCCAAGACGCTAGCTAGGGGGTGGGACTGCCAGCCAAGTGGCACTTGGAGGAGGAGGAGGAAGCTGTCAGAGGTTTGTGGTTGAATGACTAGATATCAAGATGTTGTGTTGAACAAGGTTGTGGTTAACATTTTGTTTATGTTGGATTCACTTTTGTGAGGAACAGAATAGTAGCAAGACATGGTATATATCATTATATCATAATGGATCCAATTATTTTTCCTAAAATTCCATGAAATGAAATACAAATATATTTGAATCTACTGTAATAATGCCTCCCTCCCTTGCAATTTCTGCTTTTCTGGGTATTTCAGAATATCCTGACTCAAATTAGAACAAATAACAGAAGCATCATTTCCAAAATAAGGCACAGATATTCTAAATAGAGCTTTGGTGAGGTGCTGCAGGCACTAAAGAACTGGTGATTCCCCCCCACCCCCTCCAGCCCCAGCAGCTATTGTGATATAGGTACATTAATTTCATCTTTTTAAAGTCAACAACAGTTCTTCCAAACATGACATAACTTTGGTTTACCCTCAATTTGGGGAGTGTCAGGTTAATTGCTTAATTGCAACCAATATTGTTTAAAGCTACTTAATTGCTAAAGTGATTCCTAGAGGCTATATATAGCTGAAAATTAACACAGTTTGATCCTACAATATGTTTTAAGCAGCTGTTCAAGATAAAAAGAGCAAGTTTCCCTTCAGAGAGTCAGATCTGAACTGAAAAAATGGTGATTGATTTATTGTTAAAGGCTTTATCAACCTCAAGCTAAAGCTGTCCTTGAGCAAAAATGGTACTGATAAATTTTATCAGTGGATAGCAAAGATTTGAGAGCAGTTGTGGAAAAATGAAATTTTCCTTCAACAGCTCTAATATATGATTGCTTTGGCTTCTCTTTATTGACAACATAGAACAAACAGACAGATCAGCAAACTCATTTGAAATGTGCGTTAATATTGTGTTGGAGTCAGCTTAAGCCTGCCATGAATATAAGAGTTCCATTCTGTCATCAGGAAGTTTTTTAATTTATTTATTTACTTAACAGTGTTTGTATACACTGCACACTCAAGAGTGTTAAAATTGGCATCTTCCCATTCTTCCAGCAAGATAATTTTGAGCAGGACTCTGCTCATCAGTTCTTCTATGGCATAATAAAACTTTGCATCAAACCCGCAATGCTATAATGTTTCACTTTGCATTCAAAATGTAATAACATAATTATATTGACCACATAACTTTTTATTACTCAGATTCTTAAAATGCATGCAGGGTAGTAGCTGAAAGATGGCCACATACTTCAATATTTGTTATCTATTAATATCTTGCTAAACCCATTGCTAAAATTCCACGAGCTCTGCCAGGCAGTTGTCTGAGACATGACATTTTGGTTATTTTTGCATTATGAAGACATATTTTTGTGTCTGCTCCCATTATTAAGAACATTAGTAGTGAAATGTAATCTGAGAAACTATACTTAGTGAACTGCTGAGGTAAAATGCAGATAAATGAAAGTAGTTTAGTGTGTATGTTAAATTAATTTCAAGTAAGGAAAAAAGTTTGAATGCCACTGAGCACAAAATTAGAAAAGCCACTTAATATGTGTCTCCTTTCCCCCGCAGACGGTTAAATTCATTGAATAAATATGCAGCAATGAAGGTGGAAATATGTCGGCAAAGAAAGCGGGTATGCTTCCAAATTTTTCAATTCCTTATACTTTAAAAATGAAAATAAAGGCAAATATGTTGGTGTAAGACTATGCTCTATTGAGGCAGTTGTTACAATTTCTGTTTAGTTGTCACAACAAGCACAACTAATGTGATGAAAAATACTTTCTGTGAGTTCTGTTGTGCTCATGCGCTTTCTCAGTTATAAACACGTAACATTCTCTGTTCTCGGTGAGGCCTTATCCTGAACAAACAGGAGTCTCCGGTCTAATTCATGAACATTATCTGCACAGGGTATTGTTCCAGTTCAGGCAGTCCCTGACTTACATACATCCGAGTTACGAACAACCTGTACTTATGAACTGCCCTAAAGCCTATTAACTTAAAAATTACTGCAGAAAACTGTCATCACTACAGAGAGAGGGGAACTGGGAGGGGAAAGAAGGAGGGCCTCCAAAGCATGCATTCCTGCCTCACCCATCCAGAGAAGGAACTCTCCACTGCATTCTCTTGTTGCAAGGAGGAGGCCGTAGTGAGTTTGGGTGGGGTGCAGGCTAGAGATATTCGTGATTTTTCCACTTAGATGGGGTCCTATGCCCCCAACCCGCACAAGTGTGGAGGACCAACTATATGTGGTATGACTTACAAATTCTACTTCAAAGCAAATTTTGGTTTTCTGTTCGTAAGCTGAGGACTGCTAGTACTACACATGAGGCTGAATGAGGTGGTAGACTCCGGAAGTGTGGAGTGGATTGTGCATTTTGCAAATTGCATTCTTGAGTGCTTCTCTGTGTGCAAAAAGGCACCCAAGTAGAGAAGCACCACGGGGAAGTAGCCAGGGCTGGAGCATTTCTTATCACTATGCTAGTTTTTACATGCATGACATGCTTCTTTTATGGGGAAGCATTACAAAATGCTATACCTTATCAGGAGTAATTCAGTTTGCTTTACCATATCTGGATATTACCAGCTCATCGGATGCATATGTAGAATGCACACTAGGCACAGTTTGTAAATGTTGCTGTGAAAATGTGGGCGCTCCAGAAAAGATGGGGGGGGGCATGTCTACTGGTGCAGGGAAGGGTGGAATGGCATGGTCCATGCCTTCTTGTGTTGTTCTGGAACTGCAGGAGGTCTAACACCCATACCAGGAAATAATGGAAGAATCCATCCACAGAGTTGAACACTGATGTTAACTGGGAACAGGTTTAAACAAAAAGGAATCTAGTATTAAACAGGAATCGATCATTTACACTGATACATATTTTTTAAAACCCTTCTGCTAGAGCCAATGTAACCATTACCTGTTGAGCATAAGCTCCAGGAAGCTGATGATTGACCAAAGCATCCCCTTTGTTACATACAGGCTATCTTGGCTATAAGCCCTTCCATTCGGTGTGCAATTCCCACTGAAAACAAGTGGACTTGTTTAAGTAGCTGGGATTCAAAAAAGAGGAGAAATGTCCATGTGTAGGACTTACACATGCCTTGGAGGCAGAATGGGAGTATTGCCCAATATCCCTTTCCAGCATCAGCCTTTCACTCCTCATGGAATCCTCTTCTGGAGAATGTAAGAATAATTTTTGATTGTCTGTCTGATGTTTTTACACCTCTTTCTTTGGCATAAGAGTGTTGACTCTGAAGAAGACGAGCCTTGTGCAATAAGTAACAAATGGGCTTATGAGAAACAGACTCAGAGATGGTCTCGTCTGGAGAGCTCTGAAGATGCTGGCGCACCTGTTCCTGGCAGTTTGCGACTTAAGACTCCTGGCAGTGGAGATGCAGCACTTTCTGATCAAGGCGAGCGAAATGATGAGTCCTCTGTTCACAGTTCTAGCAGTGGGGACAGTGATTTGATTAGCTTTCCAAAAACCTGTGAGGATGTTGAAACAAGCAGGAGCTCTTCAACTTGTTCTTCAAATAAATTGGCATCTCCTGACTCTATGTTCAGTTGCCCTCCTTCTCCTAGTGAAACCTTGAATATAATTAGTGAGGACAAACTCTTGGCTAAATCACCCGTGAGGAAGGAAAGGAGTTTCTTAAAGAAGATGGAGAAGTTGCGCCTAAGAAGTAGCAGTTTGAAGAGAGAAGCACATTCAAAGGCCAAACCCACTATTAGCGTACCTATTCTTCTGGAAGGACTAAATGAAGACAAGCTGAAAAGCCTTAATTGTGTAAGTATTTCTGACATGCTAGAGAGTCAGCCAATGCAGCCTTCTTATTCCCCGCAGACCTGTAGCAGCAGCAGTCAGTCTGAGGACAGCAGCACTGTGAGTACTCCAAGTCCTGTAATCAAAGTGAGGAAGCACAGCAAAAGAGGTGGCAACTGTGCCGAAGAAATGGATTCCAGCAAGCTTTCCTTGTGGAATAATATTTCAGAGCATAACTTCAAAGATGAGGTACATTTACATAAGAGCAAGGTGTTTAAAGTACCACAAGGACATAAGCCTGGGACTTTCCCCAAAGCACTGACCTACAGTCTCTTGTCTCCGATAGACAATACCTCAGTAAACTGGAGGACTGGGAGTTTTCATGGGTGTCGGAGGAATGGGGCTCACAGTAGTTCTCCAGACCTTCAAACTCCACCTGGCTCACTTTCACTGATGGATAACAGATTGAGCATATATGACAATGTGCCGGGCAATCATCTTGCCAGAGTGGGCGCATCAGAGGTTGGCGACGACGATGTTTTCACAGAATTAGACAGCGTTGTGGAGCATGTTAATGGACTCAGGCAGCTGGTCAGGCAGTGGACAGAAAAATTCTCTGATGATGGGGACTCTGACTCCGCCAGTCCTTCCACCGGGTCGCTCTCTCCATGCCCATTATCCCCTAAGGAAATCCATCTTGAGATTAAAAAGCATTCAGAAGGGCAGCTGGCAGAGTTGCCAGTCACTGATGGTGTCGAGGACTACGGATGCACCCGTGGATGTGGCCTCACAGAACTGGCATACGTAACCGCGCTGGGGAAAAGACTGGCATCACCACATTCCATCAGGTCAGTGGTTTAGCACTTGCTGGCAAAGAATACAAAGTGAAATATGGCTGGGATGGCTTTATGTAAGGAGAAGAGAAGAAAAAGATCTTCTACCGTTGTATAATAGCCATTTTCAAATGGATAGCTTTTTCTGTAACTTGTGTGGCTTTGTAAAGGGCTTTGTGTGGAAAATAATATCGATAAACAAGGAGCACTCAACAATTTTTTTTCTTCAGACATGTGAGGAGACACTGGTCAACTGAGGAAGGCACCAGTTTGAAAAGTCTTTCCCTGCAGATTGACAGCCAGTCAGCAGCCCACCTTAACAGGATACAGAAGCTTGCTTTGTTAAAATTAACCACTTTAATGGACAAATACTCTCCTTCAAGCAAACAAGGATGGAACTGGTAGGTTAGAATGAAATGAACAGACTTACTTGTCTTAGTATTGGGTTGGAAATTAAGCTGAACTTAGTAATTAAATCCCTGGACAGCCATTTCCCAAAATTTATGTTTAAATTACCTCATCACCATGTCCCAGTTTGTCAGGCTAATGACAGAATTTGTACTAAATCTTTAAAAGATGTATACAAAAAAATGTTACTTGTGAATCTTTTGGGGATATTTTGACAATGGCTCAAAATGGATAATAAAAGGGGGTAAAGGGCAGATGGAATTGAAAGAGGGTTGTAATAGTAATTCAAGAGGTTCTGAAGTTTCTGCCTTAGAGTGGTGGTGTGGACTTTTTTAGACTTGGGCCTGAATTTCATTTTGGAGAAGCTCTTCCACCCACCTTCTGGCAAAACAGGGTGAGGGTTAGAGTTAGGGTGAAGATGGTTCGGGTTAGGGTGAAGGGTAAAAATGGTAAAGGTCTTACCATTCATAATTAGCCTTAGGAGATTCATTTCAGCCTCTTAGAATAGGGAACACGCTGCACAAAATGTACACTTCATCCCCATCTCAACACTACCTAGAAAACCTTTTGTATTTCTTCTATATTTACAGGACTGTTCCAAAGTTCATTCGAAAAATAAAAGTCCCTGATTATAAGGACAAAAATGTATTTGGAGTTCCATTACTGCTAAATGTCCAAAGAACAAGTTATCCACTCCCAAGAAGCATACTCCAAGCTCTGGACTACTTAAGGGACCATTTTCTTGACCAGGTACCAGGATGAGAAAATCATTGCCCCAGTTCTTTCATGTGGAAGTAGCTACTCAAATAGTTACAGTACCTTAGCCTGGCTAAATGCCTGATGTTATCTCTGTCTGGGACTGTCCCACCCTTTTCTTACAAGAGCTGTTTTTGTTGCATGTCATAACAGACAATATTCTCAAATGCTCACATAGCCAAATACTTCACTAATTTCTTATGCAGATTCCTTTTTTTGCATAGTGGGAAAGGGATGGCTCATGACTTATTATCTTGGCCAATTCTCAGTACTCTCTCAAGCTTTGTTCCCACTCTTAATTGGAGTCATCACTTCTTAATCTGATTTTGTCCACAGACACACAGCAATAGCTTTGTTATGTTTACGTGCGTGGTATGAATGCAAATTCATTGCTCCCCAGGCCTCCTATTCCAACTGGCAGAAAAGCTTATGTGCTAGAAACACAGAGACTGGTATGGGGCAAAGGACAAAATGCACCAGTCGTGCTGGGGCGGGCAAAGCTGTGCTTGAGTCGACATGGGCATCTGCATCTCTCAGCAGTAACATGCATGTGCATATTTGTCAGTCCAGTCCAAATGCTATACACAGAAGACCTCCTTGTACTTTTCATTACTTCAGACCCAGTGCTTTTCAGTGTAAACTGTTCATGCTCCAGCCGTCTGAGTTCAATTGTCAAAATGAGCAAAGGTCTGAGATGGAGTGATGTACGTCTTTGTGTATGAATCAGCCTTGAATGACACTATACAGATGAAAGGAAGCGTACACTTACCAGGAGGAATCATTAATTGTTTCCCAGCAGTTTATCATTTTTTAAAAAAAATTCTGTCAAAATGCTTTCCATGTCCTGGTACTTATCTGTGATGGTACTGTGTTTACAGGCACCTTGATTTATACCAAAGCTCTCGGTCGACTTCTGGAAATGTAGTCTTATAGAGTTCAATGCCACAGCCAAACTCAGTGGGAGTTCCTCCTTGAGCTGCATCCTTATTTTTCTATATTCTTTGTAGGTTGGCCTTTTCCGAAAGTCAGGTGTTAAATCCAGGATCCTTTATTTAAGGGAAATGAATGAAAACAATCCAAACAACATATCATATGAAGGGCAGTCAGCATTTGATGTTGCAGACATGGTGAAGCAGTATTTCCGAGATCTTCCAGAACCTATATTCACTAACAAACTTTGCGAATCCTTCCTCCATATCTATCAATGTAAGTAATTGTTGCTTTAACTCTGTTTTGGTAATTTTAGTTCATTATTTCATTAAACTTCGTTTGCTTTGCTTTATTAATTTAACTTTTCCTGACAGCTGTTTAACTGTGATTTTAATTAATATACTTCCCTAGGTCACCAAATAAGCGACTATGTGTGTGCGCGTGCGTGCGTGTGTATCATGATACATATTTCATGAAGTAGCTTCAACTTGACCCTAGCATTGAGGTTTCTTCCATAGGAAGATAGTACTGGCAGAAAGGAATTTTCGCATTCATCCGCTAGCATGCTGGTGCAGATTCGGAATGTACATGGGGAGTAGAGGATGTGGAAGTTCCATTCTGCCCGTGATATCCTTCCACTGATTGAATGAAGATGCAGGATCCAAGCCTCACGCTACTCTGTTAAAACTAAATGAAAACTAGCTGTGGGTGGCTGTACTCTCTTTGGAAATAAGACAATGCTATTCCAACTTGACAATTCCTGTTTTCTCTTAGTGTCTGCCATTTCTTGCTTCTCTCCCTAGATCTACCAAAAGATCAGCAATTTTGTGCTGTCCAAGCTGCTATTCTTCTGCTTCCAGATGAACATCGTGAAGCTTTGAAAGTTCTTCTGTTCTTTCTCAGGGATGTAGTAGCTCTTGTGGAGGAAAACCAAATGAGTCCAACCAATGTTGCTGTCTGTCTGGCACCATCTTTGTTTCACCTTAATACGCTAAGGGGAGAGAGTTCCTCTTCATCTAGGTATTTTTGCTTGAACAATGTTTGTTTGATGATTAGCAAGAAGAAAAAAAAATACATCGTCAACTGTTCAAATGTAAAAGCCCTTCAAGCTAGTCAACATTTGTAAGAAATAAGCATAAAATGGTCATACCTTTCAAGTGGTGACTACTGCTAATCAATTTGTGCTATATTTGATTATCTTTATGTGGAAATTATGTCTATGACACTAGGAATACAGATAAAATCTTGCAAGTGAGGAGCATTACTAAACTATGTGTGCAGTGGAAGATAAAATTCTTAATATGGCTACCCTTTTCTAGTCATGCTGTGATTATGTACTGAGCCAATTGACTGGTTTGTATATAATGGTCTAATTAACCTGTATGGCTTTGTGGTATGTGCTGGCTGTCATTCTGAGTATGCAAGCCATGGTGAACACATGCCATGGATGTTGTGTACAAACCTGGGCACTGTGGGTTATGTCAGGGTTAAACAAGCCTCCTATAACCCTAGGATATAAAAATGCTGCTGAGCTTAGCATATAATGTCTTGCACATATTCAAAATGGTATCCAGCATGTAACATAACCCACTATGGCAATTGTGCAAATGCAGTCATTCTATAATAAAACAACATTTAGCACTGCCAGAACAGTAGTCACAGTCAAATAAAGAACATTCCACCCTACATCTTGGCATGAGTACCAACTGAGAATGACCCTACCAGGTTTTGAATCATCATGTTTATGTAACATAGTATGATGAGTGTTAGGAAAGAAACATGGTAAATGAAAAACTTTCCTCTTCCTGAATGCCTTTCTTTTTCATATTTAGTGTTGTTAACTTGCTCAGTTTAAATGTGGTCGGTCGGGGTCTCTCTCTCTCTCTCTCTCTCTCTCTCTCTCTCTCTCTCTCTCTGTGTGTGTGTGTGTGTGTGTGTGTGTGTGTGTGTGTGTGTGGTATTTCTTCAGCCTGTTCTGGGCAGTATTTTGTTTGGAGAGAAACACACACTTTGCTTGCCAGGTTAGCCCATAAACTTGTGACTTGCAGGAAGCTTGGGATTATCATCATAAAATAGGATCACAGAGTTTGGGCCACCTCAGTTGCCATGCAGTCTCTGTCACTGCATAAGTCTTCTTGGAATGCATACTGTTTTCTAAGAGCTGTTCCTGTGTTACCTACCACATTTGTGGGGCTTCTTGCCTTACTGCTTCAGCAACATGAGAACTCAAAGGTCTCATGAGAATTGCCTCTTAGGCCAGTATTGCTCCGCTTCCTGGGGCAGTACATTGAGAAGCAGCCACATACGAGCTCGTAATTGTCTGCTCCCACCAAATTTCTTTATGCAAGCCGTGTGGAAAGCAATGCTGAAGTGGTGATGTACAAATAGGCCTCAGACAGTCCTATGAGGAATACCGAGGAGCATCTAAAATTGTGGTAGAGGTATCTTTTTAAATATAGGAGTGAGCAGTTTGGCCAATCCGTCCATCTATTCATCTCCGAATTTGGAGAATGTACCTCAGCTTGCAGTTCTCCAGATTTATCCAAAGAGAAACTGCCTGATCTTACCTGCAGTGAGTCATTCAGGGACCTTGTACACCTTCATATGAACTAATCCCCGCAGTAATATGGGAATGGACTGGAGAGCAAGGTGAATCTCTCAAAAATAAACAAATGCTGTTTGGGTACAGATAGTTGCACCTGAACTGACCCTGTGCTAAAGGTAGTAGTCACAGGGTAGTCACAGAAAAAAAGTAATTCTGTAGCATGTGGGTGCTGATGATTTGTAGCAGATGGATACCACAGTGTCAATTCTGCTTCCAAGGATTTTACTTTGAGAAAACTGTCTGTATGGTTTTTAGGATGATAGTTCAGTCTCGAGAGAGGTGAAGAGAGGTAAAGCATGTTAAGAATGTGCGTTTAATACGTGCATACAACCCAGATGTATATCAGACTGTAACAAGTCCTGTGATGCCCAGCCTTCCCAAGGAGACAGGGCCAGGCAAGGCAGAATAGGCTGAGATGTTGACAGCATAGTCAGTCACAGAAGTGAACACATCATCAGAGACAGGAATGTGTCAGAAGCCTTGATAGAAAATTCTGTTGCTAAGTTCTTAATTGCAGGTGAAGAAACATAGAACCCTTTGGAAATGAGGCAAAGGCGGCCCGAGTCTTCCCTTTTCCCCCCCCTTTGACCTCTGTACTTCTGCAGCAGAAGCACTTAGCTGAAAAAAGAGTGTCTCATTCTATTGTTTTAACTACTTTGAACCTGAAGTTTACATAATAAATTTGCTAATATTTTACCTTCAGTGTCGGAACTTCAGAAGGACCTAATCTTAACAGCTCTGGCTTCATGGATTAAAGCCAGTCATCTTTATCTCACAATCTCTGTTTTTAAATGATCACAAAGCATGTTTCAAGATAAAGCTATTAGAAATGAATGCCAGGCTCTTTGCAATCTTAATATTGGCATGATGCCACAAATAAGCTTAGAATATGAATTAGTGCTCTCAGGAAAAGCGTTAAGAGCTCTTGAGTAAAGTAATTAGCTTTCCCTCTGACTTGTTAGGCCAGTCATTAGTTAAACACTTATGAAGATGATAGGCAAATCAGTGAAGGCTTTGTTCATGCCTTTGACTGGAATGTAATTGACCAGGATTAGCTAACACTTACTCCATTTTGATAGGACTTTATAAATTCTCCATAGAAAGTACCTTAGTTTACAGGGCGATGTCTGAATCCCTGTTCGTATGTTTATACACAAAAAATGAAACAAACGATCAAATGTTCCTAAATACGACAAACATCTCTAACTGGAAAACTGACACTAGGCAGAACCACTTTTCTCTGAGATCTGACTTTCTATACACAGCAGCAAATTATTGTATGCTTCCCCTGGGCTCCATACAGGCCACAAACTCCTCCTCCTAGTCCAAAATGATAAACTCAGGTATAGATTTTACCACCTCAGTAAAAAATAGGCCTTAGTGGTGTGATCTGAACAAGCAATCCTTTAAATTCCCTTCAGATGCAGCCAGCGGAAATACAGCACTGGAAAACCAGACCAGAGGGATCTGAGTGAGAATTTGGCTGCAACGCAAGGCCTGGCCCACATGATAATGGAATGCCACCGACTCTTTCAGGTAGGGTGTTTTCTTTGGAAAAGAGCTTAGCTTTATGTACAGTCTTCATCCAGCACACTGCTTAGGCATGTGTGTAGTGTCAGTTTGCATACTTGGCGGAGTAGAAATGTAAGGTCTTTTAATTGTTGGCAGTAGTAAAGAACAATTTGTTTGTTTTTGGACTGGTGCATTTGCTTCTTGGAGCCAAACTAAATTAATTTCCTTTTAGCATACTTCTTCCATGTAGATTCTGATGTATTATAATCTAGCCTTGGCTGCATTGGGTAAAAAATGCTGTTTATGCTTTAATTTAGTCTACTACAAATGTAACCTTGTATATTTAACCCATTTTTCCTTAATATTGCTGTATGTCACAAGGCTGAAACCAGAGCTTGATCCATTCCTGCTTTGGGTCAGGGTTTCCAAATTGGGGTGCAGTACCTCTTTCAGTCCAAGGGCCACATTCCCTTCAGGAGAAGCCCGTGGTAGCTGTATTCCAGTGGTGGGCAGGTCTCACAACAAAAGGTGTGCAGCCAAAGTACAAAACCATACTAGCGTGTTTTTCAAGCTCTTGCTACTGATAACTAAATTTATTTAGCATTTCAACCTTGTAGACAAACAAGCAGCAAAAATGAGAAATCACAGCAAAAGGATAGAGAAGGAAGGGGCATGTCCATCTGGGGAACTCTAAGATGGCTGGCCTGGCACCCCAGCAGGGCTGAATTAGGCCCATGAACCTGAACTGCCCACCCGTTTCTAAAGCACATGCCTGCTGTCCTTGTTCTTCACTTTGTTCCTTCCTCTGCTTAATTGTTGACTTTGGTTCTTCTGTGGCTCATTCTAAATATGGGCTCCAAAATGGTTTTGGGTGGGGGCAATGACTCACATTGTCCTCTTTTGGAGGAAGATAGCTCTCATGATAAGCATAGAACAAAAGGAACACCTCTTCCTAAATTGATCTAAAACTTCCTCTCCGATTAGGTGGAAATGTGTGTTTTCCTCTCTGGTGGAGCACAGCATGGACTTAATTACACCCATTCAGTCCTAATGTGTAAATGCACTGGCATCTCTTCTTGCCTGCTGTGCTGACTGCATTGTCTTGCCTGGGAGTCTGACCTGCCAGTGCGAGGCCAGAGCTGGTAAGGCTGAAGAATGTATGGCATTTGAGCCTTCTGACCAATCCTCTCCGCAGCATTTGCGCTGGTAGGAGCCAGTGCCAAGATGCCCTTCCACCCAGGCACTGAAGCAGCTTGTTCAGTTGTTGGAATAGTCCAGCATGGGTGGGAAGGGCTGAATGGCATTTTTATACATGAGACAGGCTGGAGAGCGGCTTTCAGTTATTCTTGCCTCCTCCCTTGGCTTGCACTCTGTTCTACTGGCATGCAAAGAAAGTGTGGGAAAGGAATAAGAAAACACAGAAAAACAGGGAGGCCATGTGGTGAGGGAAAACTTTAAAGAGCTGAGGACAAGAGGGAGAGGCTGTTGGCTATTTATGCAAAGTGCAGGGCCAAAATAAGCTTGATAGTTCATGCTTCACATTTGTTAGCATGGTCTTTTTCTGCCTTTGCTTTTGGCACAGGGAGTCAGCAATGACCTCATTAATAGCTATGAGCATGGCACCAAAAGAGTTCAGAGATTCATATGCTACTTGCCTCTGCATCTTGTTAAACTCTAATTTTTGACGAGAAGCATCTTGCTTTTGAGAAATTAAACCAAGGATTCTAATGGCATCTCTTCTTTACGTGTACTTGCATTAGCATGGTTGTTTCTGGGTACGTGGAAATAACTTCCTTTTTGGTTTTGTAGTATGTTTGAATCACACAAAAGTGGTTCACTTTCAGTTGTAGGAGTCTCCTCCCCCCCCCCCCCCACAGCTTCTCTGTACTGTGAAAAGCATCTCTCTTATTTGGTGCATTTGCAGAGCTGATGCAGCTCTTGAGATATATAATCCCAAATCCTCTGTGCATGATGACATTCTATTGATGGAAGCTAAGAAAGGCTGGTAAGTGGTGTTTTTCCTTGATGGGAGACTGCCTAACAAGTGTATATAAGCCACTTTGAACTCTTTACTTGCAGGTTCAACATTAATATTAGATACCCCAGCACTCAAATACACTGACACATCCATCAGTTACATACTGTGCTTCCCAGGGACTAACTTCTTGAAGGTTGTGCTTCCCAGGGACTAACTTCTTGAAGGTTGTGCTTCCCAGGGACTGACTTCTTGAAGGTTATGCATATATATATACAAGATTAGATAAAAGAATTATTTGTACCTAATGCTGTCACCCATTTCAGTCTAACTTGAAGAGTTATATTCTCCTGCAGGTTCCTGATTACTGCTTTGATCAGGCTTATGAAGACTCGCATAATCAAAACTCAGGTGAAGTAGCATCGCATCAGATCTCGGTAACGAAGCACTCTAGCACAGTGATATCCCTGGAGCACTCCATGCAGGACTTGCTTCGAGATGCCAAGGAAAAGTTCAAGAACTGGGTTACCTGTTCTGTCTTGGAAGGGGCAGATTCTGCATATAAAAAGGTTATTTGGGGCATGGCATGTTTAATAAGGGTTAGGTGAATAACTTTGAAAACGGCTTTAATTAATTGACTGGTCTCTGAAATTAATCAAATTCCTGGTCAGGTAGTATTTTATCACACTTGAAGAGATTCAGGTTCCTTCTTTAAATAAGGTGTGCGTTAATTGTAAGAATAGATTTTTGGCACAGAGCACAAAAGTGTCCGAATGCCAACATAGCACTGTCATCCAAGCTAGGAAATGCATTTATGTTTCAAGCATGTTCATTTCACTTGAGATGCTGTGATGACATTTTGTAAAGGATAAAGGAAGCAGATTTGAGCGCAACATCTAGCAGATATATAGACAACAGTCTTATACTAAACTAATCCAGGTGAAAACCTCATTAAAATCCATGGATCTTTCTTCTGAGCAGATATGCTTAAGATTCTGCTGTTGATGGAGAATGTCAATTTTAGCCACCAGTTAAGTGGCTCCCACACTGCTTTTAGTGGTCTGTGGCTTGATAACCTTCTGGCACAGTCCTGTATGTTTACTCAGAAACAAGCCTTGATGAGGTTAATCTGATTTACTGCCTATAGGACTGCAGCCTCTTTGTTCTTTTATACCAGAGGTGATAGATGTTACCCAAGTTGTTTTCTAATGAAATCATTATCTTCTAAGGTGGATGATAATTACCCTGTGCGCATATGGAAAGCTTCTGTTGAAATTGATACTGTCCCTAAAGTAATTCTGTATCGAATACTGATGGAGCAGCACCTGTGGGACCCAAGTCTTCAGCAGACAAAAATCCTAGAGATCTTAGATGATGAAACAGACATTTATCATTACACCGTAGAGAGTATGTTTCCACTTCCTCCACGAGAATATGTTGTCTTAAGGTAAGCATCACTAGAACATACCACTTCTGTGTCATGTACATGTGATTATAAGGTGAGATAGAGGTCAGAGCTTACCGTTCTTGGCCTCATCTCCACCTTCCAGTAGTGGGCTTAGGTAACATATTACCTGACATTTCTAAAGGGATGCAGTCCACAATGGAATTTTGTCTCAGAAAGGGACTGAGGTACTGTAAAAGTTAGCAATTGATAAATATTTTCCAGTACCTTTGATGGAGAGAATTCAATTGTTACATAATTTGGCAAATCTGCACTTACTGGGCAGCGTAAACCAGCTCCAGAGCAACCATAGATTGGAGAAAGTGAAGTGGTGAATAGGTTACTTCCAAAGACCGGCTGGCTCTCTGTGGCTAGAGCAATGGCATTCCCGTGCATCCTCCAGCAATTTTTCTATCCTGCCTTAGAAGGGAAATGAACTGTAACAAGCTGTCCTAATTACTGAGCTGAATCCTAGGGTCTTCAGAGAAAGAAAAGTGTGGAACCAGGGCCACCTCTGCCTCACCCTTAGAATACCCATTTAGCTAGAACTTTCCGCTGGTGTACTGGGGCTACTTTGGGCAGCTCTCAAACAGCCAAGGGAAATAAAAGAGTATTACTGTGTAGAGGTTAAAATCAAGGCTTGGATTTTGATGCTGCTAATATATCATACATGCAACTTTGGATATCATGCATACAAGCCAGAATTGTAATCAAATTGATTATGTAATTTAACTCTTGATGTAGTTAGTATGGTTTAATAAACATACATAAAAAAAATAAACAGTGTAAAAGATGTCTATTCTTTTCCTCTTTTCAGAACCTGGAGGACTGATCCTCAAAGTAGCACATGTGTGTTAGCAGCTACCTCAGCAGACAGTGAAAGTGCTACAGTGAGGGGGATCTTAGCCCAAGTTCTGCTTTGCCAGTACCTTATAGAAGCAGTTGGCTCTCAGAAATCCAGGGTGACACATGTCTGTCGAATAGATACCAGGTATTTCCTGCTTTTCCCCTTGCATTTGGAAATTATCTGCCAAGTCACAGACTGGATGGGTTTTCTGTAGAATATTTTATTTATTTGGACAACTTATATGCCACCTCATTTGCATAAGCCTCGGGGCAGCTTCCAATACTTAATAAACTTAATTAAATAAACTTAATTATTTTAGGATTCCTCCATAAAATTGAATTAGGCCGTGGAGGAAAAAAAACCACTGTTCCTTGTTCTGCTTCTGACCTGGCCACCCGCTTGTTATACTTTTCAAAGGGTGTTTCCTCATGGCTACATCTTTGTATCAGATAGACTGAAATAAAAGTGGATTTTAAAATAAGGTTCTTGAGCTACAGTAATTTGGAACATGTTGTTGAAGAGGCTTGGGTAAGAATTCTGTGGTTGTTAGAGTGTCTAAACGGGCACAGGGAAATATGGCGCCTCAGCTGTGCCCTTGGAAACATAATCAGAGATCAAAACTGGTATTTTGAATTTGGTGTACCCTCCTTCTGCCATTACAGCTGGCACAGAAAGAGCAGCCTTGGCTGTGGTTTCAGGGTTTGGAAGACTTACACTGGCATTTTGACGTGTGGGGAGGGGAGAAGTGAGGCCCTGCTAGGATAAGTTGCATCCCACCAGTACTCCAGCCTGTCCTCTTGTGAGCCATGGCAAAAGACTTTGATGGCTGAAATCCCAATTCTCTATTGTGGAGGAGCCGTATGATTGCAATCTTTGCCTTTGCACGCTTTCCACCTTTGATAGAACACCCGTGATACGAACACCTGTGAGTGAATTACATGTACCATACTGGACTGCACTGCTTCTGGTTTCCTCTTACTGTTTGAGACCATGGCCACATATGACTTAGCAGATCATGCCACATGAGCCACATAAAGCTAGACGCACATGCAAATAGACCAAATTTGCAAGATTCTTCTGAACTGCAACAGTGTATTGAATGTCCAGATAAAACCATGCCTATTTTCAGAACTATGTGGGTTTGAATAATCTGTGACTTTGGTACAGATAGAAGTGGAATATGCAAAGAAAAGAAAACTGCCTAGTACCAGAAGTCTTTAGTTTCTGATGTACTGATTTGTTTCTTGGCAGGGGTCGGACAACGGAATGGTACAACAGGGCTTTTGGTCATATGTGTGCTACAGAACTGATAAGGATTAAGAATTCTTTCAAAACATCACCTTACTGAAATTATGCCAAAGAGGACCACATAATGCTTTTGGAGATGAAGGCAATGCACAAGACTCCCAAGTTGCCTTTTTAAAATCCTAAACTTAAGTGGACTTGCCTTTTATTAAAATTGGTTTGACTAAGGAAGCAATATAGAAAGGGACCTTTAATGTTAAGAGGATTTTTTTCCAATTCAAGCATACTCTTGAATTGGTTGACATTACACACCTTCTTAATGTTTTATATAAAAATTTTATACTTAGAAAAGGAATTATGTTGAATATTACCTATCAAAGTAAGTTATTTAAAATGAATGTCTTGTTCTAAATATATTTTAATATGTGAGATTTTATATATTTCAGATGTTTTATCAAAAATGTGAATGGCACAGTATAATACCTTAGCAATTCCAAGTGGGCTTAGAAAACTGCCTGGATGTTATGCTGGTTTTTGTTTTTTATTACCCTAACTTATTAATGACACATGTATAGGAAATTCTGCTGTATCTGTTGGTCCACAGATTTGTGACTTCTGTTGCTGTGAAACCATTGGTAGATATCTTAGACTCCTTTCTAAATTAAAATGTATCCAGGAATATCAATTTGTTTTATAAGTAGCTTATAAGCAAAAAATCAAACTAATAGAATGAGCACTTTAAATTGAAACTATGTCCACCAATCTGAAGTATGGTCAAATGACTAGTGGAATATGGAACTGCATAACCATGCTTAGGCTGTTGTGTTCTCCAGGCAATGCCCATCCACCCTGCCATTGGCCACACTGGCTGGCACTTAACGCAAGTTGTAATCCAGGTTACCTACCCATTGGCAAGACGTAACTGCTTTGGTGAGGAGGTAGTGCAGCAGTGGAAACACAGAGTACAAGGTGGGTTCTGTAAAATAACTGCAATATTCCAGTCCTTTCAGCACTGAGTCAGCAGTCAGTTTCTACTGAGCAGGCAAAGTTCTCATTTGGATGTTCCTAAGATTCCTCTATCTGTGGCTGGGGGCAAACTTGTACCCAGGAATGTTTAATTTCTGCAGTGCTGTCTGCAGGCAGCTCTCATCTCTGTCTCTGTACCCATTTCAGAAAAAAGTGGCTCAGAGACTGACCCATGCAGTGTGTGTATATCTATGTTTTCACCAATACATTTCTTGCCCCTCTAACTGGTTCAATTTTTTTTTGGGCCTCACTTACTTATGCAAATTTCTATGCAGCGTTACAAGCTTGGTTGTGTTTGGGACAAGTTTTGTGGGGCAGAGCTGTATATCTGAAATCATCAGGCTTGCCCAACTCTGCTGCTACCATTTACACGTGTGGGTAGTTTAATATTGGCTTCAGCTTCATGAGCACAGGAAGATGTATGGTTTTAGTAGAGATGCTATGGGAATGGTATGTGAAGTGCTGACAAATCAATGTCACTTGCATGTTAATTAATGCTTTCCCTTCTTAATTAATATAAAACATTTGGAGAGCTTTTCATTCCTTCCCTCCATAAGCTTCTTATGCATAAAATGATCAGCTAGCAATCCTCAGTCAGCTCATCAAATGCTCTAACATGCTGTAACCATACAATTAACAAAAGTTATTCAAGGCAGCTTAACACTATACTAATCAGCAAGAACATTCCACATTTAGATATACTGAGAAAGGATAGTCGCTTAGCATATCAAGTGCTTTAAACTAAACTAGCCTAAGGCTGTGTTGAATGTATAGTGCACAGGTAAATTTTGTTCTTTGCTTGAACAAGTCCTGGTAACAGTCAACTTCTCTGTACAACATGATGTTCAATGACTTGAATATGCTCAATGGCATATTTAAAGTACATGGCACAATCTGGTTTATTGTTACATTTGGGTAGTACTTAAGTCATTCTGGCTGAGGTCAAAACCAAAACACCCTACCAAAATATACAGGGATGGCCAAATCCTTTTCTTGTTTTAAATGGATATTATCTTGCACAGTACCCTGCTCAACGTGCCGTGATGCTGATGGAATGCTCTGAAAATTCTTCCATAAAGAACAGTTTCAACAGTAGTAGTTAAATAAGCAGATGGGCTGGTTTGAGCTATTAGGACTAAATACTTAGGTTTGTTATATGGAAGACCAAAAACCCAACTGTTAAAAGACTTGCTCTACAATTTTGTCATTGCTTACTTTGCAAAGAAAAAGAAAACTCACAGTGTGTTAAATCACAAATTATTAAACATGGAAACTTGAGCCTACTAACAAAGCTGTTAACTTTTGCAGCTAAACTGCATTTTTGGAAATGTGGAAAAAACAAGAATATATTGGTATATTATTGCTATTTCCAAATGAGTATGTATTATCTGATACTTCATACTTTTTATCAATTACTTGTATTTGTCAAAAATTTAGGGTGTAAATATTGTTCAAGTGGATGAGCATCAGCTCTGACAACACACCTTCAATAAAAAAGGTGAAGCGCTATGGCTGAATTATTAACTTGTGACACAGGTATATGTCTTCCAATCACTGTAATATACAATTTTGTAAGCTGATGTAGACTTCACAACTGTTAATGTGAGATATGTATGCTGCGGGGCTAAAGGAGTCATGAGAATCGCTGGGAAGTTCTAAATATTTCTTTTGGATACAAGCCTCTATGCAACTCTATTTCTGCATTTCACAGCAGTTAACCACTTCGATTGTTGTGGTGCTACTGAAAACAATCTTGCTCTTTCCTACAAACAGATTCTGCTAGTGTTCCCATAATTTGGTCAGAATTTATAAATGTTCTACATTTAAACAAATTCACATGATACTGTGTTATAGAAACATATAAACATAGTTACCAGATTACATTTGTATGCCATGGTTAAGGCTTATCTCAACTGCCTTTACAGTAAAGAAACAACACTGTAGCATTCACTAGTTTAATTTTAAATAACGGGTCATGATAGTTTCAATTTCTGCAAGTCTGTAAAAAGAGGAGAGAAATTACAACTCTACAGAGTTACATTTTTTGGACAGGCTTGATTCCCAAGATGTCAAAACCTTTGGCCATAACAGCAGCAGCTGCCTCACACAAGAGCATTCGCCACATGTTCACATTCACTATTTTACCTAGCAAGAGAAACAACACGAGAGAATATCAGGTGAATTGTTGTAAAGGCAAACTTACTACCTTCTCTTCGTACTTCTGTACAGTAGCACTGGGTACATCTTGTAAAATTGCCTTCCCTACTTAGACAATGATCACAACTGGCTGCAATCATGGATGCCACTGTCTGTCGCATGCAGTACTCTGTAGCTTAAATCTATCCTCTTAGATCTTTATGTATCTTAAAGTACATTTAAGGTTAGTGCGCTTGATGTTCTGTAAAGAAAGTAGTATTAGCCCGTTGCCTTGAATGAGGCTAAGGTATATTGAAGTTGGGCAGGCAAGTAAGAAAATGACTGGCCTAACAATGCGGCCAATGGGGAAAAGGAGAGAACAGTGCTTTTAAAAATTTTAAAGGTTTGTTTTGCAATCACAGAGAAAGATCTTGGTGGGCAGAAGTGTTCTCTTACTCAACATTCAATCATATGTAGAACTAGAAGAACATTTCCCATCATAGCAGGAGCTTATAAATAATTGTGTAGAACAATGACAAAGCTCTTGGGGAGAAGGCATTGGAGACCCCTACATCCCTTACTCTGTTTTAATTTTCTCTGGCCCCTATATCACTCCACCCATGTCCCGTCTCTTCTTTGTAAAATAAAGAGGTAATCCAACTTACCAGTTTGTCTGTCTTTTTCCACACAATAGCAGTTGTCGTAGAATTCAGTGAATGTGGTAGCCAGTTCATAAAGATAGTCACAAAGGGTGTGCAATAAAAGGTCATCCAGGATTTTTTGAACAATCTCAGGGAACCTCAAAATGCATTTGCCTAGTTTCCATTCCTTTTCATGGCTCAAGATTATGTCTGTATTTCTAGCTGCCTTCTGCAGTGTCTCTTCATCAATATTGGCCAGTCTTGCTATAGATCTGTCAGAAACAGGCCATAATGACAGACTTGTTAAAGAACCAGGCTAGCTTCCCTATCAAAAAACTGATTCACATTTAAAAGGGAAGGATGCAGGAAAAAGAAGCTGTAAAAAAGACGGCTCAGTCTCAGAAATCATTTTTAACAGGACAAATCTACTACTCTCCAGTGGACCTTTCCAAAGTCCGAAAGTTAATAGGCTGGATCTTGATGATTTTTTTTTCTTCTGCTAGGAATGCTGTTCAGAATGCTCCCGCTTACAGATGTGGGGAGGTGATTTGCACCAATTCCTACTCCCTCCCCAATACCTGTGTCTTCTCCCCAACTCCCCAGAATCATTTTTTGGTGAGGGATGGCTGTACTGAGAAGGGAAAATTGTCTAACATTGTGACCTTCATTCTTCGAGACAGTATTTTACTGGAGCATGGAGAATGAAGGAGCCCTTCTGACTGCTGGAGACAAATGCTGGATGGAATTTAATGACTGGAGATATTGTGAAACCAGTTTGACATAAAATATATATTTTATTGGCCCTAAATATCCAAAACAGTTTAGCACAATAACTAATGGACCTAAATCTGCAAGCTTAACTTTCTCATTAGTTTCAATGGACTATCAGGAAATCCTAATGAAGCAAGAAGAGGAGAAAGCAAACTAACAAACTTTTAAAATGCAGAGATAAAATACTGGGTTCATATTAAAAAATAGAAAGGCTCCAATTAACCTCACTAACCTAAGAGGGTTCCCCTTACCCCCTGAAATACTTTAGGAAGTAAAAAAATCAGTGTTGCAAGTTGTATTCTGAGTGTTAATTCTTGTGTCAAAGGAAAGCCAACTTGGGAAGAAAATGGATCCCTGCAATGCTTTGTAATGGGTTTTTTCATACACACAGGAATGCACATTGTTTTAAATTCAAAAACAGGAAAGTATCTAGTTCAGTGCTCTTGAACTGGTATAACTACATAAAAATAGACTTTACAACGCATGCAAAATGCAATTCTTTTCAACAGGTTTAAAATGGAATCTAAATTAAAGTTTAGTAAGCTAACTTTTAAAAAAACTCCTGGAAGAGGATGAAATATCACAGGCCAATTAACCCTACAATTGTGAAAGAATACATACTGTATGAAGTAGTTCAGGAACTCTAAAATGTTTTCTAAACTATTCAAAGAGCCACTAGAATCTATACTCATCTCAATAACATGAGAGTGTTAAATTGAAATCAGAGCTGGTACACCAAATGACATTCCATTTTCCAATGTAGTGCTAATTATCAAAATAATCAGCTCTTGACACAGCCTCTGGGAATCATTACTATTAACCAAAAGATATAAATTAGCCTATGGTAAAAATTGTCCCAGAAATATCTTTTAACTTCATGAAGTCCTATTAAAGTAGAACCACTATAAGCAAAGGCTAAGAAAAAAATACTCTTCTTGTACCTGATTCGAGTAAAGGCATAAAGTAAATAAGCAGCGGTATTTCCCCGGTCATCCAGCATCTTATCAAAGGAGAAGATGTAATCGTTTATTCTGTTGTGGGAGAGATCAGCATACTTAATACAGCCAAAGGCTACTGCAGTCTGGGCTGCCTTCAGTTCTTCAGGTGTAAGAACCTGCAAGAGAAATAAGACACATCGCACTGTGACAAAGCTGTTGAATGAAGGACAAACTGGGGAAAAGAGGGGCAAGAACCTTTAAGAAATGTCTGAGAACATGAGCAGCAACTGAGGTGAATCAAAGGGGCAGCTATCATTGCCACAGACTTCTCAGTTAATTTTGCCTACAAAAAAAATCTGAAGGGTTGCTTGTTGTTTCATCTATGTGATGATGATGATTATAGTTAGATTATTTGCCACTGCCTTCCAGCAGACCAAAGTTTTATATGGATATACTACCTCAAGTGTTCATTGAGCCAACAGGTGATTCAAAACTATTTTGAATAAATACTGTGCCTTTTGTTGTGTTCTTGCCTTTAGGAGTCACAACCCATTTGTTACTACAGTGCTTTTCTTAAGTTTTTATACTGCTTTATTGATGGCCCTCAATATTTCTTCTTTCCAGAACCGCCTCCTCTCTTGTTCACTGAGTCTTGTATCATTTTAGCACATCCAAAGGCTTCCACTTTTACAACTCACCTACCACCTAGGTCAGGTGTTGGCAACTTGTGACCCTCCAAATAGTTTGTTCCACAACTGCGCCATTAACCCTAGCCAGAATGTACATAAACCTACCACTGACCAGTAGTGAGATACTATGTAAGCTGTAGGTCAAAACATCTGGAGGGCTAGAAGTTGGCCACCCCAGTCCAGAGGTTGGCATGAAAGGGAGATTCTTGGCAGCCTTGCCTTAATTCCAAAGCCGTGGGGTGTGAAAAGTACACAGAAGTTGTAGTAAAGAAGTCAGCCTTTAATGAGCCACAGGACTCATCATCTTTGTTGCAATTATTTATAATACTGATTTTCTGCAAAAAACAAAACAAATAACCTCAGCTAGTAATTTAGGGAAGCTCTAATGTGTGCTACATTTAACTGTCAGATTATCAGGACCATAATTTTTGGGACATTTTAACATGTTCTAGAAAACAAGAAATGCAGCTATCAACCACACAGCACAAGTGAACTTTGTATCAAGTGTTTGTTAAATGAATCCCTTAAGACAAGTGAATGATGAAGGCAAAAGCTTTATATGTACTCAAGAAGTGGTGACTGCTCTTGGTATGGTATAAAACAATTCTTAGCATTTTCAGGTAATTTTACTGCAAACCCAATGGACAATTAACAGGCGTTATCTGTCAACCCTTCCATTCTGTACTCCGCTGCCATCTGCTGGAATACTGCTGCACCAGATCAAGAGCATGCTGAACCTTTGTTTGTTTATTTAACATTTTTGTATACTGTCACAATAGCCTTATGGGTCTCTGAATGGTTTACATAATGAAACCATAACAAAGCACAACAATGACATAAATAAAACAATTAAAACATCAATACCAACAGACAATAAAACAATACAACAGCCTCATCACAGCAGAAGCACCAGGTAGAAGCATATACTAACCTAAGAGATTGGATAAATCTTAAAAGATCATATTAAAATACCAAATTTACTAGTTAAAATGCCAGTTAGACATCGCTGGGAAGCTGGTTCCATAAATGGGGTACCACAACTGAGAAGGCCCTATGCAGGCAGCCATCCTCCTAACTTCCTTTAAAGACGGCTCCTGGAGCAGGGCCTCCAATGATCCTCTTAGGGTCTGGGCAGGCTTATGAGGATGGAGATGTTCTTTCAGATATTCAGGTCCTAAACTGTTTAGGACTTCATGCATTCATGCATTCATTCATTCATTCATTCATTCATTCATTTTCTATGCCACCCCACTAGCCATAGGCTGTCTTTAGATGTTAAGACAAGCACCTTGACACAGGCTCAGACTTCAACGGGCAACCAATGCAATTTATAGACGACTGGTGTTAAATGTTTGGTAATACTAGTCCCCATCAGTAGCCTAGCCGTTCTCTTTTGCACCAACGGAAGTTTCCAGATTATTTTCAGGAGCACATTACAGTAGTCCAACTGAAAGGTTACCGGAGCATGGATTACTCTTGCTAGGTCCTGGCTGTCCAGATACGGTTGAAATTGATGTATTAGCTGGAGCTGATAAAAGACCCTCCTGGCCACCAAGCCTACCTGGTGCTCCAGGGACAGCTCAGAGTCCAGAAGGAACCCCAAGCTCTGGATCCTATCCTGTAGAGGGAGTGCAACCCCATCCAAGACTGGACAACTATCCCCATCTGGACACAGGAGCCACCTATCAACAGCGCCTCAGTCTTGTCTGGATTAAGTTTCAATTTGTTGGCCCTCATCCAGCCCATCACCCTGGTCAGGAGCTGGTTTAGGACTGCCATCACCTCACCTGGGTTAGTTGAAAAAGAGAGGCAGCGTGGAGTGTCACCAGTGTGCTGATGACACTTCAGCCCAAACCCCGCAATGACCTCTCCCATGTTAAATGTTAAAGAGCAGGGGGAAAAAAATTAAGTCCTGCAATACTCCATAAAGTAATTGCAATGGTGCAGAGCTACATTCCCCCAGTGACACCATCTGAAACTGGTCAGCTAGGTAGGAGCGGAACCACCACAAAGCAGCGCCCCCAGCTCCTAACCTGCATAGCCTATCCAGAAGGATACCATGGTCAATGGTATTGAATGCTGCTGAAAGGTGCAGAAGAACCAACAGGGATGAACTCCCCCTGTCCTTCTCCCAGCAAAGGTCATCCCGCTGGGTGACCAAGACAGTTTCAGTTCAATAACCAGGCCTAAAACTGGACTGAAATGGGTCCAGATACTCAGTTTCTTTCAAGAGTGCCTGGAGTTTATTTATTTATTTATTTAGAATATTTATATGCTGTCCTTTCGCAAAAGCCTCAGGACGGCTTACATAAATAAATAAGAATAATAATATAAAACAAAATACAAATAAATTCCAGATCCACCCTGGCTGCAGATTAAAACATATATAGCCAATATTAAAAGTTATTAAAATATTGTTGCAATAAAAAGGTCTTAACCTGGTGCTGAAAAACAAATAATGACGGCGCCAGGCGGAACTCTCTGGGAAGCGCATTCCATAGGCAGGGCGCCACCGCAGAGAAAGCCTTCCTCCAGGTACTTTGCCTCCTAATGTCTTTCACAGAGGGTTCCCAGAAGAGGGCCTTTGCTGCTGATCTCAGGGGGCAGGAGGGCAAATACGGAACAAGGCATTCCTTTAGGTATCCAGGTCCCAAGCTGTTGAGGGCTTTATAGGTAATAACCAGCACCTTGAATTGAGCCTGGTCTTTGATGGGAAGCCAGTGAAGTTGGTAGAGGACTGGGGTTATATGAGAATAATGCCCAGTCCCCAGCCAGCACCCCTGGCTGCTCTATTTTGCACCATCTGAAGTATCCGGACTGTCTTCAAGGGCAGACCCACACAGAGCGCGTTACAGAAATCCAACCAGGAAGTAACCAGTGCATGTGTCACTGTGACTAGGCAATCGTCCTCCAGGTAGGGAAGCAGCTGATGGATTAACCGAAGCTGAAGGAAAGCGCTCCTCACCACCGCAGTCACCTGAGCTTCCAGGGACAGCTTTGGGTCGAGGAGCACTCCCAAGCCGCGGACCCTGTCCTTTAGAGGGAGTGCAACCCCATTCAGGGAAAGGTCCAAGTTACCTACCCAGGAGCTCGAACCACCCACCAACAGGACCTCTGTCTTGTCTGGATTGAGTTTCAGTTTATTGGCCCTCATCCAGCCCATTACCTCAGCCAGGCACTGGTTCAGTACAGCTACTGCCTCACCTGGATCGGTTGAAAAAGAGCCGCTCCGAGGCTTTGGCGAATGGGGCGGCATAGAAGCTTACTAAATAAATAAATAATAAAAAGAGAGGTAGAGCTGGGTGCCATCAGCATACTGATGATTCCGCAGCCCAAATCTCCTGATGACCTCTCCCAGCGGTTTCATGTAGATATTGAATAGCAAGGGGGACAAAATGGACCCCTGCGGTACTCCATGGCATAGCTGCCATGGTGCAGAGCCAAGTTCCCCAGCACCACCTTCCGGAATCAGCCATCGAGGTAGGAGCAGAACCACTGCCAAGCAGTGCCTCCTACTCCCAGTTCCACTAGCCTATCTAGAAGGATACCATGGTCGATGGTATCAAAAGCTGCTGAGAGGTCCAGGAGGACCAACAGGGATGCACTCCCCATCTCTCTCCCTGCACAGGTCATCATACAGGGCGACCAAGGCAGATTCAGTACCATACCTGGGTCTGAAGCCGGACTGAAATGGGTCCAGATAGTCAGTTTCATCCAAGAGTGCTTGGAGTTGTCCGTTAAGATCAGCCATGATCTCAAGCCATTTTGACTTTGCATTCATGACATGAAACACTTAGCCCTGCATTCTGGCTGCAGCTACCAAAGTCCCAAGAACCATATTGGAGCACTGGGAGATTTTCAGTACCCTGTTTCTGTTCATCAGAAGCAAACATACTGCCCACCAAGTGTTTTTGTTTTAAGCAACTATGGCCACAAATAGAAATAAAACATGGCCATGGAAGTATCTTGGGCACTCCTCCCAACATCTGCCTGGTAACCAAGCAACTACACTTGCTAAATTTTTTGTTCTGGTGGAATGCACTAGAAAATAAGCATAAAGCCTGTTGTGTGAAGACAACTAAAGGTAAAATTAAATGCTGTGTCCTCAAAAAATGCTTGGTGAAAAGCATAAATTCCTTTGAGGTAAATCTAAGATATATGAAATGGTATTTGCCTATGTCATGCCTGGGTGCATATGCATTTTGTCCTGTATGGTGCAGCAGGACCAAACAGCAGAAGAATAAAAACATAGGTGCTTTCACAGGGTCAAGAAAAAGGCAGCCCCATTACCTTATCTCTCTCCTTTTCCTTCAGTTTTTCCATTGATCGCTTCAGTCCTTCTTCCAGAAGGTCCATCAACCGCACAGTTTCCCCAGAACGAGTTTTAAACTTTTTCCTTGTAGCAAATAAAAAGTTATATTCCAGATTTAATCAGTTGTCTTTTCACCACTGTGTGCATGCCACCCAGATGCCCTCCGTGTTTCTTATATATCAACAAATATCTTGGGTGACCAGTCAGAAGACATTTTGTCCCAGTGCAGAGAGCCAGCCTCTGTCCTACATGGTCACACTCACTTGTATCTTACAATTCAGCAGAATTATGCTCAGGATAATTTAGGGACAATGTACAAAAAGAAAAGGACAAAAGCACAAGAAGATCTCAACAACAAGAAAACTGTGAAAAGAGTCAGTGACAAAGGAAACTTGAGGAAGAACAGCAGTCAAGGGAAAAGAAGTTAACCTGTGACCAGTTAACTTGTGATTTTACTAATACAAGTATGAGCTGTTCTATCCACAACCTGCACAACCTGCACAAAAGGCAGGTGCCAGCTGATTGAACACATTTTTCATTATTAATGCAAATTCCAGAAAACAGCCTGCAAATATCGAGGCTTCCTTATGGTCCTCAACCCCACCCCACAAAAAAAACCATGGTAAAACTAGAGTTAAGAATCTTTTCCTTATGAAGGGTGGGTCACCCACAGAAAATGTCAATTGATGCTGCAACTGATGGTGAACTATGACCAACAGAGAGAGAGCCAACACTGGACAGAGTTCTAAGGACTACATAGCATAAATGACACAAAACTTTGCATACAGTATTGCTTTGTTGTAGGGTTGTGTTAGGGTTAATTAACCATCATGTAATTCCCGTTGTCCCGCTTCTGGAGCACACCAGAGCCTCACTGTGCAACTGTGTGTTGCATACTTGAAATGGTGCCTGGCACATGCCACAACTTACTGTGAGTTGCACAATCCATGGCGAGCCTGGTGTGTTGTATGAACTGAGCCAATGTATATGTGTACATGTGTGTACCTCCCCACATGGAATTAGGACAACTGTATGTGGCCCAGAGGTTTCCTCATCTGAGTATTAGAAAGTGCAGTATGAAAAGCTTCAGCTTAAACAGGGAATCTAAAAATTCCTAACACACAGGAATATAGGATTTTTTTAACTATAAAAGGGCAGATAACTTTAACTCATGTCAAGCATAAAGTTTGCATGTGTACATTATGATTGCTTGACAACAATCTTCAACAGAGGATAAACATCAGGTTCTCTAGTCTGATTAGCAATAGCATTCAAACTAGCGTATACTAATTAAACTTACTTGTCTTCTCCCAACACTACTCCAAAAGGAGCATGAATTACTCTGGTCACTTTGGGATCATACCAACCAATCATCTGAGCTGCTGCAAATACGGTCTGTAAGTGCACAGACTAGAAAACAAAGAGAAAATAATGCAACAGTTGTAAATTATGACTCCACTATATGCTCCCAGTAAAACAATAGCAGCAACACAATTATAACAGTGTATTCTAAAGGGAGAAGAATGCTTCTATGGCTTAAATCACTTGATTTAGTAATGTATATTGTCCAATTAACGAGTTCCCTGAATTGGACAGGCATTACTGTCACAAAAAGACTTTATTGACTGCTCTCTACAATATTCAATTAGGTGGTGCAATCTGTAGATTTAAAATACACTGTGGACATAAATTATTATTACTGAGATTTGTGGCTTGGAATAAAAAGATAAGCTGCTAGACCAGGAACCACACATGTACGTAAGTGAGGTTTTAGAGTCACACTGATACCCAAAAGCAAAAAACAAAACAATACACTCTGAAACCCCAAAAAATTCAAAACTAAATCAAAGAAACTCACCTGCCCACTGTCTACCACATAAATTATATAATCAGCTTTTTCTTCTGACAGCCTTTGCTTCAGAGCTGCTAAGTCAGAGGTGTCATATGTAAAACCCCCATCAGATTTCATAATCGTCAAAGGAACAGAACAGCCCGGAACAAACACAATCTTTCGGCCTTCATCCATTTGTACAAACCCTAAAGTAAGAAAATGAAATATCAGTAGCCACAGGAAAACAAATAAATGTCAGGTTTCAAAAACAAGCACATTTTACACTGAAAAGTGATGCACAGATGAAAGATTCTAATAGGAATGTATTTAATAAAGAACATTAGAATGTTTCAGCTGTTTTACTTCCAAGTATGTTAATTACTATATTACCTCCGTCTTCAAACTCCTTCACCACATCCTGCATCATATCTTGATAGTACGACTCTCCTCTCTCAATTATGGAGATGTCCAAGCAGTCATAGATCTTTTGGAATTCTGATCAAGAATAAAATGAAGCCAAACCAAATCACGGGACTGAAGATTTGAGATGTTTTCAAACATGGCTGTTAACATTACAGTAAAATATGAAAAAGAAGGTCTATTAAGGCTGGATTCTGCCTTTAGATCCAGCTTTCCCAGTTTTTTTTGTTCACTAAAATGTTATTGAAGACTGCAATTCTACTCAGAAGCAAGTCCTGTTGTACGAGACTCGGGCTTAAGCCAGGAAGTTGTTTCAGGAATGTGGACTAGGACTAATTCATACACCTGCTTAAGGCAGGTTAATAATCACTTACACAGCATTCAAATTGGGATAGGTTTAATTCTGAGAGCATTCTTCATAAATGGGATGGAAAAAAGTGGAATTGAAAAACATTCTAGTATAAAGAAAGCGAAAAAATGACTGTTTCAACCAGATCTAGCTAAGAACTACATGGTATTCACACAAAACAACAATTAGCTGAGCTGAAAGCTAAGTACACTCACCCTCCTAAGTACCAAGCAGCTGACAAAATCCATCTTAAGAATATGGATTCATATTCATAGGTGGCAGTTACAGACAGCATAAAATCTGTTCCTATCCCATTTTAATCTAATTGCTGAATCTAAAGTTTCAAAGTAGTAGCGTAACTCAATTAATACTGTTGAGCATTCAATAACTTCTGTTTTTCTTGTGCTTTATTTATTTTGCTTTATTCTTATTCTCAGCAGCATGGGGATTACTGTTTTTCTGCTTCTGTGATTCTACAATTAACAAAAAAGGGAAGCGTTTCTGTTGTTCATCATTTAACATTCAGAAAGTATGATAGAATCAGTATTAATTCATACATGCACATTCCCACCCCCAAGCTAAACATGGAACATGTACTATTACATGGAGAAACATGGACTATTAAAAACTGAAAGTCATAGACACACTAAAAATACTGCTCACAAAATACTATGCGCCTTGCAACACGGGGAATGAGCTGCTGCTTGCTACTTCAACACACACACAACTTCAAATATACAAATAATACACAGATACTCCATGGGTGGAACTCACCTCGCAGCATGCTCCTACTGGAGGAAAAAGTGCATTTTATCAGTTTTCCCTTCAGTCCCCTGAAAAAATATTTCAGAGAACTAGGAGACACCCTAGAAGAGTGTGAGGGTAGGTTCTAGGGGCAAAAGTCCTCCATTATATCTTGGTCTCTTTCATTTGCAGAAAGGCAATTCTGGATCCAGCCTGCAAAATTCTCTGCTCCAAATGGTTCAATTTCCTGAAAATGCATTCCTTTCAGGTTTACTCAAAATGCACCGCAGATGGAAAACTCTTTGTCATTCTCACCTACAAGATGTAAGTTTCTTTAAACTACCTTCTCAAATCCTACCCATGCTGAAGGAAAGTAGCTCAAAACTAGCTAGTTGCAAAGCAGGGGATTCTTTCAAAAGAGACAGATATTGTATTTCCAAGAATCACCTTTCCGGGATACATCACATATCAGTTTCCAAGCTTTAATGAAGTCTGGATTCTTGCTCTGTAAGAGGACCACACATTGATATGCACGCTTCTTAAACTCTTCTTCTGTGTCAAATCTTCTTTTTGATTCCTAAGTTTAAAAGAATGCAGAGGCACTACAAAATAATATTCACTACAGGATGCAAAATATGTACTACAGAATGCTTCTCTAGTGGCTAGAACAGGCAAAAGGGGACAGTATTCCTTCAGTTTCATATTGCTTGTCCTTAACATTCAAAGGCCCCTGAACAGTCTAGCACATTGCAGTCCAACATCTATGGCAACCTAAGCCTCTAAATATATTGACTATACAAAACATTGTGCAATATTCATCAGAGGTCCTCCTACAGGAGCCTTCTGTGAAAGATCAAGAAGATTGTTACTCGGTGAAGGGCCTTTTCAGCGCTGGCACCCCAGTTAAAGAACCAGCTCCACAGAGAAGTGCTGTCACTCTAAACGTTTTGGTGCCAGGCTCAAGCCTTCTTCTTCTCTCAATATTTTACCTGCTGAAAGTGCATATTCTATTTTAGCTTATTTTATTTATTGTATTATGATACTGTGGTTGGACTATTTAATTTGATTTGTGATTTAAACGTTTTTTTAAAATATTGCTATTGGTTCATATGGTTGGTTTTATATTTGGTTGTAGCATTCGCGAGCTGTATATCCTTTTATTGATTATTACTTTCCGATTGTTATTGTTCAACTTTGTGTTGGTATTTTAAACTGTTTTAATGTGATGTCAACCGTCCTGAGAGTTGTTCGACTAAAGGAACGGTATAAAAATGCTTGAAATAAATAATATTCAGAGAGTTTCTGATTACATCCAGTAAGAGAACTGTTTGTTGCTAAATAGACTAGCCAACAACAAAACGTAGCAGTCTACTAACAACAGACAGTGATAGAAGACCTCAATGCTCAAAATTCATCAGATGGATTTTTGGCATGGAAAAGAGATAAGGCAGTGGCACAAGATGAGGTGAAATTCTAGGGCTTTCATCCATCACCATTTCGTACTGCCAAGGGATTGGGCCCAGCTGCAATTTTTAAAGGGCCTTGATATTACAAGTGGTTTTAAGGAAAGGTGATCCCCAAACAACAGATGACACACATCCGAGCCACCCCCACTCTAGATCCACTGTGAAGTCACCACACAATGAAAAAAACTTCCCCTCCATTCCACTTGGCACTGCTTGCTGGACAAGCAGCAAGTCTCTGGCTTTGCTTGTGTCCAACTTGTTGCAATGTTTTTGAGTTTTACTTAAGCAATGCATTCCTTTTGTGGGAGAGAAACATCATTTGCTTTATCCTGGGTTTGGCATTCACTGAACTCCAAACTTCTTACGGAGCGTGGGTGTTCCTCTGCCATAAGCTGCACCAACTATAGGCCTTCCTGGTTCCAGTGTAATGGCAAAGAAGAACTCAAACATAGGGAGAGGGAGGGGGGAAAGTAAGGGCATGAGTACAGGACTCATGCATGTACACAAAGCCCTCCTGAAGCCTGCATGTCAGCCATGAGCAATGCCCATGCAGAATCTGTTTGTGTGCCCATTTTCTCCTATAGGACCACCAATCTTATTACTGCTGTCTTTAAACAAAATGATTGTCTTTATGTATTTATTTTTTATTTAAAACTTTTTATTTAAAACTTATTTTAAGTGTTAATTTATTATGTAGGATTTTTAAAAAATTTTAAGCTGAGATGCACTGGGTTTTAATATTTTTAGTGTATAATTTTTGTATGATTTTGTATGTTTTTGTTTTTGTTGTGAGCCGCCCTGAGGCTTTGTTGCGATGGGGGCGGCATAGAAATATTTTAAATAAATAAATAAATATTTAAAGTTTTCATATGCCATCCAATACTAAAAGTCTCTGGTCAGCTTACAAAAAAGAAGAAACAAAAAAGACCACATACAACAAACAGCCGATAAATAATGATAAAATCAAAGATAAAACCAACTGACTGTTAAAATATTGGGGAAATAAAAAGGTCTTCGCATGACGCCAAAAAGAATAAAGGTTTTTTATTGCGATGGGAGTGGCATAGAAATGTTTTAAATAAAACATACTCCCTGGGGAGCGTGTTCCACAGTCAGGGTGCCACTGCCAAAAAGACCCTTCTCCAGTAGCTACCCTCCTAATTTCCTTCCTTATTATGTCAAGGGAGGATGAAGTGTATTGCAGCTTTGAATAATTAAAACATCTGCAATATGCTTTTTAAAACAAGCTCACTCCTGTCTCTGTAGTAGATACATTCTTCATTCTATGTTTCTGCATCGGTTCCCTTCAAACATTACAAGGTTCCTGCGTAAAAGTGAAAAAATGTGTAAAAAACCTGGGAGCAAACTGGAGTGTGCAACAATTCCTCCACAAAACTAGTTCTCATGTAAGAATGCCGTGAAGTATTCACTATTTCTTAAAACTATTTTTTGCTATCTATACCAAATGCTTCCTTCTGGACTTACAGAATATCCTTAGGTTAGGACCTTTGTTTCAGTGTTGTGTACAGCATCTAGCAGAACAGTAGCAACAACAGTAGAGTGGCCATATATTTAAACTGAAAATACCTTGTAAAAAGCTTGGAGATCTCCAATGGGTGGAGAAACAGTCAAGTAATCTGGAAATTTATCTTGGAGGTGAGCAATAAGCATTCCAAACTGGGTACCCCAGTCTCCTAAATGGTTTAATCTGGGTAGTAAAAGAGCAAAAAAAAGAAAAAAAAAGAAAAGGAAACAGGAAATTCTTGCTTTGAGAAAAAACGGGTAGATAAGGTGCATGACTTGTTCTGAGGCGTATTTTTAGAGGCTTTGAAATTACTTATCCAAAGCCCCTAAGAAAATATGCAAACAAGACTTATGGAAACTTGATCAGCATGAGTTTTGTAAATGAGGTTATGAATTGATTTTTCTGAAGGAGCATCAGGAGAAAATGTAGTGATAAATGAACAGTATGGAAATACATTTGCAGAGGCTCACATAAAAGAACAGCATTTTTGTGACAGACAACAGCAGAGCCTAGGCACATCTTGAGCACTTTGGAAGCGACTTCGCAACTCACAACTACTACAACAACAACAACAACTATGCATAAGCTTACCTTAGAACATCATACTCCACAAACTCAAAGAGACGGCACATACTTTCCCCTATTATAGTTGATCTCAGATGACCAACATGCATCTCTTTCGCAATATTAGGAGAGGAGAAATCAATCACCACCTTGAGATACAAGAAACAAAAAATAAACTCATTTTAAATTGGGCGGTATCCATATGCATCTATATACTGGGGAGTTGCTGGAGAACAAAAGTGGGAACTCATATTCAGCTTGGTTACTTCCCTCAGGAAGTTAGTTGGTTGCTTTGGTCTGATCCAATATGGCAACCAATTAGCTTCAATATGGCTCTCCTTATGCACTTAGCCATGCTTTTATATTTTGAATGAACAACAGACTATGTACTGGCTACAGTGTACATTAACTGGACATAGTAGAAAATATGCACATATTCGCAGTGAAAAAACAAAACTGTCCACATTATGTGCTCATTACATCAATGAGTTGGACCCAACTTAAGTAGAATGGAGAAGACTTGTGAAATGGGACTTCGTCCTCTCCTCCTGTCTGTAGCCCTCAGCACACCCTCCAAATCTACCAAAGCAACGCTGTTGAATCCAAACCAATATCCAAGTGCTGCTAGAGGACTTTATGTGCACAGTGTACAAATGGACAGTGTAAATGCTGACTGGGAAGCATCAGGAATATATTGGTTATGCTGTCAAGAAATGCATGTTTACTCAACACCTTTGGAGACAGCCACACTGAACAGGAGATTTATAAAATCCCATTTTAGCTTTTCATTTGTACAAGTTCTATACCAAGTTGTGTGTGCACTGACTCCTGTTCATGAATATTTTGAATTCAACTCTCATGAAGTCCAACAAAAAGATTCAGAAAGACGATCTCACTGTCTTTCCCACAATGTTTCAGACTTGTCCAACAAAGAAGAGGACTTCTGCAAGAAACAGAACTCTGCAAGTTTATATAGACAGAGCCTGTGCAAGGTATGTTCACAGGACACCTTGCTCCTAAATAACTTGTTACTTTAGTTGAAAGCTGGGAAGTATTTCTTACCTAATTAGCACTGAGAAAATTAAACTGTGGTAAAATCATCCAGACAGACAGAATACCTGTAATTCTTCTTCATATATGACTACGTACACTCAACTTCTAGCAAAATAATGTCAAGCAGGGAACATATGACAAAAAGAGACACAATCACAACCAACCAGTTGATGAAGCAGCACTATAGAGGCTACTGAATGGTGTAATTCTGTGAAATTCTGAATTTTCCAATGTAGTTTGCTATCACCATATGGCTTAACACTGAATTCTTACAAGGAAATCTCTTCAGAGTAGAAAATAACATGGACTATGTAAAGTGAGACATTCCCTTATGGATATAAAATTTAAATGTCAGTAAATAGAAAATAAATTACTATAGATAACACAGTATACAGAAATACACTGCTTACAAGCAAATGGGAATGACTGAGTTTCCCTTCCAGAAGCAGCCCCTCTTGGCTTTAGCAGAATTTCTAACAACTGGTAGAAGAGAAAGCAGAAAAGCATCCGTGTGTGCATAGTATATGCAATATGGTACTTTGAATCCCAGCTCTTCAGTGTTTGCAGATTAACATTAAACAATTGAGCATCTCTATTTGCATTTGATAAAATATGAATACTACCATGAACAGTTCTCAGTACTATCTAAGAGTCACTAATTAGCATTTACTAGAATACCTTTTTCCTTTCACCAATAGCAGGGGGCTGAACTCCATTCACCAGCATGCTGCTCAGTTGTTTGGATACAAAATCTTTTTTCAAGTGTACATTGATGAAACCTTCAGAGAGGAATGAAAAGTAGAAAATGTTGCTTGGACCAAAAATATACTAAAATGTTGACCGCCGTTGTACAGAACAAATATTTTTCATAGAATATAATTGCAGAAAGACCTGTAACAGAATAGCATGATGTTTGCATAATATCTGCAGTTCACAATGAAAAACCACTGTCAATTTGGCACATAACTTAAGGGCGACAAGACTATGTCACTGGTTTTAAGCAACAAAGTCTAAAAGTAAACAATTCAAGCAGGGTCCATCATTCTATAAATAGTCAACCATTAGCGTTCTTAGAGAATCACTTTTTAGGGGTGGCAGATCACTGCCTAAACCCCTTTTTATAATGTGCATATAATGTGTATTAGCATCTTCTCTTTCTGTTGCTCATTCCTAATACAAATAAGTTTATCTATAAAGTATCTTTGTTTTGTAAACAGATACATATTTTTTCAAACAAAATTCCTTCTATATAAAGCAATTATCATTTTAACTCTCTATTACCCTTGTGGAAGATCCAGAATTTTTTGACTATATTCATAGAACTTGACCACTGAACTACTAAATATGATTCTCATCTGTCACACACTAGAAATGCAGGCTAGCATGTCATGGTGGCACTCGTCAGGATTCCTGATGGACTAACTCGTGGCTGACTTCTTCAGGGTACAGCTTCCTGACTTGAAATTCCTATGTTTTACTCCTCATGAACCAGAACCTCATGGGATCTTCTGCCACAATATTCATTAAATCAGATTTAGATGCTCCAGTAAAAAAAGTAACTGTACCAGGTCCAGCAATTTCCACCTTTTCAGTGCATTCATTGTCAGGAATGCTTCTGGCAATCTTGTCAGCAATTTCTTTCGGGCTTACTTTTTGCTCCTTGGTCTTCAGCAGTATCTGAAAATACAACCAAAGGATTCAGTGACATTTCTGATTGAGGGAAAAACAAAAACAAACAAAAACACTATACCTTGGTCAGAACATGGCAGACTCACACAGCCATCTGTGGGAAAAACAGCATACAGATTCCACAAAAATCTGTCATGAAACATATGTCTAGCAGAGGGAATAATTAAGTGAAGGCTAATTGGAGCCTCGGAGGCTTAAGTGCTATCCATTTGTTCCCATTCCCAACACTCAGGATACTGAAAATTGGTTAATTCCACTTATAACAGAACATGTTTCTTTCCCAAGGCTCATATTTCATTACAAATACATTCTATACATTCAAAAGAAGGAAATCACTATTATTTATGAGGAGGCTCAGTAGTGGAGGACAACAGCCAGATGGCCTTCTGGTCTCAAAGGTGGGCAAATTTATGCTTCTAATTTTGAATTGTTCCTTTTTAACATTTAGTTATCTATAGCAGGACTAGAGATAGTCTCTTCATTATATAGCACTGAGGCACCTGTAAAGGACATGATAAAAATGCTTCAAATAAAGAAGTGGATTTATATATTTTCTGCTTCCACAAAATAACCCCTAGGGCGTACGTGCCAGGCAACAGTATCTCCATGAGACCTGCCAATGTGGAAAAAGAGTGATCACAATTTTCTTTGTCTTTGTACATACTCATTAGCTTATTGTGCCTGAACTCCCAGCTGAAGGGACCAGAAGTCTAATAGTTTTACAGAGACATTACTTGTCTCCCCACTGCTCTTCCCCTTTCATCTAACAAAAAGTATTAAAAATTCTGTTTCAGAAAGTTTATCATCCCAAAACCGTGCTGGACATGCTGAAATAAGTTTCATTTTAAAGTAAAAACTTACAAGTTACTCTTTTTGCATGAATTACAGGAAGATGAAGTGTTAGATTCCAAGTGACTGAATTCCACAAATACTAAATAGAGAGCATTTTTTCTCAGACTTTTTTAAAACCCTCTTTGTTAAGTTGGACCAACAGTGAATTTTAATCACATTCTTGGTGTCAAAGGTGAGAGTGAGAGAAGATTCCTTCTCATTTAAAAAGGCACAATTTTAACACACATTTACCCAGGGTTGCAGGACCTAGAAAAGGGGCAAGGGTGAGAAATATTGTTTATTAAATCCATTACAAGTCAAGCCAAGTAAACATCCAGCACTTGCAAAACTGCAGAAAATAACTTAAGCAGCAACACATCTCGTGTGTCAATGGTGGCAAGGAAAGAAATTAAAAAGAGCTTAAGGGTAGAAACAATCCATAAAACTGCTTGTGTCCATGCCTACCTCTGGAGTGGTTGTTTGGAAGGCCCTGTGATATTAAGGCACTAAAACAATACAGACATGGTGAAGTCTGCACCAGACAAGACTCCTAGCAGCAACTTAATTGGGGTAATGTGGCGGTCAAAATATATTTTAAGAGGCATGGCAAGCTTGTGTTAGGCTGGCTGACACCCAGTGACATATGCTAATGAGCTCCATGAAAAGAAAATAACCATTTGTGTGGCTGCTTTTCCAAGAGAGCTGCGTGTAGAGAAGCTGCCGACTAGCACGTCTCAGTATTGTTCAAAAAGCAACCTCTGCCAGGCCAATTTAACTAACAACTTCATCATTATCCTAGGGGTGTGACACAACGTCTGACTTAGACTGGTTAGGAACATAAACTGATTTTCAGCTACAAGCAGAAAACTGTCTTTTTCACTGAAAAATAAGCAACAGAAAGCATTTAAAATTAATTGTGTACATTACTGGAAAAATTGTCTTGCTTCAAGCAAGCAATTTGCAATACCTTTTCCAAATATGGAGATGAGAGTCCTATTCGCCTTTATTCACAAGCTTGCCTGCATGTTAGTCTAGTTAGTATAACCCCCAGAGACACTCTTGGCTGGATCAAGAAAAAGGCATTTTTGTTGCTGTGTTTAGACTGAAATCCCTTACCCACAGAGTTTTACCTTATGCACTTTCTTCTAACCTTCAGCAAGAGTTAAGACCTTTGCCCTTTACAAGATAAAAAATTTTTGGCCCTGTCTTCACTGATTTTAGTGATTCCACTTTAATATTTTTATTGCTGCCTTTTCTTCCTTTTTATGCTTTGTAGACTATTATTAGTCTTTGTATCATTCAAGGTGGCTAACAAAGAAAGAAGTGATACATGAATTACAAATAGGCTACTAGACATATTCTGAAGGGACCATGTCCAAATCATCATACTTGTTTCCACAATCTGAAAATATTCCATGGCGCTTCATTACAGAGTGCCATTTATATTCCTAGATTCCCTTGATCTGAAATCTTCTCGAGTAATCTGCAGTATACACTATTCGTTGAATTATGGCAATATTTGTAAGAGAACAGGAAAAACACTCCCAAAGTGTGTGGGTGTTTTTTTTTTTTTTTGGGTGGGGGGAAATAGTGGGCAGGTTTTTTTTTTCCAGCTAGACTTCTAAATTAAGTATTGCTTTTCATCTCAATAGTTTTGTACTTTCTGGGTTACAACATCAGATACGCATGGGGAGTTCTCACACCATCAATTACCTGCGATATGCTCATAGCACTGTTACACTGGTAGTCACCAAACCTGGGCTGCTGACTTGGTGTCACTGCCAGTGGAGGGTTTTCTAGATCTGGATATGCAGATTTAATGGCTGCTGCAAAAATTTCTTGAAGGCGGTTGTTGATATTAATCATGCCTTTTGATGGCTTCCCTCGATTTCTTTCTTCTTCAAGGCTCTTGACAGAAAAACAAAGAAAAGCTAAATCATACACCCATCAGATCAGTGTGTCCCAGTCCCCTGAATACAGCCCAAGATGATAACCTTAACAAAATGTCACCATATCCAGCCCTTGTATAAAAATGATAGACTTCTGAGACCTAATAGGCTTTCCTTATGACTGACAAGGAGAGAAAAGCTTTGTAGAAATGGGACATGCTTTCGATGAAGACAGATTAGTGAGTCGTGAAAGCTCTGGCAATCTTGGGCTGTGTATGTTTTCATCCATTTCTGACTAGATCAAAGAGAAGAAAGCCCCTTCCTTACTCCCTGGCCAGTCCTTTCTCAAAAAGGGTCATTACCGTAGTAGCTGAATTCAGGGAAACAGTTTATTGGTACAAACCCTAGCAGCGGCTAGACTCAACTTTCACCTTCTGTAGCACAGCTAGCAATTGACTCTGTGTATTTTTTTCTCCATTCTGACTGCTCCACAGCTCATGTTCTCTTTTTCTCCCTTCAAGTTGCAGACTCTCAGTTTTCTTCTTTACTTCTCCTCCAGTCTTTGTTTCCTTTTATTCAGTGGTTCCTGATTCTCTCCCACCTTTATCTTATATTTCACTTAACTCTTTCCTAGCTTTTTCTACCATAGGCATTGCTACTGCAGTTCTGGATCCCAGCATCTTTTGCTTTAAGTTCTTGGTCACACCACAGGGTTTCTTTGCTCCTGGCAACCATTCCAGCTACTCAGTATTAAAAATTTGTCTGCTTTTCCTAATGAAAAATTGCAGGATTTTCAAACCCATAAGAAGACTGACACTTACTTGTCACAAAGCAAACTATTCCAGAGGAAACATACCTTCTGTAGAACATTTAAGCGATATTTAAGTTTTGCATTCTCTTCACGCAATCCCTCCAAGCTTGGGGAGACTCCCAAACAGCCAAAATTTTTCAAACGATCAATTTCTGCAGTCAGAAATTTGATTTCCGTTTCCTGGAAAGCCAAATAAAATCAGTAGTATATAAATTGCTCTTCCTTCCCATAGAATTAGCACATTTATGTATGTATATATGTATGTATATATTAAAGGTTTTCTATCCCGTCCCCTACAGAACGTCTTGTGGATCCCAAATCAGAACGTTGATTCTAAGTACAATTTTAGTGTTTATGGCCTATGGCTAAACAAGAGACACCACTAGGCTTGTTTCTTATTCATTCATGCAACATTATAAGACTCTCTCTTACAAGATGTATGGTGGATTAAAACTGCTGTTTGCAATTATCATCTATTAACCTAGTTGTTCGATGTGCGGCTTGTCCTCCGCTACACCCTTGTCCTGCTCTCTGTTACTGTTATAATTTGTCTTGGCATGATGTATCTCCTACTAAAAACCTGAAAAAGGGAGTGCTCCACAAGCTAAGGAAGGAGAATGCCTACCTACTAACAAAGAGAGGAGTAACACTCAATTCATGTTCTGGCCATATCCGCTGCTAAAATATGAACTACATTATGTCTCAGTCATGATAATAAGGGCCTCAGAAGGGGAAAATGTTTCCCCAACTTTGCTCTATGAAGTGCAAGAAGAAAACATTCAAGAGAAAAAGGCCAGATATTAGAAACTTTACCATCATTACCAACTTTACAATCACTAATCATGTAACACTATAAGTTCTTAGAATCCCTCTTTATGTTCTCAGTACACCTTGACCCAAAGGACCTTAATGGTTTTGACACCTCTTCTCAGAAGAGAACATGAAGTGTAGTTTTTGCTGGCCCTGTCGTGCAGAAGAATGTCAGGCAGGTGCTCCTTTGCGGTATGACAGCACTCATATTGCTGGAAGAGCCCCCAGCATCCTGGCAGAAAGTTCCACTGGTAGAGATGCACTGCCAGTGGCAGGAAAGAAAAGGGAGCTGCAGCAATGGAAAGGCTCCAAAGCATCCTCATCCCCACAAAAAAGGAGTAAAGCTATGTCAGTGTTATACAGCTGGCAAGGTGATTTTCCTCTACTATTGGTGTCATTGCAACGTAAGATTTTTTAAAAAGGACAGAAGGGGTTGAGAAAAAGTTGTTTCCATTGCCACCACCTTAGCAAATGGCATTTCCTCAGTCACAGATTTCCCATGTTACACAGCAAAAAAATTGTTTGGCCAGTTCAGGTGTGATCTGTGGACAAAAAGCACTTACTGTGCTCAGGAGAAATGCTATGTACCATCTAGTTTACCAAGCTTTTACTTCCATGAGAATGCTAGAAAAAGTAGCACTAAGGACAGAGTAGCCTGGATGTCAGAGACTGCATGCCTGATTTTATTATTACTGAACAGATCTGTCTTTTCTTCAGATCCAATTTATATACAAATCAAAGGCAGCAACATTTTGTCCATTCCTATGACTACATCTTGCTGAAGACAAAAAACAGCAGTTATAATTAGTACCAGAGTGATTAGATTCTTAAACTAAGCTATGGAAGAAAGTAAAATTATTGGTCTGTCTCCCTAAATAAAGCTGCTATGTTACTTCCTTTTTTAGCTTAGAACTTCTGGTACCTCCTCAATCTATTCCCCTTAACACTTACCTCATTTAAGGAATGAAAGGTAAAATAATAGTTTTTCTACAAGTATTTTGATATATAACTTCCAAAATCTTAATAGGTTGAAGACTGGCTCTACTTTCAGTTTGCCTCTCTCTAACTCATAGCAGAAAACATTCAAAACGCACAAATAAACATGTCTTGCCATTTCGAACAAGTATAGGGCTTCACATGGTTTCTCCATGCAAGTGTCCTGCTAGTTACCATTAATGAACTGTATAATCAAATTACTAATCACATAAGCAACATGATAATTCAGAAGACTACTTCACTTAGGAATACTGTATTTTGGAAAATTACAAACACTGAACATATGCCATCAGATCTTAAGAATGTTGTATAGGTTCTTCAACCTTTCCTGGTGAAATCTGCATTTAAACTTAAAATTAAGTAACTTCATACTAAGAGAGAGAAGGACAAAGTAGTCAAAGTGATTCAAAAGCATTTTTTTTATCCACAGAGCTCTTCCCCTTAATTCATGTTAACAAAAATTTTATCCTGCAGATCTTTCTATATCTTTATATGGCATGCTTGAAAAAAAAAAAAAAACATGTGAAAAGCATTCGAGTGTTGACTTCATAAAAGGCCAGACTACCAGGTTCAGGGAGTAGCCTAACTCATGTCCCATTATGACAAGAAGAGTCTCTGTAGTTGGATAGGGAACAGTGAACCAAAAATACCACCTCAGTGAGTAAGATTGCTAGGACTGAAGAAAATGTATTTTTAAAAAGGAAGAAAAAAAGAAAGAGACACAAACTCCAAATGAATATGCCAGGGGAAAAATGCAAGAAACTAGTCCTGAATCTAAAATTTAACCCCGCCCTTCTATGGAATGATCAAAACCTGCTGAAGCAAGTAATAAATTATTATTATTATTGTTTATATACATATTATCTTATATTTAAACATAACTCTTTGATTGAAGCTTTGAGCAAACTTCTTAATACATTAATAATTAGGATAGTACAAGATATCAAAGCCAAAACACACATTTTTGTGATTAAAATGATGTTAACATAAATAACATGTAAGGCTACACTGTTGCTGGAGCTGTGAAATTCTGTTTTAAAGCTACAGCTCCAAGCATTGCATACTTGATTCAATGAGAGGCAATTACAATGGCATGGAAGGTTACCAGATTTGGGGTCAGCTATACTACACATCTATATCTGAGCCAGTATCTGCTGAATGTACTGGTGGCTAGTTTCTAGCAGAATAGACTCCTTGGGCAGAACTCCAACTCTGAGGGAGCCACTGCACACTCGAAATCTGAATGGCTGGAAGATCCTTGGGAAATAATTTGGGGTACATGTGGTATGTGCACAGCAGAAAAAGGGGAAATCCACTTGAGCTCCTTTGGATGAGCCTATAATGAATACCATGGGAGTGATGACAAGAAATGCTTATGTCTTTCTCAAACAATCATTGCCTTCTTACAACTACAAAGAATGAAGGGTATAATGCATGTTTAGATGGGAAATAGTCCCAGAACTCTCAGTGTGTGCATGCGTGTGTGTGTGTGCGTGCGTGTAACAGCAGCAACCCCCTCCATTACTGTCACACTCCAGAATCATGCACAAGCATATCCACCCATTCACCCACTCCTCTCCCCATTCCTTGAGGCACATGTACCTGATGTTCCCCCCAACGTGTCAGATTTACATGTTGCCTGGGCCACCTCTCCCCAACAGCCTGGAGGGTAGCAGAGAGGACACCAGTGCCCAGAAAGGAGGAAGTGCCAAGCACATTTTCCTAAGGATGCCTGTCCGGGCATCTGCCTGAGAAACACTGCCAGCAGGTTGTTGGGGGAGGATTCTTCCAGGAAGTCCCCTGGACTGTTGGGGGCAGGTTAGGCATGGGGCAAGGCTACCCATGTACAGCTCCAGCACAGAACGACCACCAGGCAGGAGCACCATGCACAGATGCCCCCACAGTCACTGCTGCTGAAAGCTCTCATCATCTTCTGTCCCAGAACACACTCCTGCTGCCCTGCCTTGCACCACAACTGCCCTGCCACTCCATCATCACCTTGCTATTGCCCTGTCCTGCCTTGCCATGCTGTCTACAGATGTGCCCATCCTTTGAGTTGGCCCAACCTCCATATGGTGTCAGTCGTGCCTTGTGAGTCCTGCCTGATCTGTCTCAGAAGATGAGCCAGGTCTTGTGAGGAGCTCCTAGCATGGGGTGGCTAGGCCATCCACCAAGACGGATACAGACATCTTGGTGAGGCGGGACAGTGACAAGGTGATGGCGTGGCAGGACAGGCAAGGTGGCAGCAAAACAGAGTGGCAGGGCATTGGGCCGTATATGCCACGAGGGAGGGCAGGGAGCACAGAAATAGCCAATTAGCGCCCTGCCTGCTGGCAATTCAGCCACTGTCAGGCAAATGGGGCAGTGGAAAATGATTGCATGGCTGCTCTTGCTACCAAACTCAACTTTGGAAATAGGGAAACTGTGGGAAAACATTGTATCTAATTCATACATCATAACAAGCAATGCTGAAGCAAGGAAACCTTAGAACAAGCTGGCTGGTTTTCTGCAGTGATTTACAGTGACCAAACAGCCTGTGCTTCAAAATGCTTGCTTAAGCATTTTAACAAAGAGTTTCCATCAAAAATACTCAAGGCAGTTTCATAGCAAAGAAAAATAAATATGACTTTTAAAAATTCCTGTCTAATTTAGCTTGAACTCAGGAGCTGTTTAGTTAACTTTGACTATTTAATATTAGAGCTTTTTACAGAAAATTAAGTACATACTTGGTGATTACTGTGAAAATTAATGATATGGGGCAAAGCTGTAAAATAAGAGTGAAAGCTCTTCTACATATAGCACACAGTTAAAATATGAAATACTATGAGATGTAGTGATGGCTGTAAAGGACACTGGGAAAATTCATGGAGAAGACGACTCTTTACAGGCACTAGTCCTGACTGTTCTATGTTATCTCTGGTATCGGAAGCAATACAACTCTATGAAATAGCAGCAGAACATGGGTAGGAAAGTGCCGTTTCACACGTGCCCTGCTTGTGGAGTCCTGTAAGCAGGTGGTCGACCGCTGTGCGAACAGAATGCCGAACCAGATGGGCGCCTGGTCTGCTCCAGCACGATCCTTGCGAATTTTATTTTCAAAAATTGAGTCTCGGGAAGCGTTCATCGCTGCTTCTCCCAAGCACCCTAACAAGGAGCCTGCGGCACCATCTCGGGAAATGGCGCGGCTGAGGCGTCCCCGCCACGAAAGAGAAAGTGCCGCGCAGACAAGCAGCCTTCCAGCCCAGGCTGGTAGGAGGGGCGGGGCCTTCCTCCAGCCCGGACGGTAGGAGCCGGCGAGCTCCGGGGGTGCTCTTGCGGGCGGCCCCACGGACGGGGTTCCCCCCGCTCCCCCACCCCCGTCGCGCGGGCCCTGGCTTCGCCCCACGCACGAGGCGCCGCCGCCAACGTGGAACCCGAAAAATCGGTCTCTGACCTGCCGCCGGAGCCGCTCTATACACCGAGCCGCCTGCTCCTCCATTCTCACAGGTCACGAAAGGAAGCGGAACCGGAAACAATGCACCCTCTGTGGCCAGAGCGGCGGTCGCCGTACGCAAAGCTCGCCACCACCCACCTTCGCTCGGTCCCCCCTGGCGGCCGGCGTGCGCACTGCCTCCGCTCGGACGCTTTTCAATTTTCCCAGGTCATGATCGTGGGTGCAGGCGCCGAAAGGGTTGGTGGGCGGCGATGCGGAGGCGCATTTACACACGGGCTTTGCAGGTCCGTCTTGCCCCTAGATAGTAGTACTTTTTTTTTTTTTAATGCAAGGAATCCTTCCGAAGTCGATGGGGGTCGGGGCTGGCTTCACCTCCGTGTGTCCCTCGGCGCTGGACAAGAATTGCGGGATCGCGGACGTGAGCGGGAGGCTCGCATTGCCGAAGGGAGAGAAGTCAGTGCAAGGTCGCTCCGAATGAATAAGTCCCAGCTGTCGCGGGGACGGGACACAGAAGGGACTAAGGAGAAACAGCAGTGCAAATCAGGGCAAAAAACCCGCTGTATCACCCGCCGCCGATCTGGTGTAGTAAAGATGGGTCGGACTACTGACTCATCTGGAGGGCAGCAGGTTAGGGGAAGGTGCTCTATATGGGTCTACCGTGTAACGCCTAATGGTCGCGAGACAGGAGATATGCCTCTTCGGGGCCGGGAAACCGCACTGATTAAGAGGGCTTTGCAGGGCTGCCCACCTGATGGTTTTGAGCTCACTGAAACACACCCACCCACACCAGCTGTGAGGTTTACCCAAGATTACTGTAAGTGCATAGTTTACTGCTGGAATGTGCAGACTGAACAATACCTGAAATTATATATATTGGGAAAATGTATCTCAGACTGATCTTGGGTTGGGATCCAATTACTGCCTTCAGGACTTCAGGTTCTAAGAAATGGCCTCAGTATCTAAATTGTACCGTTTTAAGAAAGAAAAACAACAAAAAGGGCCAGTGTCAGTCATAGCAGTTCTCAGATGTTTGATATGAACTGTGACTGAGCTTCCATGTCTGATGTAGTTTGGTGATTGGGCTATATCTGGTTATCTCTAAACAAATACAAAATGCCTTTGCTGCATATAGCCCCCAGACCATATCTATTGGAATTAAAAAAAATGATGCAGGCATTCTGCTATTCATTGATTTAGAAATTGATCCTGTTTGGGGACACTATCCATGTGCTTCCATGCAGAAAACTGTAGGATTAAGGGTTGTATGTAAAAGTTTTAGGACATACTTCAGTGTGTATTTAGAAAAAGTCTAAATTCCCAGAACTTGTGTGGACTTGTAGAACTTTTTGTCGAAACATGTATGGTTTTGTGCCCCTAATATAAGATGGCAGCAAACATGTAAAATAGGCTCCTTGTCCATTTCTGAATGGTTCTTTCATAAATCACCCTGTTACTATGCTGTAATATTTATAAACTGACCAAACACCCTACCACCATCTCAATAGACTGAGGAAAGATTTTAGGTGCAGTGGAAAAAAAGCAGGAGGTAAGATTTTTCCTGTGTTCAGAATGTAAAAGCAACAATAAACCAGCAATATTATTTTAAAATTAAATTGGATTTGAAATAAGCATGGTGGAGACCATGGCTCAATAATATTTGATACTCAACAAAGAACTACATTCTTGACACTTTAACTCCAAGTTTACATTCTTAATTTGAAGCTTTAAATTAGGGAAGATTCTCAGAAGATAGTCACCAAGCTTGCTGGAAGCATTAGTAGAGACAGGACTGTTCCTCAGCACCTTACCTGGGAAATCATCCACAAACCCAACAGCAATGGAACTTGTCTGAAATCCCAGCAAAAATCAGAAAAACCCTGCAGAAGAATCCCACTGGGGAGATGCACGAGTGTGTGCAGCATGAACTAGCAGGGCTACCTAAACTTCTGGTTGATGTTGAGAGTATTCGTTGTGTGATTCAGGTGTAATTTCCTCAGTTTTTGTTCAAGGTCAATAGTATCTATGTAAACCAAAGGTCTTAATTTTATTGGCACTCCATATTATACAGGAAGTTGTGGGAAAGTTGAGCTGCCATCAAGGGTAGGTATGGTTGAGCACATGAGAAGGACCCAAACTGCAGCAGGATGCTCAACTGACAAGAGCTCTCTGGAGTCTCCTCTTTGCCGTTGCAGCATGCTTGGTCATCTGCCTCTCATATTCTGACCCAACACAATGGCAATGGAGAGGAGGAGGAACAGTACATGGCATCACCTAATTTTTCCCTGGCCTCCTGGAAGTGATAGAGATAAGAAAATGGTGGAGGAGCAACATACCAGCCTGTGACAGTGCAGCCAAGAAGGCAGACTCACTGAGCAACAGGTCTCGTTGAGGGAGTTTTGCCAAGGGTCCTCAAAATATGGAGCTGGCAGTTATTTAAGCTCTTCCTGATAACTGTCTCCATGAACTCCAAGGGCCTCTTAGTCAAAAGCTGTTGGCAGATATATATATTTTTAATAAAATACAAAGTTACAGGCATAATGCTATTTTTGTTTGAATTAAGGTTATTTTCATCACCACCCCCTCCCCAGTAATAGATTCATAAGCCTAGTTGCAGTTGTGAGTATCTCTATGAAGATATTACTGCAGTGTGTATACTTGTCCCCAGTGGGTGCTTACTTGGCTTAAAATTGCACTATTAGGTATTTCTTTTCTCTTGCTTGTGAAAGATGATTCTTCATGAGGTTTAGATTGAAAATAAAATGCCAAGGAGTTAGTTTTAGATTAGGCAAACTTTTTAAAATTGGGAACAATTACAGTGATTAAATACTTCTCTAATGAAGTGCTTTAAATAAATAAGCATATTTGTTTCTAGAATGAACTGTGAAAACAATAACATTGACCAAACAAACAAATTCAGTAATCCACAAATCTGTTTTTTCAACTTGTTATGCATTAATTAATCTAGGCCACAACATCTTAGATCTTGTGGCAGTATCTATCTACCCTAGCTGGATTTTAAAATGTAGGAATTGCTACAGCTCTTAAACAACATTTCTATAGACAGTCAGAGAAGACACACAGGTTAGGTATGTAAATTTCTATAGCAATTTTAATGTCAATCCGGACAAATTTTAAAATAGATAGAACTTCAGTCATTTATTACTTGCCTATTAAAGTGTTTTATACATGAAAAACAATTATGTACATCTCAAGAGGCTTCCAGTTTTAAACCATTTCTTGGCTTTATTCCTGAAAATGCATCTTGGTTTCTGAACCTTTAAGGCCTTTGTATTCCTGTGCCCATTGTTCTCCATTCTTATATTGGAAACAGTTGAAGAATTGTGGGAGGCTAGTGGTGCTGGTGGATGGTGTGTAGTGTGTAGAAAGTATGTGGGTCTGTTCAGGCATAATATTCTAAAGCGCAGTCAATTCAGCATAAGTCTCAGGCTTTTTCAGACATTCCCCTACCTAATTATCACAGAGGAATAAAACACATGGGGACCTATTACATATATTCAGACATGGGATCCAGAAAGGATGGGGATTGGATCTCGATAGATGATAGTGGAAGGAAGTAAACAGAAGATTACTTTCTTTCCTCTTCTCCAATAGCCCTCTGTAACTTCTTCAGTGGGTTTGTTTCCAAGGGAGAAAGGGGATTGTTGAAAACTGGGCAGAAGCAGCTTCTGTGGGTGAAGTGAACACTCATGGAAAGCAACTCTGCCCAGTTCTCAGGAGGACTCCTGACCCTCTGAAATTTTTTTTAAAGGGATACTAAGGGAAGGAGGGAACAGGACAATCAGCTTCCATTCACCCACTTCTACTGTATTTTGCTCAATCCAAACCAATTTTATTTCAAACTAGCTACTTGTCATCAAGACATCAGTATTCAGAATAGTAGAACTAATTCATTATTTTTAAGCTGCCTTGACAAAAAATGACAACTAAGACTTATACCAAGCTGGGCTCCAGGATATACCTGTTTATTTGCTCCAAGATATACTTGTTGCTTGCTTACTTGCCCCACAATATACTGCTTAAACAGGCTGTGTGCATACACGTGTGTGTATGTGTGCACGTGCGTGTAGACACATGTATATAACGGTGATAGTGCAAGAAAATGAGTACTTCTGTATGTATGCAGATAAGAGAATATCAGTGTGGAAAAGCTGGGAGAAAAATGCAAACACAACAATATGGTAAACTATGGTTTATAGACACAGTTACAGTATTTCTTGATGAGGCTTCATTTCATGTTGTTTAGTAGTTTTTTTTTCCAAAAGTAACAAGAGGAAACCCACTCCAAAATAGTTCTTCCATTCAATAAGGTAGGGAGGAAAATATGATCAGTTTAAACAATACCATACAAGACTTCTCATAGAGTTCAAGATAAAATTGTAGTCATAGGCTTTCTTTTTAGAAGCTCCTTAATGGTTACTTACTCTTTGTAAATGGAAAGGATTATAAAAGGAATGTTATGTTTTTTAAAACAACTTCAAAATAATTTAAAAACAAAGTCAGTTTTTATAAAATCTGGATTATTTTGATTGTGGACAGGTGAGGATTTTTTTCTTTAAGCAAAATACTGAGCCATAAGAAAAGCGAACATGAATATTATGTTCCCTGGAGCTCTCTTCCTGTAGCAAAGGGTTCAGTGGGCCTTTGGTACAGATACATGATGAGCTGAAATAACAATCTCCAAGTTAAAGTGCAGCAGGCAATTTGAACTCCACACTCATTTTTATGAAATGCGAGTGTTTCATAGCTCAGAGTGCACTCATTCACAGCTCTTTAAAAAATCAATGGCTTCTTTCATCCTCTGTTTTTGTATAAAAATATTTAAATTAGCAAAACCTAGTTCTATAAGAAGTGGGCTGTCTATAATAGTTGGGTTATGTTTTTAGAATAGTAAGATTGATGCTCCATTAGATTCAAATTTTATTGTGGCAAAACCTCTTTTAAAAAATGCAAGAGCTGTACAAAATGTCTAAATGAAATCTTATTTAAACAGCACTTTTGAGTTGCATTTGTTCATATTTAAAAATTCTTTCCCAAAAATACAGTGCTAAATATACAAACTATATAATCATGTCCTTTTAATGCTGGCATTTGCAATGGAGAAGAGAAAGTTAAAATCTGGACATAGATCTTATAAAGCCATCAATGTACAAATGACTGGTACCTTTATAATATGACATAAATAAACTTCAATGAAATGAAAATATATGTTCTTCAAGTTGTTGGAGAAAGAAATACTTAAATAGATACTAAACATCATCCGCATAGAGGGCTGGAATGTTTATCCTTGGTCGTGTGAAAAATGCCATTTTCTCTCTACAAAACAATACAAACACCACTTGTTAATGAAAATAAGAATTTTCAGTCTTTAATTTTCAACATGTAGAAGAAAGCTCTACCTATGCCTAATCATGTACAACTTCACAAAAAATGATAAAGATATAAATTTCATGTTAAAGAAATAACCTTTGGGGTAAAACAAATCTAGAAGATGCAAGTTTATTATGGCTAAACATTTTGAAGTCTCCCTTCCTTCTCTGTCTCTCTCACACACAGTTACAACAAAACCCTGTTTTCATGGACTTCTCGGTGGCTTTCAATAAAATCCATCGCTGGGTTGAGAGATGGAGGCACTGCATTTCAGGGGTTTGCATCCTACTGGAATGGCCAATTCTAGAAGGTGATGCTGGAAGTTTAATGATATGCGTCTTGACGGCTAAGCTATGGGGTTTTGCAGGGCTTCATGCAGTTCAACAGAGGTGTGGGCTGAGCTGATGTGTCCTCAATATATACAACACCCAGCACTCTGTATCAGTGCCTGGGCACTACAGTGGACTGAATGAACGCCAGTAAATGATATTCAATCTGTACAAGACAGAGCTACTGATAGTGAGTAATTCATCTGCCCAGTTAAGTGAGAGTGTCAGTAAGTACATGAACAGGGTGATCCTGTTGACACTGTTTACTTGGACTTCCAAAAGGCTTCTGGCAAAGACCTTCACCAAAGTCTCCTGAGCAAACTTAGCAGTCATGAAATTGAGGAAGGGGCCTTATTATGGATCCATAAATGGTTACGCAACAGAATGCAGAGAGTGAGCATAAATGGTATTTTCTCATAATGGGATGTAAATATCGAGGGATATTAGTGCAAACACTTTTTAAGCTATTCATAAATAATGAGAAGTGATGAACAAGTTTGCTGATGGCACCGAACTATTTAGGGTGGTTAAAACCAAAAGGGATTGTGAGGAGCTTCAAAGGGATCTCTGCAAGCTGTGAGGTGGGCATCAAATTAAGTGTCAAGTAATGCATATTGGGGTAAAACAAAACAAGATGATACAAAAAACTTCAAGTGTAAGCTGATGCAATGTGCTAGCAGAGGCTGATCAAGAAAGGGATCTTGGGATAGCAGTGGGCAACTAGATGAAAATGTTGACCCAGTGTACAGCTGCTATGACAAAGCAATATCCATGGTAGAGATAATTAAGAAAGGAACTGAACATAAAACTGCCCAGATCGTACTCCCTTTATACAAATCTTTGATGCTGTCATGCTTAGAATACTATGTACAATTCTGATCAGCACCCCTGAAAAAAGACACCATTGAATTGCAGAAAGTACAGAGGAGAGCACTAAAATAATCAAGGAGTTGGAGCAACTCCCACATGAGGAAGAGTTATAGAAACTGGGTTTGTTTTGCTTGGAAAAGAGTCAAATAAGGGGAGACATGATAGAAGTCTTTAAAATAATGTATATTGTGGAGAAAATGGGAGAGGAAAACATTTTCTCTCTCTTCCATAACACTTGAATGTGGGGTCATCACATGAAGCTGATTGGTAGGAGATTCAGGACAGATAAAATACAGCTGTACTTCACACAGCGTATAGTTAAACTATGGCATTCACTGCCAGCGGAAATGGTGATGGCCACCAACCTGGGCATCTTTAAAGGGGATTTGGACAAATTCCTGGAGAAGGCAGCTATCAATGGCTACTGGCCTTGCTAGCCATCTGTGGTATGCTGGGGGACTGAGGAGCTGGGTCTGGCAGAAACCACCCAGGCTGAGGGATCCTGTGGGCAGCTGTTTTGCCACTGTGTGAATGGAGCGCTGGACGGCATGGACTGCACTGTGCTCTTTCTATGCCAGGCGAAAACCTCCTTATTTTCCCAGGCATTTTAGTCCTTCGGTTTCTTTTTTAAATTAATTACCTCATTGGAAATCCTTGCATTACTGACAGATCTTATTCTAGCTTTTATTTTATACTGTACTGTTTTATGCTCCTTTTATCATTCCACTTTTATGGTTTTACATTGTTTTTAATTGCCTGGAAAGCTTCAGCTACTGACTTGGCTGGGCTGTGATTTCTTTGTGGGAGCAGCAGTGGCAGCAGCGCCAAGGCCTGTCTGTGTGGTGGCAGAAGGAGCGTCCACATGGGAGACTCCTGGCACATGCAGCTGCACAGCAGCAGGCCTGTGGCTTGGCTGATCTTTGTTTTGTGGGTGGCTGTGGCCTGGCACTGGGTGCTTCCTCCATGTAGAAGGTGGAGTGGGAAAAATGTCTACTCGCGTGTTTTCTTCCCAGCTGCTGTGCCTGGGCTCTTCCCCTCCCCTGCTGATCACTCTCCATCAGTTCCTTTGCTTTCTTTCCAGAGATTGCTCCAGTAGCACAAGAGCTGGCAAGGACTTCCTCCCTTCACAAGACAGAATGAATAACTGGGGTTTCTGGGGAAGGTCTCACCTCTGAGAAGATCAGATCAAGGTCGGCCTTCCCCAAAAGTGAGGCCTTCCCCAAAGCTAGCTGGGCTCCAGCGCACAAATGTGAATTGTAAACTGCCTTGAGATTACAGCAGTAGGCGGCATATGGAAGGAAGGATGGACAGAAGAATACATAAATAAAACCAAGTAAATAGTGAGTTCAGGAAGGAATGAAAAGCAGAATGTAATAATGTCATGATTCCTCTGCTTAAATTATGTTATTTTAATGTAATTGCCACTGTCTAGAGCTTCTGCCTTTCATTCCCACCCAACCCCACTGGCTACAGCCTACCTCACTAAGTGCATATATACTTGCGACTCAATACAGCATTTCATGAAGCAGACTGTTCCATAATTCTCGCAGCATAATAAATTCGTTAGCCTTGAAGGTGCCACAAAATATAGTTATTTTTGCTTCAACAGACTAATATAGGTCTTTCTCCAGAAATTATTACTTGGAAGAGTGATTTTGGGGGAAGGCAGTCAAATGATTTCAATACAATAAATCCTACCGAACTGGAACTGTCACAAAAGTTGTTTTAGCCAAGCCCACAGTTTTCTGTTTGGTGGTAGGCATTCATTACACTATGATAGATCAGACGCTCATTTTAAACAAAAAGAACTGGCAAATGAGACAATATTGTGTCATTGCAAGATAAGCCTATCACAGAAGAGGCTCTTTTTAGGAAATGCCATCCAAGGTTGTCTCTTATGATCTGAAGATAAACACAATGTAAGCATGACTCGTTTGCCTCTACTACTAAAGCATTTGTGATGCTAATAAGTGAAATTATTTTAAAAGGAGTAAAGCCAAATATTTAAGTAAAATCTGGGACATGTTTTCATACCTGAAAGACTGTACCTCTAAAGGCTCCTTACGACTCTGCCCTCGAAGCCTGTGCACATCCTTAGCAGCTGCTCTCATCATTTTATCAGCTTTCAGCTCGCACTTACATTCGATTTTTTCCACCTAATTGAATGAGGAATGAAGCCATTAATTTAAATAGGAGACAATAGGTTCATCTGTAGTCTGACATTCTCTGTGTAAAACAAAACAATTTATTTTCCTGTCCAGTACAGGGCGGAGTTCGGCACAGACTGATTTATTTAGAGTCATCAGTGACAGAAGCTGTAAAAGGACAGAACATGCATATGTGATTTCATGGCCATTATTACCACACCACTGTGTTGGTGGAGGAAAAAGCACTGATAAGTACCTGGCACATATCCTGTGAGTTTAATACCAGCAAATACATTTCATCTCATAATCCCATTCATACTCACTGCCTTGGAGGTAAATAAGACCGAAAGATGTAGACTGCACATATACAAAGCCCGCAGGACCATTTCAGTAAAAAGCAGAAGCACACACTACCTTTTTGCCACTGTTAGTTATATAATTAATAAATACCTTTGGATGAGTTTCAATTGGTGCAGCCTGAGGATGTAGACGAGGCGCTTGGCCAGGGTTGTGTACTGGATCCCTGCCCCTCCTGGCTTGTAAAAGCCAGCAAGGAAGGAACAACAGGCTGGGCCAGGGAAGTTATTAATGCCTTCTTGTGAGAAGGAATGTGCTCATGCCTCCTGAAAGAGGCAGTAGTGAGACCACTTCCAAAAAAAGTCCTCCCTTGCCCCAAAAGACTGGCCTTAATAACTTTGAGCCAGGAACAAACATTCCTTTCTGGACTAGGTTCTAGAAAGGGTGCTTGCCAATCAACTCCAGGTACTCTTGGATGAGTCTGATTGTCTGGATCCATTTCAGTCAGGGTTTAGATCTGGTTTTCGCATGGAAAGAGCCTTGGTCACCCTGTATGATAGTCTATGCTGGTAGAGAGATGGGGAGTTTAACCCTGTTGATATTCCTGAACTCTCAGGGGCTCTCAATATCATCAACTATGGCATCCCACTGGGGTGACTATCTGAATCAGGAGCTGGGGCTACTGTGTTGCAGTCGTTCTCTTCCTACTTGGAAGACCATCTCTAGAAGGTGATGTTTCAATAATATATGCTCTAGTAATCTCTAAATTAGATTACTGCAACACACTATCTGTGCAGCTGCCCTTGAAGTTGGTTCAGACATTGCAGCTGGTGCAGAATGCAGAAGCCAGATTAATAACTGAGACCCACAGGTCCAAACACATAAGACTAATTCTGGACCATCTGCATTGGCTGCCTGTTTGCTTCCTTTCCCAATTCAAGATGCTGGCTTTAACCCATAAAGCTATATATGGCTTAGGGCTGTAAATACCTGCCAAGGTACCTCTTCCAACCACAATACAATTGTACACCACACTCATCCTCTGGCGCCTATCACATTTTCTTTACAAGCAGTCCTGTAGTATAACCATACTCAAAACATTATTTTGTCTTTTATTGTTGTAATGGACATTGGATTAGTTTAGTTTCATTTTCAAGAAAAATGGTATGATTTGGACTATTCCTGGGCTACTAGTGTAGTGTCAAAATGAAGTGTTTGATCTCATAAATGCTTGTAATACCAAATACCTAATATTTTTGTTAAATAACATTATTGATTAAACATTTACAATATAATAATTTCATACCCATCCATACCACCTTGATTGCTTCTTAGCAGTTAGAATGGTAGATACATTCTAATAATAAATGAAACAAAGTAATAAACTAACTTTTCTATTACCCATTATTCTAAATTAATGCTTTAATCAGCTATTTGTCACAATCTGACCAGCTGACTGATTGTGTATGGAATGGAGATTTCTCCTCACCTCTTCTGCCTTGTTTCCCCTCCTTAATAATCTATCCCCTCTGGAACACTACATTTTATTCCTTCAGTCCTCAAATTGGCTCCATGGGGCAGGGGGATACAAACAGTGAAAGCACATATACATTGCAGACATGTTACCGTGCAACTTAAAGATTTTTTTAATACTTCCATTCTTACTGTGCATTTTTTTGATTTGTATAATTTGACCATTGTCTTAGAGAATTCTTGAATATTTAAAGCTGAACAGAAAGAAATATTTGTTATAATCACTTATGTCAACTACTTAGTTTGGCATAATACTTTGTGATTATTTTGGGGCTAGTGCTCAATGCTCTCAGATCAGTTCATTTAGAAATACAGCATATGTGAGAATTACTATTCCAGAAATAGAAAACATCAATTATATGTAAATTGGATTCCACAAACCTTCTAGTTTTTTTTAAATGTAATAATTTTGAAACAAATACAAAATAATACAGCTGATAAGTAAATATCTGCAATCCTTTACATACCCTAATTCTCCTGAAGTCGGTATTCATTACTGACTAAATATAGGATACAAGTAGGATTATACTGCAAGTACATGTATGCATTTGGGTTTATCCACATGCTAAATATCAATATCCACTTTCTTTCAAGGTTTAAAAAGTCCAATATCCCATTAAATTTCACCATTATACCAAGGCAGATATATATAAATTAAAAATTGTATCTATTCAGATAGGGGCAGTTTGGTTTTCAACAACTTATACTGAATCTCATAGGACAAAGTAGGAATGTATAGATTTTGTTGTATCTATTCATCTGTGCTTGGCAGATTGTCAGCCATCTTGTGTTCTGTCATTCACCTTCATTGAACTGGACTATTTAAAGCAGAATTTCATTCAGCTTATGCTAACATGTATCTTTGTACTTGCTAACATGCATTACCTGACACATGTTGGCACAAATATGGATTACTGGAAATCTGTCCCTCACACACACGCAGATAACTAGGCAAAAGCAGGTCTGCTGCAGAATGCAAAGGTCACACTCCTAGAAATCTGAAAGCATTTGAACCTGTTGCAGAGTTTTCCAGTATTCTCAGGACAAAGCAAATATGCTGCAGTGCAAACACATCTCAAATGTTTCACCCCTCTTTGGCATCTCTCCAAAATACAAGATCATACTCCACATGTATTTCTTACTTATCAAACAGCAAAAAACAGTATTTCAGTCTTATTTCTGAGCTGGTTTTGCAAATGGAGATGTTGAAAGATTCTTCAGCCAGGATTTCATATACTAGCTGGGGAATGCTGAGAACTGTGGGACTTTTTTCTGTCTAAACATGCACAGGATTGTTTTTTATCCAGAACAATTTCAGTGAAAAGTAAACCTGGTGAAGCAGCTGGCATGTCCCATCATATTCAGTCCTTAACACTGATGCTTAGAAATCTTTGCTTGTGAGTTCATACTAATTATGAATTAATCATCTAATTATACCTTCAGTAATGAGACTAATTATACCATTGACCCATGCTTATTTAAAGGTGAACATCCTGGGAAAAATCTGAGTTGATGATATAGCAACACGTGGAAGTATCCTTATACTAATGGTAGGCTGGATTCAGAACTTGCTTTCTGTAGACAGAAAGGCTCTGGCTCATGGAAGGTGTCTCCTCACAGTATCTGGCATTTTCCTCCTCCCCCTGCACTACAGCCCACCCCATTCAAGGGGTTCTCTTGACCCTCCGTGAAGCACTTCCAGGTGCTAGAAGGATTGCTATGTGGATAAGAGGGTGGGGGAATCTGCTTCCCTGAGTCCAGTAGCACATGCTTAAACTCGAATTCAAAATCAGAATTAATTCTGTCCTTATGGCGCACCAGTGCTTTGTTAGAAATAAAAAGATGATTTCCCCCAAAGCATTTAATACATTCAGAAAACCTGCAATTCTGACCAGAGCAGGGGTTGGCAATTTGTGACTCTCCAGGTGTTCTGGTCCACAACTTCCTCCAGCCCTAACCAGCATGGTCAAGAATAAGGAATCATCAGAAATGTATGCTAAAGAAAATCTGAGAGGCCACAAGTTGCTCACAGGGTTGTGCTAAACCCTCATAGAGCCTTTTTAAAATTCCACTAAAAATGGTAATGCTAAAAATTATCTGGAAGAGCCATGTGGACTTGATCGTAAGTCAGGAGTCTTGAGAAACAGCTAACATTAGACCCAATTTCAGTTTTGAAAATTTATTAATGAAACCCAGTCTGTAGTTATGCTTACTTGCTTCTCCACCAGCCTCATTAGCATCCGGAATCGTTCATCTTCATCTATATATCGGGGAAGTTCCTTCAGTCCCTGATTTTGTGCTTCTTCCAATTGTTCCTTGAGCTGTCTGAGGACAGAGATTTCCTGTACCAGCTGACAGTGCCAGGTCTTTGAAGCCTGAAGGTCCAATTCCAGGTCAAGAGAGGTACGGATTAGACGCTCAGGTCCTGTGGTTTTCACAGAAGACTGAAAAACGAACAAATAGATGTATACATCTGTGGATTATTCTTTTCAAAAAGGGTGCTTTAATTTGTCACAAGAATTTAAAGAAAACTGGTTCATGGCACCCAAGAAAAAATAATATTTTGGTGAGAAATTCTTTAGACATTTGTCTAAAGACTAGAGCTTTCAAAATGATGCAGAACTATATGGCAGATATTTTGCAATTTCTCTTTCGTACATTAGCAAAAACTGCAAAACCCTTAAAACTTTCATAGCAAGCCATCTAAAGAGCTCATGCTGTTAATATATAATATGCAAAACTGGAGCAGGAAGCATAATTATTGATCACACAATGTGTAACTATTTTAAAAACAATTAACTAAGCTTGTGAAAAGTATATGAAGCCTATCATTTCGTTATTGTAATAACAGTGATAAAATATTATGTTACACTTTACTGTCATTCTCTAGTTTTATTATAGTATACATACTTATTCCTGTATGTATTGTTTTTTATGATGTTGAGCTGTATTCTTAGATTAGTGTACACTGACTTGAGGGTCTGGCAGGCAGAGGCCAGTTCATAAAGCCATTTATTTAGGGTACAGTCCTATGCATGTTTAGAAGGAAGGCCTTAAACTTGCAGAATGCCAAGCCAGCAGTTGTAGGCCTTTTTTCTTTTTAAATATGCCCAGGATTGTGCCTTTAACTATTAAATAAATATATGAAACACGATTCTATGAAAGAAGAATATTTACCCTTTTCATCCTAACACTTCTCCTCTCCACAGAGTTCCGAACAAAGGGTGGTTTCTTAGACAAAGTTGAACTATCGCTATCACTGCGATTAAGCTGAAAAAGAGAAATGAACAAAGGCATTGAGGGAGTTGTGTCACTGGTACTGGACGGCTGCTGACCTCTGTTTGGGAGAACTGTATTCTGCTGCAAGAAAAGCACAGAATTGTAGAGCTGGAAGAGCTATTAAGGCTATTGAGTCCAACCTTCTCCTCAATGCAGGAATCCAATTTGAAACATGACAGAATGAAAAGTCTTAAGTTCACATAAGGAGCCTGGGAAAATTGAAAGTAGAGTCTTAGTGACTCAAATATTCAGAAAACATTGTGGGACAGAGTACAGAAGAAGGGTCATATGGATGCAGAAGATCCCCGATTCAGTCCCAGATAGCTCCACATAGGTCTGGGCAAAAATCCTGTTGGAAATCCAGGAAAGCTGCTATTATTCAATGTTGATAATACTGGACTCTGATTCTGCATAAGGCAACTTCTTTTGTTCCTCTATGGTTAGACTATTACTGTATTGGTTTAGGATTGGAATCCTCAATAGGGTAACTCTTCAGAATCATCCTTAAGGGTTTGTGCGAATTTCTGTATTTGCGGAAGGTAGGAAAAGGTGCTGCACAATGGGTTTATGCAGCCAAACATGAGGGCATAAAATATTCAGAGTAATGGAATGCAGATAACCAATCTATTCATATTACTGAAATGTGATTAAAATATGTTTTTCAAAGAATGTACATGTTCCATTTTTGTTGTTTGTTTAGAGCAGCAGCAAATGTTCCTGGCCTTCGTGTGGCTACAGGTTTTTATTTATTTACTTATAAATTTGTATGCCACCTATTGTGCCACAGCAGGAAAAGGTTGTACAGGAGGTCGCACAGGAAAAGCCTGCCATCTTTATCATGAACTTGTAAGATGTCCTGAGACATGTTAGTGAAGGACAGCATACAAATGTTTTAAATAAATAAACTTGAAGCAAGTTCCTTTGCTTTTCGGATATACCTTCCAATTGTCTTTCGTATATCCAAAGCATCACCTGCTATCTTCTGAGTGCAAAGAATGGAACAGCCTCACAGTTCTTCCAGCTGCCCCATCCTCTCAAAGGTTTTCTCTGTGAGAAAATTATACTTTCTTTTAAAGCCACATTTTTAAATGCTGCTGAGGATTGGCAGAGGGAAACCTCTGCAGTGCATTTTGTTCAGATCATCTCCTGTTCACTGCACTGAGCCATCCATCTATCCTGCTATGCCTGGATGCCCTTGTCATGTGCTGTTTGTTCCATGGCCTGATGCCAAAAGGCCTGACTTAAAAACAAGATGATGCAATTTAGAGGTCTTGCTTATTGTTGAGAGTTCAGCTTGCAGCAAAATCAAAAGGAAAATGGATCGCTGGTGAGCCTGACACTGCCTGAATTTGGAAGCAGTAACTGTATCAGACCCTGTTGTGATTCATTCGAGTAATAGGCAGCCTTGATGTACAGAAGGAACACCTCGTTCCTCAGCAGAGCCAGCCTATGCTTCATGAAAGGAACTTCCTGACAGTGTTTTCCTTGTTTACTTCACAGGCTGGTGAAAGAGAGGGGTTATTTATAGTCTCCCCTGATCCTCTCTCCTGGAACTAATTAATTATGAACAAACATTTAATCAAAGAGGTGGTGCAGAGCAAACATAACTGCAAAGTACTGGGCACATTCATGGTTGGCTGCATCATATGTTGCAGTGAAGTTACACCAGATTTTCCTTTCACATTTCCATCACTCCGGCTTTCTCCTTCCTGCCCTCTGCATGCAAGTCACCCACTGGAAAACACTGTCCTCACTGTTACATTGCAATAAAATTGGCAGAGGTCTCACAAATGTGATTCATGATTGGTTGCATGGGCCAGTGCATTCAAGTGTTAGGTGTTTAAGAAAATCATGGCTAACCAGAGAGATCTGGGTATATGTGTGTAGCCACAAATCTGGTGATCAGCAGGTGTGTTCTTAGAATATATGTCGTATGTGGCCCTTCGTTCTTCTTCCAGAATAAGAAAGCCAGAGGAAAATCTATGAAGCAAGCTATGTTCTACGAGTTCCAAAAAGCAGGTAACTTGTTGAAGAAATTCTAAGGCACGTATAAATGAGCCAGGTGTTGCCTTTCCAAAAAAGGCACAAGCAACAGGTAAACCTGAATTTGTTAGAATGTGAAGCTTCCCTGTTGTCAGAAAACAACATACCAAGTAGTATGATTATACAGTTGAACTGGTTTAACTTCTGTTGAAGAAAGAGAGAGAATAATATGCGAGCAAGTTTCCTTCAGCTACGAAGAGAGTTCAGTTCTAAAGTACACATGAAATATATTTATTTGTTACTTCATGCAGTTGCTTTATGCAGACAGTGACTTAGCAGCAAAGAATTTAACAGTACTTATTCTATACTGCATATCAACCAGCAGAGCATTCCATGGCACATTCCATTAAATCCCTGATTGGGAAAAACTACATGCTTTTCCTATGGATCAGCATGATTGCTTCCCTGCACTGGTAAACATATGCAAAAATGAACTGGACTAGGCAATTGTCCAGACAGATAAAAAGAAAAGATGTGAATGCTTGTTCAAGGGATTGCTGAAAAGAACCTACAACTGAGCCTTAAACTTTTCCAATTTTTTTAAAAAAGTGTGTGCGCGCACATACGCATGCACACTTTAAATGACAGCTTCTGAAAGAGAAAATAGGACGAATATGCATATGCTATTTTTCACCTCCCAATTTCTCCTTTAAACAGCTGTTGTGTTAAATCATCACATTTTTGAATTTGGGAGATTTTAACAAACAGCTGGAAGGGGAACAGCGATTCTGTGGAAACATCTACTATAGAAACAATTTCATGCACACAACTAGATGGCATAGCTTCACTCCTCTGAAACACAGCCTTCAGTTTTCAGGTCCCATTTTAATTTTCCTCCTCGCACATTGCAATTAATATTAGATTTCAGGTGTCCACCTATCTGAGCCAAACTACATTACGCTATCATGTAGCATGCTATTATGTAGCGTGCAGTTTGAGCTTAGAATGCACCATGCACTAAGCTTCCCCTAAGGCTATCATTTCCCCCCTCAAACTCATTCTCCTAGAATTTAATGACATACACTGTGGTGGGTGGAAGGTATAATTGCCCCCTCCAAATCAGGCCCACAAGTGCTTACACTAAATTAAAAGCTAACCTTCAGCAATATGCTATGCGATTCACATAACATGGAGTTTGGCTTTTACTAACACTCAGAGAGCATTTTCAACTATGAGAAATAGATAAACTTGTATTTTTAACCTCAAATCAAAGAGACAATAAGATTATCCATACTCAGTAGAATGCATTATTAAGAATTCTTCTTGGTAGCATTCTGTTCCCTAAGAAAGGAAAGTACAGTGACAGGCACATACATGCTATTTTCCTTACCCGACACACATACTGGCTTTGTGGTCCAGGAGAAAATGTTTTGGAACGGATGATGGTGCTGCCTCTAACAAAAGGAGTTCGTAGTGGGTTAGGTGTTCTTTTATCTTTTGGACGAACTACTGTGGAAGATTGTGGAAGGATGTCTGTGTTAGTCTCTTTATCCACCTGGAAGACAGAGACAACACAGTGTAACTTTCTCCCTCGAGGTGCCATTAGCATCTCTGTCTTGAAGCTCTTATGGCTGCAGATATGCTGAAGTCTACCTCTGCTTACCCTTTAGGTAAAAAGTAGAGAAATACAATGGGGTGTTCCAGACTTGGATCACCACCTGTAAGTTTTATTTTAAAGAAGTCAATGCATCTAAAAACAGCACTTAACAAACATACATCAGTGTCAGAGAGACAGAAGGCAAAATACTATGATCACAGTCCAAGATAACGTTTAGTGTGCTAAGCCTAAGCATATTCATTTTGATGTTTTTATGCTGGACGGTGGCATATAAAGTTTACCAATTCCTTTGTAAATAGTCATTCTGTTGTCAGCCAGATTCAGAGCATGGCTTCTAGCATGCTTAAGAGAGCACTACTGCAAATAGTTTATAAGTACAACGCTTACTCTTTGGAGAGAAGGAGGAATCCATGTAACACTCTTACGTGGGTTAGCAGATGTACAAGAGCTGACTTAGGATAAAACACAACTAAGTAAAAAAGACAGAAATACCTAGTTTCTTTTAAATATAAATGTTGGTTCAGCTTGTTTTGCTCAACTCACAGAAATTAGCTACAGAAATGAGAACTAAAATAACATTGGTACTAACTCGAATTCTTTGAAGGGGGCTAAATGGCAGAAAGAAATCATGATAAGAAAAACAGAATCCAGGCACTTGTCTTATAATGTGCTTAATGTGGAAATAAAAGCCAGTTCACCAACTTCCTAATTAGTTTTGGAAAACAGATAACAGTGCATGGAAACACAAGCATTACCTGGTTTGCCTATACAAATATTGGTTTGTGCTGACAAGTCCATATGGGCATACTGCATTTGCTGACAGTGATATCATTGAGGTTGCTTATAAGAGGCAGACTTTGGTAGCTGTGTATCATTATCAGGAAGTGACACTGTAACAATTCAGGAACTTCATTTCATTTAGAGCATGATAGCTCATCCAATCACAGTAACTCTAGTTGAGAGCTATGGTTGGTGCAAAATTATTTTACCCAATTTGTCGATTTTTTTGCTGACTATGACAAAAACAAAACAAAACATCCAAGTTCAAGTGTGGGTGATCATCCCAGTTAGTCATAAATCTACCAGAAAAATGCTAGAATTCCAAGGGAGTGTTGTGTGAAACTTAGCAAAGAGTATCAATTCACAAAAAAACAAAACAAAACGGAAGCTCGATTCCCTCCCATTGGAAGGGAAGCAAAGATACTGCAGCAATAGCATGATGCTAACAGCTTGACCTTCTGAACACCTGCTTATAAAGGAACTTCTGCTTCCTTTGTGCTTTCTTTACCTTGATGGCTGCTGACTCAGCCTGTGAAAATGATGATGGGGTCTCTTCTGTTTCCCATGCTGACATCTGACCGTAAAGTTCTTCATCCTCTTGTACTTCATTTTCACTGTTGCCACCTTCTTCACCATCATCCTCATCTTGCCTGTTACAAAATAAAACTGTTCTGTAAACAGGTAACACACACTCTGGGAAACACACTCTATCAAAGTTATTAATGTTCCCACACACAGGACCTTGTATCTGTTTTCTAGAGCATTACCATACTTTATGGTATATGTTGGAATAATAAGGACGGAGTGACAATATATTTGGGTTATAGATGTATCACATCAAATTCCACTTCATTTATTACTCACCTCTTGTGGAGTTTCTACAGTGAACAACAGACCCCTGACCCAGGAACAACAGCCAAATGTCTTCCATCTGATGGCAATGCATGTCGCAAGCCATAATATTTATGTTGGGCTAACCAGATTAAGTCAACTCAGTTGTGTAATGAGTCTTAGCATCAGTATGAAAAACTCCATTGGGAAGTGTCATTAATGTGAGGACTTTGCACAAAATGGAGTTGTTAATGCAACTGAATATAAATGTTGCATGAAACCCAACAGTGCATCTGCCATGCCAAAACGCAAACAAGCTGAGTTTATTTTAGAAGGTGATCAACAGACTTTAGAGCATTTATTTGAATGGAAGTAGGAATAAAGTCATAAACACAAACTGGCAAAAAGTTGCTAAACAAGAAGATGAACAATTTTAGATGAGACCCCACATATTCAAGGTTCACCATTTAACCCTTAACATTAGAAAACAAAGTCAACCATTTTGGGGAACTTGGCAATTCTTACACAAAACATTTATTCCCCCCCCCCTTTTTATTTTTTTTTACGGAAAAAAAATAAATACAAAACTTCACAACAATAATAAAACATAACTAGAATATAATAATTAAGAAAAATAATAAATGATAGAGTGCACCCACCACCCCAGAGACCAATACTACCACCATTCACATACTATAACAATAATATATAATATACTTCAATTATACCCATATCCCATTTATTTTTAAATCAAACTTGGGCTAACACAATTTTAATACAACAAGATTCAGTGTATGCAATTTGTGGAACACTATAACTCTTCAAAAATGTGGAGGGTATTGTATTATAGGAATGGTATGCTACTTCTGAAGAAGTCACTTTGATCTTGCAATCTTAATTTTTGACATTGTTACACTGCAATTTCCTCCAGACTTGTCTATCTGTGCTGTGACTGCATAATGAAAAACTGCTGTATAAAGGAACAATATTCAGGGGATTTCAAAAGTGGGGCATTGGTGAAGGACAGTACCCCTGCCACAATAATGACAATATCTGTTGACCAACTTGGTACCTTTCATTTAATTCTGCACTTACATACATGGTGATAAAAGCTCACAAAAACAATGCTGCTGCAGTGCTGTGATATATTATTATATTACATTTATATCTTGTCTTTTTTCTATCTGCAAGGAACCCAAAGCAACTTACACAGTCATCCTGCTTTCCATTTTATCCTCAGACCAACTCTATGAAGTTAGTATGATATAGCTGTTTCATATCACTTACCAGTTTTCGTTGTTAAGTAAAGTGCTTCTGCTTTCTTCTAGTTTTTTCTCTACAGCTTCTAGTTCAACAGCAGTCTGTTCAAGCAGTGCAGATACAGAGTCCTGTGGGAAATGAGTTAATGACATTATTACTCTTAATGTACATTGTTGCACCAAAGACTATTATTATTCCAACTGAGAGACTTTGTATATTGTCAGCTATGTGGATAGCTAAGTCAAAAAACAAGTCATGTTTTCTTGATCTGGTTTAATTTCAGACATGCAAACCAGAGGCACTGTCTCCAGAAATACCGTAATTTCTGGAAAACACATTTAGTCATTACCATTTTCTCAGTGCAAGGTGGTTCAGAACAGGCGACCCCTTGTTTGTTTTCACTGCTTCGCCTCTGTAGATATTTATAGTTAAGGAGATTGTACCAACGTGTTGACCCGTCTCCCAGTCTGCAGGTCTCAGCAAGGCTAATTTGTGCACCTCCCTGTAGAAGGAAAAAGAAAGCAATGGGTATGTTCAGAATATTCAAATGACAATGAAACAAATGCTGGGAGAACACATAACCTTCAGAAATATATACAATTGTTCTTCCCTTGCAACATAAACATGAGACAGATAATTGTTTTCATAACTCTGGCAGCACCTTTTTGAGTTGGTGGCACATACAAGCACACCCTGAAAATCCAGTTCACACGAGTTAAAATGGCGTCATTGTGCAGCAAGCATCACATATGCTCCTGACCTTGTGAGGGTCTTGCCCTCCATTATCAGTTAACCCTTAATAATAAAGCATGCCACGATCAGGCAAATGCCATTATGTATGTGCTGTGGTTTTTTTTCAGTTTTTCTAAAAAAAGCATTGTTTAGTTAGGTCTCCTGGTATCGTAATATAACTAGTGACTCCTGATTAGCTGCAAGAATGCTGGACACCCCAGATAGGCCCAATGTGCTTCGTGTAGATACCACTATGAAGTGCAAACTGGACTGAACTTTGAAATCTTATGACAAGAACTTGAAGTCTAATTTATAAATTCATTGTGGTAGATGAATAACACAGTGCTATTGGTATATTACTGTTGGCATATTATTACTAAAGGGACCACAATTAGTGCTCCCTAGAAGATATATTACCAAAATAACTATAGAAGAGATGTTAGCTTCTATATCAGTCAATTTTTTAAAGTCTAAGCACTAAAAGTGTTGTCGAAATGAATACTGACCAAACACTCTTCAAGATGGCACTTATCCACAGCACAGACATCAACTCTGAGTGTCTTCTGTCGTAAAACCGAGTAAGGGATTGTAACACAAAATAATTCATTGAACATGAGATTGTCTGATGCTTCCAAGAGCCTTGTGCGGAACAAACAGCTTGTACTTTCAGAAGAAGGAAGGATGGCCACACGAATGCTCCTGTTGAAAAATAGCTTATTCAGTATTACTTTCTGTACAAGTTTATAGCACATGAAGATGATTCCAGCTGAACACAAACTGAGTCCTGCACAGTTCAATTCATCAGCTAAGAACCTGGCACAGGTAGCAAGACTAATCCTCAATGTAATACTGAAGAGATGCTGCTGTATTTTCTACCTCTTGCCTCATCACTATAGCTCTCTGGTAGGCACTAGGAATTTGCAATCTTACATTGGTTTCATTAGGACTTCCACTGGATTAAAAAAAATCATACATTATTGTCAAGTGAAACCTATCCAAAGTTTCAATAGTCCATTTATGTGTACAGTTTAGTTAGCTAATACAGATGACATGACTGTGTAAGCACTGTTTCTACTTTACAGAAACCCGCTCCTACCTTGAACTGTTTTCTTTCATCTTTTGCACAGAGATAGCAAAACACAGAACTGAGATGTTCCTTGTCTAATTTACACAAGAAAAAAACCAGCTGGCTGAAATTCTGTTATGGTAAAATGTTATGTGGGATAATTCTCCAGTTCTCCCAAACCAATCATTATTACTTAAAAGGGAGGTGGTGGAAACATTTATAGAGATGATCTCTTCAGATAATGTTTCTCTTAGAAAACATTTTCTAGATCAGTATACATTAATGCTCCATCAACTTAGTTTACTTTGCATGCTAATGTAATACTTTCTTCCCAAGTTTTGTATTTCACCAAAGTCTGATTCACATTAACATTCCACTCCAGGCTGACTGGTTAAGCAACAGGTCTCAAGCAAAGTTCTCAATATTCTCCGCTCTTCATCATTCGTCCTTTAAACCTGACTATCTGGAACAAAACTGTGAAAATAAAGCCTGGGGACAAGACATTTGTATCATCATCTCCCTGACTGAACTTTAATCAGTCCTCTGGTGAAGCCTCTCAACTCTGCCACCAAAAAGCTAGAAGTCACACACTAGTCATCAGCCCTGCCCCAGGGACAAAAAGAGTGTGGGTCTGCAACTTAGACAATTTGGGTTCTGTTCCAGCTCAGCCATGGAGACAACTGGGTGACTTTGAATCAGGCACAGACTGTCAGCCCAACCTACTTCACATGGGATAAGGTAGGGGAATAAGATTGAGAGCAGAAGGATAATTATGTAAGTCACTTTGAGTTCTTTAAAAGAAAAATATCTAATAAATAAAATATCAAATAGATAGATAAAATCTCTCCTTCCTGGTCACCCATTCATCATGCAACAGTAGAAGCTACCACAACAGCTGCAATATCTAAGGACTAAGAAGCACAAACATTTTACACAATCATCCTCCCAGTGCTTTCCTCTCTGACTAATGCCTTTAAAAGGAATCCAATGCTTATTATGTACTAATTTTCACTCACTGTCAGCCATTTTGGAGGTTTCTATCATGTAGAGAAAAGATATGCCTATTTTAAATAAGTAAGAAAGAAGCTTACAAGTGGGATTTGCAAGAAAACCATGCTGTATATCCCCACTCTTAATAGGAGTGCTGTCACCAAGGTTCCAGCCGTGTCTTTGTCCAGGATAGCATAAGGGGCTGAATCAGGGCATTCCACTCCTCCTTCCCCAGTTCTCCCTGGAGCTGACGCTTAACAGTGTGCCACTATTGAGCATGCTGGGTTCTGTTTTGGATTTTTCCTCTTCATTTTTTAAAAAAAGATTTTTCTTTTGAATTTCCACAAACCTTAATATTCCCCCAAATATGCTGATGTCAACATTATTCTTGCATTGCACTATAAGGTATACACCTTAAAACAGCCTTCACACACTTCAGAGTTAAGAATTAAATAGGTAATAGAGCTCTCTATTTCACTGTTAGGAATACGAATGATAGCTTAATCCTATGCATATCTATGCAGAAGTCCCACTGAGTTAAATGGTGTTTATTCTTATGTATGTGTGCATAGGATTTCAGTCCTATGTTTTATTTATTTATTTTATTTATTTATTAAAACATTTCTATGCCGCCCCTTGCATAGTAAAATACACAATAAATTAAAACAATAACAACAGATAGAACATCATCAACAGCAGCAGCAATCAATCAGTCAGAAATCCAGTCCTTTCAAAAGGAGAGACTCTATGTCACATTTAAGTAATCACAGCTGAAAGCAATGGACACATTTACAAGTCACACTAACCCACTTCACAATAACCAATAGTGGGTGTACACTACCTCCTTCATAGCTGGGACATGGCTAACTCACAGTGAGTCTGGTCACCTTTCCATAGTGCCTCACTGATTGTTCAGCAATTCTACTCAGCATGGGTTGTCCTCTCCCATTTCCCCATGGTCCTCCCCCACTTATCGCAGGGAATTTGGTGGGTAAAGCTGCTTTGTCTCCTCTTACTGATTGTGATCTCCCTTTTGCTCAATGCAGCTTTCTTCTCCTTTTCATTTCCTAGATCGTCTTCCTAATTTCTGAGTTGACAGCCAGTGACAGGTCCTCCAATGTACTCAAACAGCACATTGGAAGAGCTGTCAATGGTTTGCCACCCCAGGGCTATCCAGGAATTTTTGACAGGGATACATATAAATGAAGACTCTACATTTGTATGTATATGAAGAGTCAGGTAACCAAAGGTGAGGGGGAGAAAGAATCACATGTGGGTTTGCTTTCCCTTGACAGCTTGATTTTTGACTACTGCCAGGTGAAAGCAAAGGAAAAAATACATTTCTTTGCAGCTCCTGGGTCTATGTCCCTGGTGTGCACCTGCTGAACTCTGATAGTGGGAGGAAGTTGCCCAGGTGAGGCTGCCCACTGTGGACAAGTGCAAGTGCTGACCTCCACAACTGCTCAAGTCTAACAGAAAAAATGCAGAAAGAAGTGTGTGCACATGTCTTACATTTCAAATACTTTTTTAAAGGGGTGATGAGCTATTGTCAGCCTCTCCAGTGAGCCACTTAGCACTATCATCTCAGAGATCACAAAGGACAATTTCTGGTGGAAACAATGGGGGAGAAGCCATGGTGAGCAAAACCAGACTCATAATCCTTGTAAGGGAATCCAAATCAGCGACAGGCACTCCGTCAGGCAGCCTGGACATCAGTGGGGTGGCTATCACACGTGGTAGCTCAGAAAGTTCAGCAAGAGCGGCACTGGTTTGCTAAGTGGCTTGCTGGCCGCTTCCCACAGTCAGCAAGGTGCAGATGGTACAACAGATGATTGTAAGGGTTGCTTGTTGCCTATAAACAAGGTGGGAGGTGGTTTGGGTTCTCATGACATGACAATCCACTATGGCTTGTCACGCAGTATGGGTTGTCATGCCTTGTGAACCCAGTCAATAAAACTGTTCAGTCATGAGCTAGGAAATCCTGAATACATCATCTTCAAGACTCTGGGTTGGATCCAGCATAAGCCTCCCTCAAACTGCACTGATTGGGGGTTTCATGATGCTCTTATACTACATTCCCCTGTGCCCTCTGAAAATGTTTTCCAGAGGACTGGACTGCAGAAAGAAGGAATCAGTAGAGATCACACCACCCAGTTCTGTTGGTAGGAGCATGCTGAACAGGACTCTGCTCAGTTACTGTTTCTACTTGGCAGAATAAAAGCTAGATCCAACATCATGAATCTGCAAAAGCCCAAAGGAATGCATTGAATTCAACAATACTTCCAACTTCCAATTCCCTTTGCTAAGCTGAAGTAGGCACTTGTCCACAACACCTAGCTTGTTCTATAGTGCTCTCAAAATACATTATCCTGAAGCAAGTTCATTTAAGAAGAGTGAACTCAAACATTGGGGAAGGACAGTTAAAACTATTTCTACAGGTTGGATAATGAGCAAGCTGAGCAGTGGTTGCTGAAAAAAAATAGGACAGTGGTTTCAGACTGACTGTATTATATAACAAGAATACATAAGGTGATCGATCAAGAGAGCCACTGGAATCTTTTACAGGCACTTCTAATATGTCATTCCACTTACTTACAGTTTCTGGTCTTGCTGTGGCAGGAGAGCAGGCACATTATTCACCTGGGCAATGAATATTGCAAACTGTTTATTTTTGTCATCGTACCTGAATTGGAAAATAAGTAGAGAAAGCAACTGTAGGCAGTAATGAAATGGCTCAAATCACAAAGGAGGTTGTGCATATTTTACAACACTTCCAGATTTTCAAGCTTAGCATCTGCTAAGGGATGCAACCCTATATATGCTTACCTGGAAACAAGACCAGCTTAACTCAGCAGGACTTGCATATGCCAGGTACATATGCATAGGTCTGGGCAGCAGGGTTACAATCCCAAGCATACTTGCCACTCAACTCAGCAAGGAAAATATCCTTAAGACTAGGGAAAGATAGACGTATTGGATTGTGCTCCAAAATATTTGTTGACCTTAGTGTTAGTTTATTCAAGGATCCCTGAAAATTCTGGATTGGACTATTGAATGTCCCATCTCTTATTCTTCCATCCCTTAAAATGAGCAAAGTATTTTCATTTAATTTCACTACACTGGGGTTGTTCACATGATATGACATGAATTCACGTTTGGAGTGTATTCTGTCATACAAACCAAGCAAGTGTGAATTATTCAAAGGTTAAACAATTCTGCAGAACCCAAAGTCTGTTTTAAGATTACGCAAAGGTTAACTGCCAAATAACCCACCTTGCCAGGTTCACAAGACATGTTCATCTCCAAGTGGGGACTGCATATGAAGTTTGGTGGCCCTGGATACCATAGTTCATGTTATGATATATATTTTTCTACCTCATGTATTGAAGATGATGATTTCAATGTTAAACATTGAGAACTATTATCAGAACATAAAAGATTCCATAACAGGAGACGCATGAAGTGTTAATAAGAATATGAGTTCAAAAGAAAGGTGAAACCACCCAGCTTACTTCATTGAAATCTGAACTTTAGCAGTGCTCACTGTCTCTGTATCATCATTGTCGAACACAATAGTTTCTGAGATACAAGGCCTAAAAAAAATTAAGAACATTTGAGTGGGTATGACACCAGTACATTTATGTAGAGTTTCTTCCTGTACACACACAGTGTAACACAAGAAAACCCCTTTTACAGTTGGATACAGAGTGACAGTAGCACGTTGTCTACAACTGAATGCTGGACACTCCAAACCATGAAAATCCGACAAAAGAAGAGTTCAAACATTGCTGACTCCCCTGCACCACAGCATTCTTCCCAAGAAAATTGGTGTGAACACAGGATCTCTCTTACTATACGATAAAACTCCCATTAAGTGGGAGCTTAAATTGGGGGTCATGGGGTAAATGAAGTGGGAGGCACAGAAACCCAAAGCCCATTCTATAATTCTCCCCATAGAAAAGTCAGAAAGTTAAAGAAACATGAGGAGTAATGGGTTGGTCTCAGACTTGAGTGGGCCCTTGACATACTACTACTAATAGTGTCCCTTGGTGGCATCACTGAAGGATTCAACCATTGCTTATTGGAACCACGTCCTGGTGGTTTTACCAGGTGGCATGAGCACACTTCCTATGGAAGTCAAGCGGCTGCTCAGCTCCTGCCTGTCTCTGTTTTTAATCCAAAAGCATGCATTACAGGAAAATAGAAATTACAGCCCCTCTGGCCCAATGAGCAAGGTGGCAATAGTGCCAGATAAGGGGGACAGGTCCAGTGGTAGCAGATGGACATGAATGCCAGGACTGAGAGATGAAGGGGACTGGCAGCACCCACCACAGGAGGTGGTACAAGAAAAGCAGGTATCAGTTCAAAGGGCCAGGATGCATGGACTGTTGCAGCTACCCAGGTAGCCTAGTGGCTGGACCTGAGGCAGCTTTAGCCACAAACACACAGGCAAAATCTTGGAAACCTTTCAGCTCAAGTAGGCAGTCTATGCCACCTAGCTCTGTTGATTTGGTCAAAGTTTAGCATGCACCCATGTGGATCAGGATACCTTTGCACAGATGCTTCATACACTCCACTGTCTCCAGCAACTGACTCATCTGATACTGCAGCTGATACACATGCCACCTTCAATGCAGTTCCTTCAACTAAATTTACACCTACAAAAATGCACGAAGAAGTCAAAATGGCAGTAAAGATTTTACATGAGTTGGCTACATCAACAAATTCAAGAGTTAGTAATTCACTGCTGAGCCAAAAGGGCAGATAGGCTGACTCAGTACAAGTTAGTTTCATTGGTTCAAATTACAGTCCACCTCAATTCAAGAATGTTTCCAAAGCAGGTTTGAACTAACAAGTTTGGACTACCTTAGACAAGACCAAAAAAATGATCTGGTAAATAAAACTAGTCCTCAAGAGCTTATGACCCATCAAGCCAAATGTGGTCCACCATCCAGATATACACATCAGTTATGAAGGCTATGTGGGAACCAACCTAAAATCAAGCCAGTGGCATTTTCTACACTCACCTGAAACCCTGTTGCTAATACATTTCAAAGGTTTCAGTACTGGTGAAAACCCCTCTGTACATGGAACGTATAAATGTCCAGCCCTTTATTTTTTTAAGTAGACAACCTTTTGGGTTCCTTGGAATGATCCAACTATGAACAAAAGTTAACCTAATGAAATATGTTCAACATACAGCCCCTTTTGGGGGTGGGGGTAAAACATTTTTTACCCCCCACCTTTTTTTAAATCTGGATACTGGTTTTGACTCCATGAGTATATATGCTGACCTACAATCCATTGTCCAGTTATTGAAACTTGTCAGAAAAGGATATTTAAACTGGAGAGCACCATAGTGAAAAAAAACATCTCTTAAGATGTAGGGAGAGGTTTGGGCTATGTAGTTCTACTTATAGAAACATGTAAGGACACATGATCTTAATAGGCTACACTGTAAATCAAGCAGCTTTTCCGCTATTCTGAACTATGTACACAGAACCCAGGAAATGAACGTTTTCCTCATTACTGCCCTGAAATAAACTACCTGTGGTGATTATTTTGTCTGCTGACTGAATAACAACCTCAAATCACTTAATCTGCTTAGCGCCTTATAGCGCCTTTCACTTTAACAGCCTCAGCCATTCTCAGAGAGCCAACAAAGGTTAAGACTAATTGCCACCAAGTTCTAATGAGAATAATAACCATTTCTAAATAAGAATGTGACCATTCTTGACAAAAAAGGAAGGAAGGACGGAAGGACGGACTCAGCCCACCCAGCTGAAGATAAATTATTCCAATATCTTTCCCAGATCAAGTGTCTGTAACCCACTGTGGCTTTCTTTAATAAATGTGTTTTTACTTAACACAATAGTGAAGATGCTAACAAAAAAAGAGTTCTCGGGCTATGCGGCATCATACAAATGTAATAAATAAATAAATAAAATTCCACTCAATACTCTTTCACAGATTGGCATTGAGTGGGACAGGTGGATTTAGATGACCTCATCAAATTGCATTACACAAAGAGTTTCAACATTGAACAGAATTCATAGTTACTGATCTTTCGTCAAGCAACAAAGTAACTGGCTTGCTAAAAGTAATGTGTCCATCTCATTTTGAACTCTTTCAACTCTTGCAATTCCAAGGCAGCACTGACTTTCCCAACTCTGAATCTACCCAGACACTTCCAATTGATCAGATCTTGAAGACTGAGCAAGGTAAGGCAGCCAAGTGGCATTTGAAGTTTGTGTGTGAGAGGGGTGGGGAATGTTAACGACTTCCTTGTTTCTTTTAAGCACCTTTGAAAAACAATTTATAACATTTCCCACTGCAATTCTCCCTGTAGAACAAACTTTCTTCATCTCCCTCCCACTTTCTCTTCATCTATGGGTACAATTAATGAGAACTGCTGAGTTCCAGAGAGATATGTGGAGTCTCCATATCAATATCAATTTTACTTGACCTTGTCCTCTTCCTTGTATACAGTAACCAGCCAGACCTGCAAGCACACTGAGTCTATCTAAATCTCCCCCTGTACCCACCATGTGACGAAGTCTGGAATCTAGGCTAGGTTTTATTTTATTAGGCCCATTTTGCTTTGCTGTTGCTAGACCAACTCATTTGTGTGTGTTATAAGATGGGTTTTAAAAATTGATAGAAATTATGAGACGTTATCCCACACAATCAAGACACTGCAGACTCCACTGCTACAAGAGATGGCATGAAGTTCACAGCTGGAAGTGACAGTTAACTTAGAATTTCACTATATTTATCTAGTTAGCTTGGCTCGTTCAATTTCTGTATTGGTTCACACAACCAAAAGGAGTCTTGAAACTAGTTAGAAAAAATAATAAAATAGCCCTAACCAGCATAATCAATGGCAAGGGCGAATGCAAGTTGTAGTGTAACAATATCTGGACATCCATACATTCCTCATTGCTGTTATAAGTGTCAAAATCATTTGGAATGAATGTCAGGCCACTGATTTTCACTTTACCTTGGTCCTGGTGTTTATCTCCAGTCCTAGACTCTCCTATTCGGTACTTTCTGCCATTTCCAGTGTTTATACTAAGTTCACTGAGACCACTGTTCATTTCATTATCTTCAAAGCCCACATGACTCATGAAGGCATCGCCTGCGAATAATGGGTCCATTACTAATGGTGAACAAGGTGGAGATGGAGAAGACAGAGATGACCTCGGTGATAAAGAAGTCAGTGATTTGGGTGTCCCAGACAAGGACCTCAAGGCCTGTAGACGGCTAGCAGTATCAGTTTTTTGTGTTTTTACGACCTCATTCTCATGGATTGTAGTGATGCAGCCTGAAGGCCGAAAGCCAGCAGCTCTCTCCAATAGTAAGAGGTCCATTTTGTTTTGATAGTCAGAGTCCAGCTGTTCAAACTGTTCATTGTACAGATCAGTAAAGCTAGCTGAGGTTGAAGAATCCTGGCTTGAGGCCACCAGAGATCCCCTGCTAGATGCAAGAGAGCCAGGACTGCTACCAGATGACAAGGAAAGCATGCTGGAAGACAGGCTGGAAGAGAAAAGGAATATATTAGATATAAAAGGTCCAGCTAAGTTGATAAGCTACACTGGTTAAACTGTCATAAGTCTGACCAGGGAGAACCCAGGTACTCAGTCACAAACCAAAGGGTGACCTTTGGGCTGGTCATTATCTTGTAACCTAGCGTATTTTCACATGATTGTTATGAGGATAAATTACAAATGGAAGGGGTAAAGGGGAAAATGCCACCATGCACAACTTCAAAGAAAGGTGGAACTTAAACTGAACAAACATCAAAATTAAAGAAACTTTGGGATTTCCTATCCAGGAAAATCTGCATGATCCTTACAGAAATACTTTTTGTCTTTCCATAAAATCCACTCTTGTTCCAGTGAACTATAGAATTGATGGAGAACTTGAAGCTCTCCAGATGGTTTGGTCTACAACACCTATCAGTCTTAGCTTGCTTAGCAAGTGGTGACAGAGGATGGAACTTGAAGGTCCACATATCCAGATGACCACAACATGGCCACTTCTTGGCATACGTTTGTTTTTTTCTTTTTTGCTGTTTCAGTGCTCCATCTACCTACCTACCTATCTTTAACTTTATGATTGTAAGCTCCTTTAGCAACTGGTAATGGAAACATGTGATTCATTGTTTGTTTGTTTTAAATAATGCATGCACGAATGAACATTTAAAAGACTTGATGAAATTGCACAGACGATTTCCATGTATAGGATGACTGTGGGAACAATGCATTTTTCCATATTTAAAAGACAAAGCGACACATTTAAAATTGTAGGCTGCACTAATTTTGCCACTCCCGATATGCATGAACTTCAAAGGGAGCAAAAACCATGCTCCTGCTACCAGTCAGCAGGTATGCCGTGTACGTATAGTTCCAGCAGTAAACTCCCCTGAAGTCTTTCCTCATGAAAGTTGGTATATAAATGGATTAAAATATACTCATGTCTAACTATATCTTTCATATCAAGAAGGTGCAGGCCTGAAGATGCTTCCTCCATGGTGCTGAACTGTACAGAAGAGAACATGTGCTTTCCCATGCCTTATGGCCATGAACCAAATCAATCTTTGCATTTCTGTCGAGCATTTCTTCTCCTTCAGGCAAAGTCTGTATTTCAAAATATTTATGTAATTGTAGAAGTACACTCATGGCATTTGTGTAAACCACATGTAAGAGATGCATGGAAAAACTTACTTTTTCAACTGGTCATGCAACATTGCAACTAGCCGTGTTGCTTCCTCTAGTTCTCGAACCAACTGATTTCTTTTACTATTTAACTTCAGTCTGAAGAAAAAACAGAAAAGGACACTTTCACATGCTAGTCAAAGCTATGCTAAATTAACAAGCAATAGTCAGCCTTTCCAATCTAATGCACCTGAAGGGAATAAGTTCCAAAGGCTTGTGGGTAGCCTTTTACAAAGGGTTCTCATTTTCACATATAATTTCATAACAAACTTTTTACTGCAGAATATTTGAAGGCAATTATGGAGAAACTCGAGATTTTATGTCAAACAGGTTTTTATGTCAAAAATAAGAACTTTTTTGCATAAATAAATTTCTCATCTATGCATAGAAGTAATCTATCTATAGTTTTGCTTTGTTTTCAGTTTCTGAAAAATCACAATTCTTCTGTAGCTTTACTGATCATGAATCACATTTCAGATACCAAGTTTCAGATCTCCAATATGTTGACCACAGATGCCTTTAGACTTTGTTAAAAAAAAAAAAAAAAGTACTGCTAGCACAGTACCTTTTCCATACAGGAGGCACCTGACCTTCTCTGCGTTGTTTACCCTTGCAAAAGGTATGCAAACTATCCACAGGCAAACAGATCTGTTACATAAGCAAGATTAGTATTTCTTGGCAGAGATGCAAAAGAATAGTTGAAGCTGTTTCAAAAGGACTGACTCTCATTCCCCTGTGCTAACAAATGGGGGATGAAATATTTGAAAGAGGACATTAACATTATTTCTTTAGGTTGAGAGAAGAGGTGAGGCCATTTCATCATCTCCAGAAAAAGGTATTTGGATACTTGGGAGAACATGTTAAAAGTTTGCCATGTCCAAGGTGCATTAGAGTCAGCGTATATGCAATTTATCTTTATTGCATTGTACCAGTTTCAATGCTGAACAAAAGCAGAACCAGGGTCACCTTGAGATTTGTGCTTGTCACAGGTGAGAATGTTCTGGTGTGAACTGAGTGTTCAGACAAAACCTTGTTGTTGCACTGCAATTCAGGGCACGCTCAGTTCTTGCAGGGAGCTAGCCATGCCAGAAGCCATGCAAGATTCCAGGCTGAATGTTTGATTCTGCAAAGGCAAGCTCCCCACATGAACGCAGTGTGCTCCTCAGCACATCCCATAAATTAAAGAAGATCCAGGGGCACAGTTTTAGTTCACCTGGGGACAAAGCATTACTATAAATGGAAGCCCTAATAAATGTATTCCTAACCCGTCTTTTTAGGCCCCCAAGAGGTGGGGATTTTTTTTTTAAATGAGCAAACTGTTTGTTTGCGTTGCAGCTATAGCTGTTCTAGCCCCAGCACACAAAGAATACAGAAACAAATGGGGCTTACTGCACTGAAACCTTTTTCTTTATAATACCTAGGTCATAAAAATCTTGTCTAAAGATAATACCACTTCCATAACTCATTTTCCACCTATGAGTCTAAGAACTCTAAAGTATATACAAAATAAAGTAGAAACATTGTTCTCTGGTTCTCCAGACCTAAGCATATTTACTCGCCTTTCATTGCTGCCTCTTACCTTCCTGTACCTCAGTAGTGATATGTGAAATATAAGATCTCATTCCAAATTGCCTATTATTCTTCTCCCTTAAGGGGAATACACACTGTGCACAACTTAGCAAAGCATTTTAGTTAGCAAGGGCCACTGTCTCCAGTCAGGAAGGGAAGCTTAAAAGCTTGAAATTTATCTTACCCATCAATGTTGGAATAATAATAGTTAAATCAACTCTTTCAACTTTTCTTATTTAGCTTCACAAATCAAAGATAGTGAAACTGATAAACACACACTAAACATATTTTAATGTTTCTTTGATACTTCATAAGGAGCAGGAATAATACATTCCTGGCAATAATACATTCTTAACCAGGTCTCTCTCTCTTTTTGTGGGGAAACTCTGCAATACGTATTTCTAGCATTTAGAACAACTTCGTTTCATTTTCTTTTTAAATGTGTTGGGTAAATCCAGGTTACCCTACCTGACAAACAATTCTCCTGAAAACCCTGGATTCTGACAACTCCAAAGGCCGCAATGTAAAGATACATGTCAATGAATAAGGACACTACAGAACAATTTGATTCTTTTTCTGTGCTTCTGGGCACTCAAAACACTTTATGATAATAAGCCCATAGAATTGACCAAAGTACCCTGGGTTACCTCATGCAGCACAGGATACCTGGCTTGCTTATATTGACTGTGAATAGCAACTTACTGACAGAGAGGATTTTACCATACAACGAATGAAGATGTTGTGGCAGAATGTGTGAGAAAAGGGGTGTCTGTATCTACTCAATATCACCTCCACAAATGGCATGGGGTAATTTCTCTTCTACTCAAGACAAGGCACTGAAATGCAGCAAGTGATGAATAAATATCACATGCAACATGAGACTCAGGATTCTGGATTTTTTCAGGAGTTTGAAGAATTTAAATCCCTCAGAAACGCTTTTAGTTCATTTGTGTGGGATGCCTGTTAATTGTGCACAGGAAGAAACCTATAAAAGCACACACAAAAATAAAGGACAGTATGTTCAATTCATTTTTAGTGAGAAGAGTCTGGCTGTCAAAAACATCACTGCAAACTCTAAGTAATATCCACCTACTCACCAGGTCTTAAAAAATACAATTACATGGAGGTTTTTCCACCCTGATATACATTTTCCCATGGGGCTAACACTGCAGCTGAAGAAGTTGGTGCAGGCACAAGCTAAAATTCTCTTTCAGTGGCCAAGAGAATTACAGAGGATGGAGTGGGAGAAATGGTACCTTTTATGTTCTTGATAGCCTAGTTCTCAAACTGTATTCCTCCCAAACCTCAGTTCCTATGGGGATAACATTTAACGAAGCATTTAAAATTTAAATATAGCTACAATTCTAATGTCTCCTTGCAACTGTCAGGTATTGCTTTAGACTGCATATGAAAGTGAGGCAGCACAAGAAAGTATCAAACCAGCGTTTCCATCTATATATGTACATGAAAGCACACACTATACATATTCTTAACCCTGTAACTTTACAAATATGTTCACCATAGAAGTACAAGGTTTTTTTTCCCAATTTCATCTTAGTATGTTTCGGTCTTGGTACTGATGCCTGCAGATCCATGTATGGCGCCCCTGATATTTTTGAGCCCAAACCAATAGTAAACTCCCCAATCACCTGTTTTTTGTTTTTTTTAATCTCCTGCCCCTTGTATCAGTGAATGATGAATGCTCTTCTTCCAGCTTCTCTGAGGCGCATTTGTACCACTGCTGTCCCTCTGGCTGGCCACGGCTCTCTCCTGCAGGTACATTCATCTCTCCATTCCTCCGCCCCTGCCCTTTCTTCTCCTATCATCCTCCCGAATTACAGTGAGTAGAATCTCACCACTACAAGTGCAATTCAATCATTTTTAATTAAAATTATCCTATAAGGATAATTTATATCCCAATTTCACATGAAGGAACAAAGGCTGTGAGCATGGAATTAATAGCAAATTGTGGATTTCTTCATGCTTCACAAACATAGAAAGCATATGTACCACTGTGCAACATCTGAAACTGGGTTCAGAAATGGCAATGTCCAGCTCACGCTTCCAAAGTGAAACTTCTATCAAATTCCCATGGATTCAATATGATTAACTGGCCCTTAAACAATGAGAATCAGATTCCAAGGGTGAAATGAGTTCATACATGAATGCTCAGTACTTGATGACTGCAATGTTGTGATTTGTATGTCCACGCTGTGTGATCATTATGGCTATTGAAAACAAAATTTTTACATCACCACAAACGTTCTAAACAGTTTATAGCATCTGCTACAGATGACAACGTAAGTATATATGCATAGCTGTACCCACACTTGTTTCGTTAGCCATCTGTCTCAAGTAATACAGAAGAGAGCCTATCTAACCAATTTACAAAGCACTTGATCAGGGCAAAGAAAAGAGAGATGTGACCATTTAGTTGCAAATTTGAACCTGGACTGCAGTATAACTCTTGGCCTTCATCTTTCCTTGCAGAAACAAACTTTTCACAGAAAATAAGGTGCAAGTAACTTGAATCACATAAGCAATATTGCATATATTGTTGCATATTGACAACATTGTAATACTTCATCTATCTCTATATCTCTATCATCTCTACCTATCTAGATAGATGGCCTCTGTACAGAGAATCGAGCAAACAAGGGACTCCCAGTAGCTAAAGCAGAATGAGCCCAACTGAAACATATATGAATGGCATGGATCAATGTTGAAAATCATTTGTCCAGCAAAAGAGCAAAGCACCATGTCTCCAGTGACTGAGAACTGCTGAGAACAGCAGCCTAGACGCCGTGATGAGGGACATATACGGCTTTGTCTGGCAAAACCTCACAGGGCAAGAAAGGAGATGAGGGAACACGTACTGCTCATGAAGTCACATGTTAAAACCAGAGGGGTGGACAACCAAGGAATACTCCTATGATGGCCTAAGGTGTGTTGTCCAAAACCATATACAGGAAGGCGAAGACTGTGCAATCTTAGGACAGTGATGAAAATTAGAGGACTAAATCCTATTCAGTATATGGGTTTTCCCAACAATGTCATACAGAATTAATTTAGATGCCAGCATTGCTCTGCAGTGTCTCGAACTGATTTACTAATTTACAAGAAAAGAGGAAAATAATCAATTTTTGTTACCAAAAACTAGAAAAGTGCAAAGCATCAATAATATTTCCAGTTCTGACAGCAGACAAAAGACTCCAACATTTAGCAGTTCTACCTTTCTGTTAAAGCTTTGCTCTGTGTATTTCTCACAGCCTGAAGATCTTCTTCTAGACGTTTTCTTTCTATCTCCATTCTTTCAACTTCACCTTGACTCCATTTTCTAGGGCTAATGAACCTCATTTCCTTTAGAAGTTCCTCCTTCTCATTGATTAACATTAGCCGGTCTCGTTCAGAATCCAGCACACCAGGCCAAGCTTCACTATCCAGTTTAGCCAATTGTATCTTTAAATTTGCTATTCTACAGAAAGAAGGAAAAAATAATATTGTATGTTCTGAAAAGGCATAATATTAGGCAATTCAAGTAGAGAAATGATTTGAAGACATTAGTAGGAAAAATGTTCACATATTCTAATCTATAATATTGGACAACTTGGCACTAAGGGCTGCAAATTATTAGCTCTCAGTACTCATGTAGATTGTCTCTTAATCTATTGACAAAAGACAGCATGGCAAACCTTTGGTTGGGCTTTTATACAGAAGCCATATTTCAAGATACTTTTTAAAATTATTGAGCTTGTCCCCCTAACAAGAAAGCTGCTGCTTAATTAATTTAAATTCTATAATTAGTAGAAATCCATCTAAACTACACTGAAGTCTTCTTTGCAGTCATTTTAATGTTCAACTGCTTGATTAAACCCAACATTGTGTTCCAGTGATGAATTAGCAATGGCATTAGTTTGTAATCCATGAATTCCTCCGTGTACTTTCTAAGAGGATTGCTTAGCTGTAATATGATAACTTCTGCTATCTATCAGCACATATATGGTAAAAGGTCAGGTTCATTTTTAATATTCTGTCATTCTTCCACCTTTAAAATAATACCAAATTATATACATTCTATGCTGCACTACTTAGGAAACTAAAAAACCTTCCTAGAAGTCACGCATGGATTCCCCTCCCCCCCACACACACACTAGTTGTTCTTGCTATTTGTTTCAGTTTACACTTAGAAACTCCTTCAAACAAAGCTGTAATTTCCCCTGTTCTGCTTCTATTGGTTTAGACTTTTAGCCACATCATTCATACATTACAGGGAAAAGGAACCCCTTTGAGCTGGAAGGTCAAATTCTGTTTCAGAGAAACCCTCAAAGGCCTCATTCCAGTGGTAAATGTGGTTGAATGGGGGCAGGGCCAAACACTGAGAAATTACTATTACTATTATATTACAATTTAAATCTCTTACTGCCAGTAATTAAGGTTTGGAAAAGTCATTTCAGCGTTAACAAATGGGACGAAAGCTGCCCCAAAGCCAGGAAACCCTACTGGGACCCTATTCCCACTGAATAAATCTTAGCCATGGAATCTTCTGAGAACAGGCTCAAAATATGTGCAGAACCCATATATATGACACAGAGACCATGAAGAAGAACTTAGAAAATGGGCCTGAACTTGTAAATTTCTTTGCTCTAAGACCAGTTTGTTAAACCTTCTACGGCTTTGCACTTTTGTTAAGAAGTAATTTAATGTAGGGCTGGTTCATGTTATGATTACCTATTGGTTACAGTACCCATAATTAGATATGCCTGCTCCAGGAATGTGCACAGGAGAGGTTCCTTTGAGCAATCAAAAGCCACAGACAGTTTTCCTTGCAAAATGTTCTTTATTGCTCCCAAGAACAAATCACCCAAACTGGATCTCTGAGCATACACAGAGCAGTTTGTTGAACCCAGTCTAGTGTTTATTTCCAGGAATTCTCCTTATTAACATAGCTGGGCCCCATTCTTCAAGAGTTGCTTTCTGAAGGTAAGCATACCTCCTCTCATTTGGGCCTCCTGCCTCTGCAGACACCTCTCCATGGGGTTATGAGCAGGGGAGGCCTGGTCTGCATCTGAGAATTCCTTATCCTCAGAGTCCTCTGCCACTGGCTGTACATCTTGGTTGTTTCTAGGAATTTCCTGGCTCAGCAGAGCATCTGGCCTTGACAATCTCCTCCTTCATCCCAGAATCTTTACAGAAGCATCCTCCACAATCCCACTGTTATTTCAATTTCCAATTCTAAATAATCTGGGAAATGGCCAGCAATCCATGAGAATGATTGCCCAAAACAGCCAAACTTCTCACTTCCAACAGAAGGGATCAAGGTCCAAGGGTTGCCAAAACCACCCTACTGTCTTATTTATAGTCATAATCCTACTGGATATGCACATGGATCCATTTCCAATCCTACTGAACATGCTATCTGAATTTAAACTGCAATAAGGGCTTAATTCTACCGTAAGACCAACAGTGGCAACAGCTTGTTTCTTACAAAGTAAATTGTCCACAATGAACTGTTTACCAGCCTTAACAATGTACCACAATATTAAACACACAGGGACAATCACATCACCAATAAACTAAAGTTTATAGCATCATCAATAAGGCTTATTTGGACACAAAGACACATTAGTCTACAGTTAATTGTGTGCAGCCAAAACCTTATGAAAAGGAAACAAAGAACATTCTCAGCTGCATAAACAAGGACGGACAAATACATTCACCCATGATCTGAATTTGCATTTTTTTCAATGGATTTGTCCTCATAAAAATATAAAAACACCTATTTGTTTACACTCTGTATCTAGTGCTTATTGAATGTCAGTTTCAATAAAACAAACTCCAATTACCTTCGTTTAGCCTCTTCATATTGTAGGCGCAGCCTCACCTTTTCAGCCAATTGATTATTAGTGCTCACAATAAACTAAAGAAACAAAACATAAAATTAGAGCATGTTAATACACTCTCTCCCTTTGTAAATTAGATCTGTGAACATGTGTCAGAGTGAAAGTTCAACATAAGCCTTTAATGGCTATGAAATAACACAAATATAAGTGGATTTTACATTGCTAGTTTCGTATCTAAGGGACACCAAAATTGCTGTAATATCTATTTCATAGTAGCAGGTTACTACAAAAATCATTAAAGGAGCTGTGAATGGAGAAAAGGATAACAACAATGACCCAGATAACAATATTTTAGCTTTTACGTACATTTCCAGAAACATCCGTTTGAGAGCCAACATCCAGATACTGCCTAGGGAACAAATCGCTGGAGTCTTCCAAGGATGTGCTACTGATCCACAAATCTGAATGTGACCCTCTGTCTTTCACAAAGTTAGCTTTTAGTCTGGCAAGGCTCTGAAACAAGACGGATTAAAAATCACTTTCTTGTTGCCTTTGCACTGTGCTTATACCTCGAATTACACACTAATAAACACCTGAAAATGCAGCCCATTGCATCAATATGAAAAAATGCAAACTTTTAAGATCAAATCTCCCCATTTAATAGGGTTTTTAACAGAATTGTAGGGGTAGGAAACAGAATGTTATTTAATTTAAGGGAAGACAGGTGCAAGGTGATTGGTTGAATGAATTTGGAATGATAATGCTAATATTATGCACCTGTCCAGTACAAACATTCCTCCATTTGCAGTTGTGGAAATTCAGAGTTCTCACAATAGTAGTTCAAGATCTATCTGCCAAGCACAGGGGAACACCGTATTGATTCCATACCTGAATGAGATCTTGCTTTTCTTGTTCTCCTGAAGTTATAGCCTTTTTGATCGCTTTCATCTCACTCAAGATAGCTTGTGCTTCATCAAGCTTATAACCACCTTGGGTATCAGACATTTTCATATCAATTCTTCAAGGTATTGTATAAAACAGAATACAAGCCGTTATTAACTGAAGCAAAGAAGTATAGAGTAATTCATTCTAACAAGACACTTACAGTACCTTTCACATAAGGGGCATCAATAGGATTTGTCTGTCCCAAAAATACTTAATGGACAATCTGGATTTAATTTTTGGATTTACATTATCATCAGCTGATCCTTTAGAAGTGCTTGCTTTTCAGGAGGCTTCATATTTAATTCACTGCAAACATACATGCATGGACTGGCAGATTTAGTGGGTCTGCCATGCACATTTTTGAGTAATCTTATGTATAAATGTGTGAGAAACATGTATAAAGGTACATATAGGAACTCTAGCATAATTATTGGCCTCTTAATATATGTAATCATATAAAAAATCACCATATCCACAATTTCTTGTGGTATTGACCTTTTCCATATATGGATGTCAACGCTCCCACTCTGACAAATGAAATCAACATAAAAGCACTGAAAATTGTACCAATCTTAGCAGAAGCAGACAAAAATGTCATGAAGACAGGATACATGTGTGGTTCTACATATTATGTTTTGTATTTAGGTTGAATGAACTACAGGCATTTGTAATGTTAAGCCCAATGGATCCAAAGGCTTAACTCCAATGCTTTCCCATGCTTTTATTATGTATTATTATATTTATACTCCAAATTCTGTTTCCTTCTTCAAAGAACCAAAGGTGGCTAAGAAGTTCCTCCCCCTCCATTTTATCCTCACTACAACTTAGTAAAATTGGTTATATTGAGAGTCAGTGATTTGCCCAATGAGCTTGCCTGGTGGGGTGATAACCCAGGTATCCTGAGTCCCAGTCCAACATTCCAACCACTAGTCTGCACCGGCTTGCTGGATTTGTTCAAATGGGATTATTTATATTGCATGTGCATTTTACCTTTTACATGGATTATCTTGCAATATATAATGAGCAGTTATGTTAATTCAGCTAAGAATATATTTTAAACTATATATTAGAACACATTCTTCACTAGAAAGTAAACATTATTAACTTACTTTTTCAGTGTTTCGAAACCAATTTCTTTATACTGGAGTTCCTGTCTCATATGAGCAACTTCTCTCTTGAGTTTATTCACCTGTAGACATGTAAAAAAGCAAAGTGGTTCTGTTGCTTTAACCAATACTTTTTATTACTGTATTCAAAATGTAATATACAGAGTGTCCATGAAACTTAGGGCAAGGAAGCTTTGAATTCAGTGGGACTGAATTCTGAGTAGATGTATAAGGCACTGGTCTTATGTGGGCATCACCATAAACTATGGTGATGTCTACATTCTCGTGTCACTGAATGAGACCAGCCTCCCCACAAGCTACCATACTTACATCTCCTTCTCCTGCGTTCTTTCAAAATCAACCACAGCTTGTCAAGTCATATTAACATACTAATCTTCACTATGTTTTGTTTAAATAAACCAAACTTTATTGGCCTGAAGATCACACAAACCTGGTGGGAGGCTAGGCTCATCTACTTCTCCTTATGTTCTAATGTAGCCAAGATTAACACCAGCCATCATTTGAAAAAACACTGACTTAGTATGTTTGCTCTTGAATACCATGTGCTTATCCCTGTTTCATAAGCTGTAATTTATAGAGCTGTGGAGAGACATCTTGTGTTAGATACAACATCTACTACACTGTGATGTCCAATAAAAATAAATAAGAATTCAGCTTCTAAATTATTGGCACCACTGCCATAACACTTATACCCTGCCTCTCTTCCTCTTCTATAGGTGGCTTACATAGTTCTTGTCCACTCCCTGTGTTGTAGTGAGTTACTGACTGAAAGTTACCAAGTGAGCTTCATGACTAAATGGGGGCTAGAACCTGGAACTCTCAGGTCCCTGGTCCAACACTAACTACGTTGGCTCTTAAAAGGCCTGCTTTTGTCGAAGGAAAGTATTAGATCATATCACCACTGTCTCTGTAGTTCTTTTATCACTAAATGTATTGCAACTTACAAGAAGCTAAGTAAGCTCTATTTTTCCTTACCCTAGATTTTGTGGTAGCAATTTCAGCTTTAAGAATTTCTGGATCATATTTTGAGCTCGATGAGGAACTGGAGACTACTATGGAAAAGGGAAAACAAACAAAGGAGTGAATGGAACAGTGTACAATACACAATATTTATCATGTCAGTTGTTGAGCAAGTTTGTAAACACAACCTTTTAGGTTGGAGGTTTAAGTAGTGCCTGGAGAAAGTAGTGATTTCAACATAAAGCCTCTCTTAATACACAAAAACAAACATTTGGAATAATGCCATTATTTTCCAGTCCTTGCTGTTCATTTTAAAAATTATTTCTGTAGTTCAGTATGGTGGTATGACCATCCAATGGCCTTCCAGATATTATTTTGCAGCTCTCATCATCCCTTACCGCTGGCTAAAATAGCTGGGCTGATGAGAAGTTGCAGCCCTACAAAATCTGAACAGCTGCATTTTCCTCACATGCATGTTCCTCACCTAACCACTAACCTTGCTGTGGTTAGTGCACTACTATTAAAAGCCACTTGTGACAGAAGTGGTTATGGTAGATTGTATTAATAAACCATTTGCAGACCCTGATAGCAATGAAGAGAGTCAACAGAGTATCTTTATATGAACACACACATACTTTAATATATAGCTATTTATAGCTTATTTGAGCTTAAATAAGGGAAATGATACACAGCTGGCTATTCTTTTTCATGCCTGACTGTATTCTCAAAAAAGCAAGTCACTTAAAAAAAACACAGAGAAGCATTTTGACTTTTGATCATGGGAGCAGATCCAATGAAAATTGAGAAGGCAGCTCAAGTTGCTATGCAGTTTGATTACTCACTGATAAATGAGTTTTGTGGATTGTGGTCCATGACTACAGAACAGTTCCACACCATAAGCTTTCAGAAGGCAAAGACAGAAAAATCCAAAATACAGCTCAGCCATGCCAGGGAGGGCTAAAGGTATCATGCTTGCAATGATTATACACTCCCAGATTGAGAAAAATCGAGTTTCCTAGTTGCACTGTGCGCTGAAGATGCTACATTTAGTAGACAGATGAACCAAATGCCTTCTTAGGCCTGTTTCTCCTCTGCAGTTTTATACACTAATCCTGTGGTATAAGGGGCTGTACATGTAAAGACCAGGATCGGTTTCTTAGTTCCCTGTTCTTGGACTGAGACTGCTCTGGTGGAAATTCCTTGTATAGCAAAGGAATGCTGCTGCAGCACTGCGCAGGTGGAGAAATTATCTGCCCACAGCACTGTTGTCACATTCTACTGTGTTAATATTATGCTAGCAAAGGGCAACAAAGGCAAGTTGTGGAAGCCCTAAGTGGATTTAGTGAATGAGCAAAGATTAATGAAGATTTGCAGTGTAACTGGAACAAAAATGAATAACAAAAATCTATTCAAGTACTCACAGCTTGTCTGAGATCCCAGCTTGTGTTCCCAAACATCATGAAGTTGTTGGTACTCTTGCTGGGCCAATTCAAGCCTCTGTTGTTTGACCTGATAAATTTCCTTCTGAGCAGTTAGTGCTTCTTGTGCCAATACAAGGTAGTCCTTCAGCATGTGTTCCTGCTCCCGTCGCCATTGCACTCGAGGATCCTCTATCTGGGTAGTTTCTTAAAAACAGAGATACTTCTTTTATCTGTTTATATGCCCCCCTCAAAAAAATAGCTGAAGGGGGCTGGGCAGAGTGTGTACTAAAATCATGACCAGCCTTGAATGAATGATTCCCTCATTTCCCACATGTTACTCTTCCAGTATGGCATATGCACCTGCTAAGGAAATGCAGCTGCTTTGTTCCCAGGAATGATTACATAGCACTTATCTTAAAAGGAGATACCTATCTCTCCTTGAGAAGCTTGTTTATCCCAGTCCGGAGACTGAACCTCGATCAGTTTTGAACTTGAATCACTAAACTCAGTAACTTGAATCAAGGAACTAATTTCAGACCTACTTAAGACAAGAGGCTTCTTGGAAATTGGCAAGGATCTTAATCACAGCAAAGGAAAACTAGATGACCTACAGATACTGACTGGGCTCACACAGTACATTAAGCCATGGTGGTTTATAAGCCATACAGATTTAGCAGGTTGTCTGAACCCAGCACTCTTCCCTGGGGGTGGCTTAGAAACTACCCCAAATGGCCGTGGCTTTTAATGGAGCTTAAAAAATTCATCACAGCTTATTAAGTTGTCCCAGACAGCCAAAAAAAGGGAAAAAATGGGTGGGGGGAAGCCATGAACAAGTTAAAAAACAAAACACCCCATGGCAAGAATGGCAGTAAGAACTGCAAAACACAAACAACCACACACATCCTGGACATCCTGCTTAGAAAGGGAAGAGAATCAGGAGGGTGTCCCTCCAAAACACTGTTTTTACAGTTCTTGGAGGTTTTAAGGGATCACTTGTAACTCAGGGTGTTCCACGCTTGGGAAAATGAGAGGTACATGAACAGCCCTTTCATAGCCCTGGAATTTCTGCTGCAAAGGCTGCTTCCCCTCTACAGACATCTTTTAAAATAGTTCTAAAATAGCACTAGGCTATGAAGTTGCAATTTTGTTTGCACACTGTGTCCCTGTAGTCAAGTGTTCATGCCAAATTACAACTCTGTGGCCCATTTCAGATTTTTTTTAATGTTGGAGTGTATTAGGTTTTGGGGGAGGGTCATGTGGCCCCACACTGTCCTCACTTTCCCATATGTTGACAACACAGAGGCACTTTCTTGAACATTCTAACCACAGCCTAAATGACTTGCCATGATACTGCAGGGGGACTGAAGAGAGGAAGACGCATAAGGGGATGGTGGAGGAGACACACAAGCCCTTCTGTGCCTGCTCATTAGGCAGTACAGAATATTAACCATAGCGCACGGTCAAAATCCCAATGGATTTAATGTGTTGTGCCAACCCAGCCACTGGGCACTCTATACTGCATTTGACTGAGTTTCCATGAGGGACGCTTAAGGCGTCTTCCATGCTAGCCTTCAGGAAAACTCGGAAAACTTACCTGTTGCTGTTGATTCTTCCTTAACTGTATTTTTGGGTTGCTAATTTCCAAGCTAGAAGAAGCCACTGCAATAGGCTTCCTTGTACCTTGCTTAGGGAACCAAAATATTAAAGATGACCCTGGTTTCTATTTTTGTTTTGTTTTTGCAATTGTTTTTCCTGGCCTTTTCGCTTTGTATTGTTTATTTTGTTGGGTATGCTGCTTTGGGAAGGTTTCACCTTTAGTCAGTCTAAAATGCTTATAAAACTATCAATTTACTTATCAGTCTTATATCCTATGAAATTTGCTCTCAGGTTTTGCACATTACTGTTATTTTGCTTTAGAGGTCATTTATTCTCTTAACTAAAACATGCTATTGATTCCCAAATCATAACTTACGATCATTCTATGATATACTAAAATGATGGAAAGCAAGGTTTTATTTCCTTATCCCTTCAATATAGAGTCATAGTTATGCCTATCCTCTTAACGCCTACTCATGTTTTGCCCTGGCACAGAATAGATAAGAGCAGGGAAATGAGAACCATCTTAACACAATACAGCAAAGGCTATAATAAGTAGCTCGACTGACTTGTGACCATACCTTTTCCCCCTGTATGGTTCGCAGAATCTTGTAGGTTTTGTCTAAGTAAAATGCCTGATGTCTGCAATATATGGGAGACTGCAAAGTATTAGAATTTGTAGTTAATACTAGTTGGCAAGCAAGTATGTATATGTGGGGGTGTGGAGAGAGAAGTCTTCTGTTTCTCTCTGTTCTGCTGCAAAGATTTTGCCTGAAAATCAGGGGAAAGCATTTTGGTTCTTCAGCCAGCTTTAAATGCTCCAGGCAGTCTGAACTAATCACGCTTGAATGAGGATGCCTACCACACAATCAATAATTAATATGCAGGATACCAGAGTCTAATCTGCATACCTTAGGAGTGCTTTCAAATGTTTAGTAAAAACTGTTGTGGGAAGGAAGCCACAAAGGAATCCAAGCAAACATTTCCTTTATGACTGAATGACCTATGATCTAGAAAGGTACATGCCACAACCCAGAGTCAAAGCATTTAATTTTACCAGTGCCTGGAAGCTCCTGTATGTTGGCTGCAGGCAGGTACAATTCATTTCAACTAGTATACACTGTGCACAGCCAGCAGGCATCCTATTAAATACAGAAGAGGTTTAGCAGTATTAGCAGCACTTCATTTAATGTGCTGAAGCCTCTTCTTTCCACTTTCTGAAATCCGAATGCAAAGTGTGGAAAATGACCTTTGATCTAGCTATTTTCACTGTCAACCTTAAGGAAAGGCTAAACCTATTTCAACAACTCCCCCCCCCCCGCCCGCCCATTCATCTGCTCCCCCACCCCTCTGCATTGCTCACATTTTTAGAATCAGAATTGCCACAGACGTGTTTAAAGAATAAGGAGAACACAAGAGAGACAAACAGAAGAAGGAAAAATCTGGATGCATCTTCTCAACCTCTGAAAGTAGAACTGTTTTCACTCCCAGTTCTGCATTTTCACCCATAGCGGATATTTGCAGCAAATGCTATATGACTTTTCTAAAGATGACACTTCCCAGACAGACAGCTAGGTACCTTTAATGACAGATTACATATCTAGAAAGAAAATACTGCAATCTGAGCAGATCTACAATAAACTACTAAATATGCTTTAGAGTTGAGTGTATTTTGAGATGGTTAAGTCTGAAGTTGCTTAACTCAGAGACCATGTCAAGAGATAAGAAGTATGTCTTCTCATTTCATCAAAAGGTAGCCTCGGAAAAAGTATGTAGTAGCAGTGCCCATTAATACTATAGTCAGGATGTGATTGTTCCACGTTTGGTTTAATGAATTTTAACAGTAATAGTCAAAACCACAAAATCTTACCAGGGAAGCACTACTAGAATTAATGGAAGTCATGCCAGCAAAACTTCCTTGGAACTAGGCTTTCAATATATAATGTGCTTGTGTGTGTTTAAGTTTAAGTTACTGCTAACTTTAAAACTGATCTTCAGCTTATTTTGAGCAATTGGGTTCTAAAATGGGCTCTAATTCCACACTTGTATAACATGACATGAAGTCATGTGCTCTAAGCAATGCTCTGACTTGGAGGGCAGCATCAAACCTTCCCCTTCCCATTGAAATAGAATGGTGGCTTCCAAACTACTTGTATAATTTCCCCAAGCCTTTATGGATGCATATCTAATACGGATTGACACGAAATGCATTTCACTTCATTTTTGATTAGGAGTTATCTAGTTCTCATCCTGTGGGCAAATACAAACTCAAACACAATCTGTAGATTTCCAAGCTTGCAACATGCTTCATTGAGTCCTCCACCCCCCAAAAGTTTGGCAGGATATGGGCGTTTGAAAAAATGCACAAAAAATGTATTCTTGAAAAATATGCACAAGTATGCTCCAATTAATGGGAAAAGAATGCTTACATTTTGAAGAGGTGCATGATAGATTTGAAAAATGCATAAAATATACAGATTTTTGGGCAGAAAAAAAGCAAAGCTCATAATTTGATATGGACTTGAGTTACAAAAACTCTCAAGAAGAAATTGAGCAAACTTTGGCAACTGGAGTGTTGGTGATTTGCATATCCATACCAGCAGCAGCAAGCATTTGCACCAGGGGTGGGCCACTTGAACAGGCCGGGGGATTTCATATGGTGTTGGGGGGGACATGCATATGACTCCCCCATCAATCAAGACCACAGGGAAGAGAGAGAGGCTTCCTCTGGGTTGCTGGGATGTGAGCACTGCTACTGATCGGGGGGCGGGGGGAGGGGTGCATTAAATGGGATTGCTGGGATGGGGATAATAATGCAGGCCAATTTAATTTACTATCACAAATAGGGATCTGGTGCTGAAAAAATGTTGCTTTGTTTGAGGCCAAGATGACATCTGAACCAAGGTCATCCTGATTCATAATTCAGTCTCTTAACCAGGGTGAGCAAGTTCTGACCCTCCAGGTGTCAAAAGACTGTAGCAGGGCTCCTCAAACTTTTTCAACAGGGGGCCAGTTGAAAGGTGCCGGGGATGGGCGGGGGGCGCTCACAAGGGGATCCTTTTCCCCAGGCGAGTCCAAAACGATCTCCGCACGAACAAGCTGCCGCCTCGCCACATGCGCGTGCATAGGTGCGCACGCGGTGAGTACAAAACCTCTATGGCGGGCTATATAAATGGGCATGGCGGGCCAGATCTGGCCTGCAGGTTGTTGTTTGAGGACCCATGGACTATATCTTCCATAATCCCTCAGTATTAGCTATAATGGCTATGGCTGATGGGAGTTGCAGTCCAACAACAACAGAGGGCCAATAATTCCTGATCCAGCTCTATGTCATGCATGCCATCAGCTGTTTGGCTGTGACTGACAAGTTCTGTTCTATGAGACTGTGATAAAAGGAAGAGCTATTTATTTATGGGGGAGTTCCTCTCCAAGCAAAAGTTTTCCCAAAGCAACTTACAATCAGCATCATGAAACATTTTAAAATTAAACCAATTCCTAAAATTTTAAATTAAAAGAGCAGCATAGAAAGATTCCTGATCCAGACCAATGATCAAACACAATTAAATATTAGCAACAGTTTTTAAACACCAATAACGAGTTAGAATGGTTGATCAAGAAACGCACTGGTACTGTAAAGGCCAGTAAGGAGAAATGGAGGCACAAACATTTTCAAGAACCTATATGAATTTCAGGGAAGTTCCAACAGAAAAAAACCAAGACTGCAAAACCCCCATCAATCTTTATGCATCAGCAAGTAGAGTGTATGCAATAAGAACTGGCAATAAGAAGCAATTCACCCAGTTGGGATGCAACTCTGGCTTGTGGCCCAAGAGACAAATTGGAGTTCTGGATCTGAATATCCCACTAAATATCCTTGGGCAGAGCTGTTACTGTCAAGTCTGGACTGACCCACTCAGCCAGAACTTACTGACTCCATCTTATCCAAGCCCAAGAGAGAGAAAACATCTCTATTACACAGTCAATTGCAGTTCTCTGCTAAAGGCCATTCACCTGGAAGCTGGTGCTAAGATGCAAATACTCTCGCTTAGGTCATCTGAAGGTCAGGCACTTCCACTTAGCACACATGATATTGACTGGTAAATTACCCAGAGGTGCAACCAATAAGGAATCTCAAGATATCAATTCAAGGCTGGTGAGGTGTGCTTACAGGTCAGTCCACTGTCTTCTGAAATATCCACCCATGCAGGGAAGGAAGACTGGAAGAGAAGCTTGGGATCTCTTCTTCATTACAGATGCTAGAGTATAGCCCTTCCAGAAGAGTGGGGAGCTGACACAAGCACCAAAAGAGTTGCACCGTAAAAACCACAGGCTTACAAAGAAACAGGTAGGCAGCTTAATGCATGGCTGGGAAAACCCAGATTTTGCCACTTGCACTTGGATGATCCCTTTAAACAACATGTTGCTTTGTGCTCGGAAACTGACCAAACTTTTTTCCTGTTCTGTACTTGTTGCCTGCATGGGCCCTAACCCTATTAAACATTTTTGCATGTTTTTACCAAAACCCTGACTCAGTACTTTGGGTGTGGAACAGCACAGGTTCCATCATTGGTCATGCCAATACTGATACGACCAGTACTGAGCAAAGCCTGTTGCCTGCCTACCTAAGTTGGGGTCCTCTAACAGGACTTCAGAGAATCACTTAATTCTCTCTATCACCCCTGCCCCAACTTTCCCACACTACTCTCTAGGAGTCCCTCCAGGACAGGGTAGCAGGTGTCCTGAGTGTTTCAAAAAGAATGTGTGAAAATCACTGGAGGGACTTAATTAAGTTCAAAATCATATCACACTTACTGGTATTATGGTCGATATAATAGACTCCAACCTGGGGGTCATATGCCTCTTCCCATCCCAGTGGTAATTCATCACTTATGCAGTCAGCAAAAGTCAGTGGTTTAGTATACCTGAAATGAGAAATGTATACGATTATGATTAATATAAAGTAACTATTTTATTTCTATATGGCCCAATAGCAAAATCACTCTATATGGTTCACAAAAGTGATAAAGCATAATATAAAGAACTTTAACATACAAAAATTAATAACAAAGCATGTAGACATTTAAATCACATAAAGTTTATCAAGCAATAAAGAACAAAACTAAAGGCAACTTTTCCTGTTAAATTTGTCAAAGAGTACAGCAGTAGGGCTTTATAGGGCTTACAGTTGAATAAAAATCCTAAAAGTTCTCTTGTTTTCCCTATTTATCAATGGCATTCTTTATTTTAATTATTTTTCTTGGTTATCACCTTGCTCTGCTCAGTAAGTACTCATTCAGAAAGAGAACATGCAGAATTTTTATCAACAGATTTTGCCCCCCACTATTGAACGGACAGGACTGTCTGTGGAGAAATTTTATTTCAAAACTATGTGAACATATAGGAACATGTTAGGTTTGTTTTAAGGCTTGTGAACTGTGTGAATGATTAAAACTACACTCGGAATAAGTGAATTTGGAATAATGGACAAATTTGGAATATTAGACAAATTCTATTTGACCTTCTCATGATATTTATGGCACTCCATTGTGATTTATAAATTGACAAACTAGATTGTGTTCTTCTAGTTTTAGAACCTTGGCTACTGCAAGCCTAAAGACTTGGATCTAAACTACCCACCTGCAATTATCTCTATACTTGATATTTAAGCTATAGAAAAACACAGATTAACTAATTCTATAAACATTTAGATAAGCTTTCCTACATAATTGTATAAGTAATCTGTATAATTAAGTCTTACAATTTCACCTTTTAGTGTAACTCTTCTCTTAAGATAGGAGAGGAAGGAGTCCCCTACAACATTTATTACTAAGGCATTAGTAGAAACAATCCAGGCTTGTTGTCTTGCAATCCTACTGTTTTCCATGAATATGTTAGAATTTGGCTAGATCACACCATTAACAACAGGCAAGAACAGTTCTAGAATGAGGCCCAAAATTCCCATCAGAGATTCCATTTAGTTATTATAATGACCAACAGAGATTACATTAGAATGCACTTCAGATAACCCAGATAGTTCCTAGACTAAGTAGCAAAGATTTAGTTTTAGTATCCAATGCCAATAAGCAAACCTTGAAAAAAATCCATTATGAAAAAGGAACCTATATTTTCAAAGCAACACATCACACAATCCAGTATACATCTGCACTATATCAGTAGTATGACTGATATTAAAGTAATGGTACAAATTTAAAAATCAGGCACTGAGCTTCATGAAAGAGTGGTATCAAATAGTAAAATTTCCCATTATTTTGGTTGATTAAGGAGAATATCGATGTGCACATCAAAAATTCTAAACCATATAAAGGCCTTTAATACTTACAGAGACCAGATAGTGCTGTAGAAAGGCAAGGGCTGGATGGCAAACATGATATGGGCATGCCCTATGGTGGATGCTTTTGTCCTTTAAGTTACTAGTCCCATATGTGCTTTTAAATTCGATTCCTTTGATAGATATAAAAAGTGGACTCTGTGAGCCTCAAATGTTGCAAAGAAACTTAACTCTAAACCTGGAAGGAGAAACACTATGCCACCACCTATTATTCAGTACCAGGGTTCGTGCTGCACCTGAACACATATTTTACAGCCATCCGTTTGGTCTAGATGTTTATTTAACTATATGGTCCATTTATATTAATAGTGTATATTTGAAGTGGAATTGTCATCAAGTTATTTTTTAAAAATCAACTGTGTTGTGAACAATTAATGTGACTGAATATGCTTTATTCTTGCACTCTTTATGCTCTTGTTATCAGTGTTATTTTTGCAATACATTTTACAAAAGAAAAAGGCTATTAAAGAGGACAAAGCCTAATATGGGGTACAACCGAGAGCTCCATGTTTGTGTACCCAGAGAATACACAGAAAGAGAGAGAGATTGAGAAAGACGTTGCATTGTGTCTATATTTATATTTCACAGAAGCTCACATTATATTAAACCAACCTGAAAAAAAGATCATAAAAATCAAATCACTGGAATCATGCACAGTAAACAATATAACAAAAAAGCAGAGAGTCCAAACCATTCATCGAGAAGCAGCTTCCTGGAAAAAAGTCATCTCCACCAGGGGGCAAAAGGCCAAGGGAGCGTGAGCTAAACAAATCTTCCTCATCAGGGAATTCTACAGTTTAGAGAAATGTACGGAGAAAGGACCATTTCCCAGTCAGTTGTGCTTTTCTGACCAACAGGCCATGGAGAAAAGCCTCAGTCAGATACTAAAAACAATGCATTTTTATACAGGAAAAGACTGTCTCTTAGGTATCATATGTTTTCCTTTTTCCACAAAAGTTAAATTAGTGGAAACCATTTCCTTAGGTATGAGAAACTAAATGTAGATCAGCGTATTGATGGGCACAAGCAAGGTGAAGAACAATTTTAAACAGCCCTTGCTATATTATATTCATTTTGTTATAAGTATTATTAAAACATTATGTTGGAATGTTGCATGGATAATTGCACACTGCATTGACCTGCTCATAACTGAATAAAACCTAAGCATAGCACTGAATTATTTGGTTGGCCTTTTGGTTTTATTGGTTCAAGGTCTTTCAATAATGTAACTGAAATTACCTATTATTATTTCTCCTTTCTGAGGATGTGGACAAGGTGCTTGGTCAGGTCCAACCCAATACCTGTATACTTGACCCTTACCCATTATGGTTAATTGGGAGAATGAAGGAGAGGATTCGCACCTGGGTCCAGGAGGCTGTGAATACCTCTTTAAGTGAAGGAGTATTACTAGGAGTAGTACTAGGCGTTGAAAGGGGGCTGTGATTAAGTCAATCCTAAAAAGGCCAAACCTAGACCCAGGGGATGTGAAAAATTATGGACCTGGTACAAATATTCACTTCCTGGGCAAGGTGTTCAGGTGGGTGGCCAGACAGCTTCAAGCTAACTTGAATGAAATGGACTATTTGGATTCATTTCCTTTGGGTTTCAGGCCTGTGTTTGGAATGGAAACTCCCTTGGTTGCCCTATGGGATGACTTTTGCTAGGAGAGAGATGGGGGAGTGTGACCCTGTAACCCCAGTGTGACTCCTGGACCTCTCAACAGCACTTGATACCATCGGCCACAGTGTCCTTCTAGATAGGATGGCTGGGTTCAGAGTTGGAAGCACTGCATTGCAGTAGTTCTGCTCCTATCTGGCCGACTGATTCCAGAAGGTATGGTGTTGGGGGATTATTACATCCCCCATGCTTTTTAACAGCTACATGAAACCACTGGGAAAAGTTATCCAGAGATATGGAATGAGATGTCATCAATATGCAGATAATATTCAGCTCTTCCTCTTCTTTTAATCTAATCCTAGTGAGGAAGTGGCCATTCTAAATCAGTGCCTGAACGTGGTAATAGACTGGATGAGCACCAATACACTGAGCCTCCATCCAGATAAAATGGAGGTGCTGTTGATGGGTAGATTGCCTAGTTGGACTCCAGTTGGATGGGGTCTCACTCCTCCTAAAGCACAAAGCTTGTAGTTTTGGGGTTGCTCCTAGACCCAGAACTATCACTGGAATCACAAGTGGCTTCAGTGACTCGGAGCACATTTAAACTGATTTACCAACTACGAGTATGTCCCTATCTGGACAGGCAGAGGGCTCTACACTCTGAGAACCTCTTGGCTGGACTATTGTAATGTGCTCTACCTGGGACTGCCTTTGCAAATAGTCTGGAAATGGCAACTCATACATAACAGGGCAGTTTTGCAGCTTTTGATGGGGACTGTCCAGTGGGATCACATCATGCTAATCCTCCTCCAGCTGCACTGGCAGTCAGCTGAAGACCGGGCCCAACTCAAAGCACTCATCTTAACTGCCTTGGGACCAGGTTATCTGACAGGACGCCTAGTCCCATATGTTCCTATCCAACCCTAAGGTAGTCTGTGGAGGTCCTTCTCAGGAAATCCTCTCCTAAACAAGTAAATGGTGAGACAACCAGGAGAAGGGCCTTTTCAGTAGTGGCACCCCATTTCTGGAACCTGCTCTCAGAGAGGTACACCTGGTGCAATCCCTTATATTTTTGGCACCAGCTGAAAACCTTTTTTATCTTCTGAATATTTTAACGGTTACTCTATCTGTCTTCTGCTGAGCCAATTTTAAATATGGTTTTGAATTGCTGCCATGCCTGACTATTGTCCCATGCTTGTTGGTGGTTATGTTGCTTGTTTTATAGTATTTTATGAATATATTATTTATGTTATTTTAGGAGTATTTTATGTATGGTATTTATGATTTTAACTGTAAACCACCCAGAGAGTCTGTGGGCTATGGGGGCAACATATAAACAAAATAAATAAATAAAATGTTTCTTCTGCATTGAACCTTTCCTGCTGTGTTTAAGAACAGCACAGGAAGCAGTATTATCTTGCTGACAAAACAGGAGTGGAGCTCTAAGCTTCATCTACAGCTAAGACAATAAAACATGTTCTATTTATATTGCTGCACAAGTCTGAAATCTCCTTTAAACCTCTCTATGCAGCCAGTTTTCTATCACCTTTTTTTCTTTTTTGATGCCAACAACATTTCCTGATTTCCAAAGCAGAAGCCATAACATGGCTAACATCTCCTAACAACTAGCAAGCTTCCACTAACCCAGCAAAAGGCTACTATGCTGACTAAACCAATTGAAGAGACATACTAGTAAAAAAAATCTTACTAAAATGTTCCCAGCAACCAACAACCATTAGGAAGCTCCCTGTATAGACTGATGAGGCTAAGAATGATTGCTGTCGAAAGAGTCACAGAGAACTTTGCAGGTTAGTGACCAAGCTGTAAAGTAAATAGAATGAAAACTAAATTTTCAGTATGCTTTGATACAATGCAACAAATTCCAGTGCATACCATTTACTCTGCCATACTCCATCAAAAGTGAAGAGCAAACCATTTCCCTCCAGGTGTCACCAC